GCCCATTCCTCCTGACAGAGCTGGTGTGACTGAGTCAGGTTTGCAGGACTCCTTGCTCGCACACGCTTTTTCAGTTTTGCCCACACATTTTCTATAGGATTGAGGTTAGGGCTTTGTGATGGCCAGTCCAATACCTTGACTTTGTTGTCCTTAAGCCATTTTGCCACAACTTTGGAAGTATGCTTTGGGTCATTGTCCATTTGGAAGACCCATTTGCAACCAAGCTTTAACTTCCTGACTGATGTCTTGAGATGTTGCTTCAATATATCCACATAATTTTCCTTCCTCATGGTGCCTTCTATTTTGTGAAGTGCACCAGTCCCTCCTGCAACAAAGCACCCCCACAGCATGATGCTGCCACCCCCGTGCTTCACGGTTAGGATGGTATTCTTCGGCTTGCAAGCATCCCCCCTTTTTCCTCCAAACATAACAATGATCATATGGCCAAACAGTTATATTTTTGTTTCATCAGACCAGAGGACATTTCTCAAAAAAGTAAGATCTTTGTCCCCATATGCAGTTGCAAACCGTAGTCTGGCTTTTTTTATGGCGGTTTGGGAGCAGTGGCTTCTTCCTTGCTGAGCGGCCTTTCAGGTTATGTCGATATAGGACTTGTTCTACTGTGGATATAGATACTTTTGTACCTGTTTCCTCCAGCATCTTCACAGGGTCCTTTACTGTTGTTCTGGGATTGATTTGCGCTTTTCGCACCAAAGTACGTTCATACCTAGGAGACAGACTGCGTCTCCTTCCTGAGCGGTATGACGGCGGCTGCGTGGTCCCATGGTGTTTATACTTGAGTACTATTGTTTGTACAGATGATCGTGGTACCTTCAGGCGTTTGGAAATTACTCCCAATGATGAACCAGAGTTGTGGAGGTCTACAACTGTTTTTCTGAGGTCTTGGCAGATTTCTTTTGATTTTCCCATGATGTCAAGCAAAGAGGCACTGAGTTTGAAAGTAGGCCTTGAAATACATCGACAGGTACACCTCCAATTGACTCAAATGATGTTAATTAGCCTATCGGAAGCTTCTAAAGGCATAACATCATTTTCTGGAATTTTCCAAGCTTTTTAAAGTTACAGTCATTTTAGTGTATGTAAACTTCTGACCCACTGGAATTGTGATACAGTGAATTATAAGTGAAATAATCTGTCTGTAAACAATTGTTGTAAAATTACTTGTGTCATGCACAAAGTAGATGTCCTAACCGACTTGCCAAAACTATAGTTTGTTAACAAGAAATGTATGGAGTGGTTGAAAAACGAGTTTTAATGACTCCAACCTAAGTGTATGTAAACTTCCGACTTCAACTGTAGATGACTAGTGAAACATAACTTTAAATATATAATAACAAGGTTTATTAGCGGACTTTAGATCACATGTTGAACTCATTGGTAGCTTCAAGACCGGAACTCCTTTCAGACTACATGACAACCCCATATTACTACACGCTTGTCACTGATAGTAAAAGTGCGCGGTACTATATACTACAATAGCTAGTAAAACGTTTTTGTAACCGTTACTGAGAATGTTGTTGCTGTTCAGGCTGGCTAGTTGCAAATGTATTTATGTATTTTAAAATACAAAATACATGTATTTTAATTTTAAAAAACATACAATTAGTTTGTAGTTTATGTTGATACATTCATCTTTATGGTATGTTGTACCTGTATTTTGTCATTGTATTTTGACATTTTTGCCCATCCCTGTAGTCTAATCGGGTGATGTGGTCATCTGTGGAAATAGAGTACCATAGTATGAGTCATAATACCCATAAAACCTAGCGGTCTAACAGGGAAATGGTTCCAATCATTTTTCCAATCATTTTTCCCATAAGGGAATATATATCAATATGTTTGCCTGTATTTATCCCCCAAAAATGAAATGCTAATTTTACATTTTAGTCATTTAGCAGACACTCTTATCCAGAGCGACTTACAGTTAGTGAGTGCATACATTTTCATACTGGCCCCCCGTGGGAAACGAACCCACAACCCTGGCGTTGCAAGCACCATGCTCTACCAACTGAGCTACACATTAGCTGCTAATGTGGCTATCATAAAGAACTACAAATGCCATGATGATCTGGACGAGACTGTCGAAGGTAAGAATCTCTGGATTAACAATCTAATTTTAGCTAAATGTAGTAATGCAAAAATTGGCTACATTTCTTTAAATTGACAATTCTGTGAACTGTCTTCTGCTAGTTTTAAATTGACACAATAGCTGTTTGCAAAGGTGTCAGCTTGAGATGATGTGCAGGAGCTTGCAGGGATTTGTAGTTTTGCATTATGTCTATTTTGATGACAATTAGCATTTTGGAATCTTTGAGTAAACAGAGCCGAATATATTGATAAAAGTCATCTTGTCCGAATGAGATTTACATGGTTATCAAATCGTCACGCCAGGGTAAGCTTACATGAAACACAGCCCTTATTTTAAGAGTTTCTAAAATCCCCTATGGGAAAATGAATGGTGGAAAAACGATTGGAACCATTTCCGTTTGACCGCTAGGTTTTATGAGTATTATGACACTTCTTTCTGGGCTGGGCGGCAGTTAAACTGCAGTAACGAAGCAAAACTGTAGGAGCAGTCGAAACCGTGATTCTCGACCCGAACCCAGGCCCCTTGAAGATCCCCGGGTGAGGCAATCGTGTTTGATATTATGCTGCGTTCAAAACAACTGGGAACTCGGAAAAATACGAGGTCAAATCATGACATCAGTGATCTTGAGGTTGGAAAGTCGGAGCTCTAGAAAGAGGCTCGAGTTCCCGAGTTGGAATTACGATTTGGATGACCGTTCAAATCGAATTTTCCCAATCGGAGCTCGTTTTTTTACGGGTTCCCAGTTGTTATGAACGCACTGAAGTCGGAACTCGGAGATTTTTGAGTTCCCAGTTGTTTTGAACGTGGCACAAGAGTGACGTTGCTGGTAGGCTACACGTAGCCTAGTAGGATGTGTTCATTGAATATGGCGGCTGTGTGTCAGCCTCACTGTCCTGCACATTTGTAAGAATTTCATATTTAATCCTTCATTTCATATTTTATTTGATCGTGAATAGGTAAGATAATGTGTTGTTCGTAAGGACTAATGGGCAGTGTTTTGGTATTCAGAGTATTTTAGAAATAAACCGCTATTTAAGTACATGCTAGCTATACCTGTCAGTCATCAAGTAAATCGTGAATAGGCTATAGCTAGCTAACGTTAGCTATATCCGAAGTTCCTGGACCGGATTTGTGTGTAGCTAAGTCTTGTAATAACAGCGTATTGATGCTACAGATCCAGTCTCGAGTCCTGTAAAATTCTGTACGTTATCTCAATTAATCCACATGTTTTGTGTCATCCATTTGATGTGCTGCTCTCTCTTTTAATCCGTGAACAAATGTTGACTGCAGTCATGGATCAGCTAACTAACGTTAGCTAAATTGGCTAGCTAACGTTAGGTAGCTACTTTAGACGCCAATGTCCGGTAGCTGTGCGGACACTCAAAATGATCCACGAAGTTATGTGTTGTTAACTAACATTGGAATCGTTGTCCGAAGGATGTAACCTGGTGGTTTGTCAATGATAGGACAGTACGTTAGCTAGCTAACTAGATCGTATAGCAGTTAGCTAGTTAGCTAGCTAGCTAGTTGCTATCAATTTCATAGTGGGAGCCTAGTTGGCTAGCTAGAATGTAGCTCAGTTTGACGTTGACTCTTAGCACACGGTCCATGCTAACCGGAATCCTTGGGACGTCCCTATCCCATTGAAGTTGACATTTTAAAATGGGTATGCTTTAGTGTAGGGACGTCCCAAGGATTCCGGATAGCACTGACGCTTAGCACAAAAGCTAAGCGTCTTGTTCCGCTTTCATAACCTATTGCTAACGTCGTTATGCAATATTTAGCTATGAAGTTTCCAAATTGAAATTTGCTGGCTGTCGTCCTTCATGTTTAATCCATGGAAGCTAGCAAGCTAGCATCCTACCTTGCTATCATGATGGAACCAACGGACTAGAACAAGCTAACTAGCTACGATTGCCTTCTAGCTAGATCTGGCCGATCAGAGTTCTGCTCGCTAATCCTCTGGCATACTGACATTTCAGCTGCTTATGTCAGCAAACCCCTCCTCATGCTCCCTCAGTGACAAGTGTCATATTATGACAAACAGACGCATAGTGGCAGTAGATATCCCAACGCAACACGCTCCCCTCTCTGTAACGTTTGGAATGTAAGGATTCATGAGTGTTGATCTGGAATTCCCTTAGTATAGGTCTGTGGAAAATCTTATTAATTCGGTATTATTTGCTGAAATGCTTAGCTAACATGGCTTTGGATGTTGTAAAATGTGTATGTATTATTGCTTGTAGTGTAGCGTTATTTTCCTGTTGTGAAAATGACCGTAACTCCAAAGTTCAATGCGAGATTAGCAGTCTTTATCTCTGCCACACCATTTGCTTTTGGATGCAGTACACTCACCACAAAAGCCGTTTAAATATGCTCAGTTTGCCTTGATGAAGTCAAGTGGTTGTTGGAGATATATTTTAGTCATTTAGCAGACGCTCTTATCCAGAGCGACTTACGGCAGTGAGTGCATACATTTTCATAATTTTTTCGCACTGGTCCCCCTGGGGAATCAAACCCACAACCCTGGAATGGCAAGCACCATGCTCTAACAACTGAGCTACACAGGACAGCAATATACTACACACACCCTCACCTATACACAAATAAATACCTTGGTCTGTTTGTGTGGGTAAGCGGGTGTAAAGGGTTTTTCCTCCATAAATCCTTAAGCTACTCAAGAATTTCTGCATTTTTGGCTAAATTGCTAGAATGGACTTCAGGGTGCTGCAGAGAATCGGATGTGACAAATGCATTCCTGTTGGTCAAGGAAAGTGGGGTGCTTGTGTTCTGGAACTCCACAATCTTCTAGAATCTTTAGCCTGTTCTCAGGTTTACATTAGAACTGCCACGCTGTACAAGATGGTTAGGTACATAGAGTGGAACAAATATGGGTGTGGTGGGTCGGTCCGACAAAAGCACCGTAATGACCCTACTCTTTCCTCTCTTCTCCCTACAGCCAAGTCTGAGCTCAACCTCTTCAGTGACGTCACTACCGAGTGGCCTGGTCCTTAGACCTGTCAGAACTGCAGCCATGCAGCCCCCTCCTCGGACCGGCCCCCCAGGCGCATCCGGCACCCCTCCTGCCGGCGGTGGGCCCAACGCCTTCCGGAGGACGAGGCCCCACAAGCAAACAGGAGCAGTGGCCATGGCAGGACTACCTGCCCAGCCCATGACAGACCCCTTCGCATTTGGCAGGCAAGCCCCTATGGCTACAGGTGGTCACCCGCCGCCACCCAATAGCAGCCCTCTGCCTATGCAAGCCCCGCCTCCTGGTATGTACCACCAGGCTGGCATGGGTCAGGGGCTGCACCAACCACAACTACTGGATGGTGCACAGGCTGGGGCTGTGCCCATCGGCCCACCACTGCCCTCTACCCCAGTGGTAAGCCTCTTAACCCCTCACAGTACTGTGTCCCCTGTACCTTTCCCTAGACAGCTACCTGGCCCCCCAGGCCATGCACCACCCAGTGCAGAGCAGGGCTATTTTAACTCTAGGGAGCCAGCACCCTCGATGACCCCAGGGCCCCTTCCCATGGCCTCAGCCCCTATGTCTGGCCAAGCGCCTTATGGCCAGGACCACGGAGGAGACCATCCCCCTCAGGCGATGCCCTTTAAGCCTGTGCCTCCCGTTTTGTCTCAGTGGGTGCCCGACCATGGGAGCCGCCCCCCGTCGGTTCAGAACTATTTCCAACCCACTAGTGATCCTCTACCCCAGGCTTATAACGCCCCTCCCCAGTCCCAGATACCTCCACACACACCCTCGCCCCACAGCACCCCTCCAACACACCCCCAGCAGCAACCACCTCCTCAGCACCCAGACAGGCCAACTAGCTCCCAATGGCCCGACCTGGCAGGTGCAAACGCACCCCAGCAACACAACTCCACTTTTCAGGCTCAGACCTACTTCAGCCAGAGCTCAGCCTCCCAGGACTCCTGGTTCAACCAGCACCCCCAGGACCTGGCCTACCACCAGATGGGAGCTGGCCCTGGCCTGGCTCGGCCAGACTCAGCCAGATCTCACTATCGGCCCGACTCGGCCGGGTCTCACCATGGATCCCACCATGGCTCTTACCATGGATCAACCCCTGGCCCAGTGCCGGTCCCCTTCGTCCCAGACGGCACCATCTCCATGTTCTTCAAAGGAAACGACGTGGAGAACGAGGAGACCCTTGCCGGCGAGGGAGGCAGAGCAGTGAATGGGCTCCAGGACTTTCAGCCCTCCCATAATCACCAGCAGATGTCTTCCCCTCAACCCCAAGCCAACCTGGTGGCTCGTGCAGAGGCCACCCACTGTGGGCCCCCCCCACAAGCTGGCCAATCGTTAACCTACATGAACGATGGTAACGTTCCTGGAGCTGGCAAACCCGTCCAGCAGAAACCCGTTGAGGCCCAGTTTGACCATGTGGAGAACCTGGAGTGTGTGCCCAACCAGGAGGTCCTACCTAGCGAGCCCCAGAGCAGCCCTGCTGCAGCACCCACCCATGGGGGAGATTGCTATGAGGCAGGCCCCAATCTGGAGACCCCCGACTCTGTACCCCGGCCCATACGCTCTGCCAGCGTGTCCTCTAGCTACAGCAACTTGAGCCACGGCAGCGGTACTGGTACAGTTCCACGCAAGCACCAAGGAGTGGTAGGCACCTTCATCCAACAGGAGAGCCCTCGGCCCTCAGAGGACGCACTCTCCTCAGCCGCTGCCGGAGGCTACTTTGAGCAGATTGACACCTCTCCGGCCGGGGATATGGCCGCTGCTTACCAGAGCATCCCGGAGAGAATGTGCCACAGCCAGCCCCCCACACCCAGTCCTCCCAAACCCACCGGCATTTTCCAGGCCAGCGCCAACTCCTCCTTTGAGCCTGTGCGCTCACACAGTGTCGCAGTGCGCCCAGCGGAGGTGGACCGTGCCCGGATGGTGGCAGAGAGGGGCTCTGATTCACTGCCTGGGAACCAGGAGCAGCCTCCAGACAACCTGGAGAATATTTACGGAGCAGCTACAGGGCACACTCAAGCTGGGAATGGAGCTGGGGCACCTCCTCTTGCATACCCTCTGAGTCACTCCCACTCCAGGCCCTCGTCCCGGGCTCATGTGGCCCACCGGCCCTGTGAGAGCCCTGCCACCACCCTGTGGGCCCAGCACGACCCCGCTAGCCTGGGAACCAACATTCTGCTGATCCCCGCTGCCCCTCCGGTCCTTGCCCCACTGCGAGAGCCCAGTGCCGAGGTCATCCAGCCCCCCGAGGATGTCCTCCTGGACCTTCAGCCTCCTCAACGCGCCCCTCCACCCTCCCAGCACCCCTCGGAGAACCTGGAGAACCCTCCTAAGGTGAGTGAGGGGGAGCCGTCTGACCCACAGCCCAATCTGGGCTATGCCTCTCTCCTGGTGTCTGAATCTCTCCACCGGCCTGTGCTGATTGCCCCACCCACCTCCAATTACAGCGTGATTCCTCCCAGTAACCCTGCACTCGCAGCCAATCAGATCAGCCCCAGGGAGGCCACCCTACCTGTGAGACCGCCCTCGCAGGCTCAAGGGGCCAGTGCCGCACAGCCCGGTCCTCCCCTGAGCTCCAATCAGAACCCATTGTTTGCTCCTACACCAATGAGCTTCAGCGCCGCCTCTAGTCAGAGCCCCCTCAATCTGGTTCGGGACGACAGGGAAGGGGTTAAACCAGAGATCACGCCCCTACCGTCCCAGCCTGCCCGCCCCCCTCTCTCAAAGGGCCAATCAATGTGCGGAAACAGCCATTCTTCTCTACCTGTTAATTTGCAGGCTCCTCTTCCTGCTGCATCTGCTGCTCCTGCTGCCGCCAATTATAATCAGCTGTCAAATTACGAGCTGCTTGATTTTTCTATGCACCAATCTCAGATCCCAAACCAAGCCACAGGGCTGCCACCTCTCTCCCTCCAGCAGGGCCTGCCCCTGGCGAGTAACGCCCCTGGATTTTACCTGCAAGTCACCAAAGATGCTCAGCAGGGGGGTAGAGGCAATGGGGATGCCTCCACAGCACAGATAACTGCCGAACCCATGCCCCCCCCAGTGGCCCCAAACACTCAACAGCCATCCATGGTACCCAACCCCCAGCCTGGGCACCAGGGCCAAGGAGATGACCCTGCAGCCCCTCTCAGTGGAGCACCACCACCCCAAGGGCAGTACCCACACCTAATGCAGGGGCCTGCCAGGGGGAATGCACCCACCCCCTCTGCGGCTTACCCTGGACCTCGGGGACCTGTGCCTCTAGCCAACCCCCCTCCACCAGGAACCGGGGTTCCTCCAGCCCAGCCAGCCCCTACAGACCAACCGCGACCTCCCTCGTCTCTGGGGAGCCAGCAGGGGTACGGCCCCCCTCCTCCAGGGCAGGTGTATGGGGGATACTACGGAGGTGCCTACCCAGAGTACCCAGATGGCAGAGCATCATATCCTCCTGCTCAGTACCCACCTGCACCTGTTGACCCCAGAGCACAGCAGTATTATCAGGTACACATACAGGTACACATACTCACAAGTCAGTCAGTGTTGCTTGCAATAGTTTATATATTGAATCACTGGTCTAAGATATCTGGTTCTCTTGATACTGTATATTTCACCATAAACTGTTGCAGAGTGAAGTGAAGCTACAATATTTGTACGGTTTAATTTGCCTGTGGGATTTAATGGAGTTTAGGGATGGGGGGGGGGGGGGGGGGTACTCTGTAGGGCTGGGTGATATGGCCTAAAAATCATATCTATCTTTTTTCTAATTTATATATCAACATTTTTATTTTGACGTTTTCTCTAAAACTTTTTTTTGCACAATTAAAGGTCAAATACACTGCATTTCAAACAGTCAGGAATAATCTAATGAATTCAGGGCTTGTGAAATTATACCTAGGCTTAATATAAACCTTGCACAACCATGAGACCCACTAATCATTTCATTCTTTTATCGTTTAACCTGCTTTTTTGCAATAATCACTTATCTGGCTTTCAAGTCTTTCTATGAAAATGCCCTTTTTGTTACAAATTTAACCAGAACCATGCATAATGCACATTCACTAATAATGACTAACTTCTTGTAGCAGTCATTATAGGAAATTAACATAAGTCTCTTAAACAATCTCTCAAGCACAAGCCCATGTGCCAGTGAGTAGCCAGCTAATCATTTGGTTTGCTAAGTGGCTAAATGGCAAGATCAAGCTTCTTGGTTACAGCAGAGACAATCAATCCCCTCGTGTCTTTTTTAAAGAAATAGCGCCCCTTGTGTGCACTTCCGGTAATACCGTATACCCCGGTGTGTTACAGAAACAGTATGACGTATGAAAATCTGGATACCAGCCAACCCCAATTGAGTTGCAGTGGGAGGTGCTTGGTGTGTGTGTAAATAGAAATGTACACACAGCACAGAAGGAGCGAAGGAGACAACCAAAAAGACATGAGAACAAGTGGAGATAAACGCTCATAAAAAATACGCTCGTCACTGTATTTGGAGGAAACATGGGGAAGTAATGCTGCTTTCTCCCAATTTAGGAAAAAAGGGCATTCAAACATTTTGCTGCAATTTTCACCCTTGCTCTACATTATTCCTTGGAGAAACATATTTAGTAGTGCTGAGTGATTAACTGAAATGTCGGTTATTTTTCAGTTTTTAAACAACTAATTGACCTACGTCTGTTCAATTATTTGAATTCGATTTTCGTCTGGTTTTTTTCTTCTGTGAGCTCAATGCGCACATCGCACACAGTTTTCTAGAGATAAATCAGATCCAGCCTGAACTGTGCGATGTAGTAGGGAGTTGTAGTTTCCAACAGGCCAATATTCTACATAGTTTAGCGCATAGTATATGGTAATTAACTACAATGACCATAATCCATTGCGCATCTACTTGTCCGGTCTGTGTTTCTTTTGACTGCTGAAAATACATGATCTAAGTGATTGATAGTTGGTATTCAGCTGTCATAAAAGTATGCCTTATTTAACTTTGAACAACTACAAAATAGGGCACATGGGCTTGTGCTTTTTTTTTTTTTTTTTATACTGGCCCCCCGTGGGAAACGAACAAACAACAACTGAGCTACACGGGGCTCATATCATCATTCTGAACATCGTAAACCTCCTTGCATCTGCAAAAAACAGCCTTACTTATGATTCAATACTAAACAAATTGGTTTAATTATTTATTTACTAGCGAACATAGGATAAACATACACACTCTGCACCGGTTATTAACTGGAGAAAACCAGACCCTAGTGGAATGACAAGAAGAGAGAGAGAGACACTTAACATTGCCACATTCAGAAACTACTCTCCTCTATAGTAACCATTTACCTTGCACACGAACCACCGCCCTCTTTGAGTAAGAAATCATGAATGTATTTACGTGAAATGCGTGGTTCGCTGTGTATCTCTCTTGGTGGACAGGACAGCCCTGGAAAGGGAGTTGGGCCTTCTCGCGGCACGCTTGTAAGGCTCTGATTGTCCAAAAAGGTTCCAAGAAGTCTTCTATTGTTCTCTTCTTTGTAGTTGTCCGGTCTCCGATGACTTGTCGTGTAGTCCTGAACAGAACTACAGAGTTGATTTTCCTTCCATTCGCTCTTGAAGATGCTTCTTTGAAGATAGGCTAGCCAGCCGTATCGATGATTCCCAATGGGGTGATAGGCGTAGCGTAACAGGATGGTTTGAGCAGAGTAATAGGATGGGCCTACTTAAATTCGCTTTCGAAGATACTTTACTTAGGACAGCTTAGGACGGCTGATTAGCTGTCCTAAGTAAAGTATCTTCGAAAGCGAATTTAAGTAGGCCCATCCTATTACTCTGCTCAAACCATCCTGTTATGCTACGTGACAGTCAATTTAGTATATGTAAACTTCTGACCCACTGGAATTGTGATACAGTGAAATAATCTGTCTGTAAACAATTGTTGGAAAAATTACTTGTGTCATGCACAAAGTAGATGTCCTAACCGACTTGCCAAAACTATAGTTTGTTAACAAGAAATTTGTGGAGTGGTTAAAAAACTAATTTGAATGATTCCAACCTAAGTGTATGTAAACTTCCGACTTCAACTGTATTATCACTTGTGAATGATGCCCAGTTTAAGGCAAGAAACAGCACATGCTTTTTCAAGCATAGTCGCACACCTCATGTAGCCTAGCCCATAGGCCTATATGTTTTGATAAGGTTTGTATCACAACTAAAGTGGTCAAATAACTTCTTAAAATTAAGCACATTCATCCGCTTTACAACAGGTGTAGAGCCTAACTGGCATACATACGCAGAGCGTGAGTTTCAAGTTTGGGGAAGATAATTTTCACCATAAAAATCGTTTTCCTGCTAATGGAACATTTGCGGTTATAACCTACTGTCGTGTGCGCATTGCTGCACTTATAATGTGAAAAAATTGCCTAATAGTTTATCAACATTTTAAGCTAAACGTTCTCTTCTGTTGCTTCAGGCTCATTGCTTAAAACAGGTTTTTTGATGCTAGTGGTTGTATTAATTTGGGATCTATTGCATCCCACAACTGTCCCAGACTATGTTTGGAATATGTATTTATCGCACAGAATAGAATAGGTCAACTTTTGTACTATGGGAGATAGTAGATTGACATAGGCTAGTGCTTTTGCTGTTTGATAGGCCTACTCATCTTGTTGGCTGACGAAAAGTAAATGTGGACAGTTCTTATATCTTCAATATGCTCCTCGGAATTGGATTAGGACGCACACAGTTGCGTCCCCAATGTGTCTGTCTTCACTTGTAACCTGTGAGAAAGACCCGATCACGTGACTGAGAGCTATGTGAGTAAGACGTGCTTCGGCCGCAGCGGGGAGAGAGGAATTATAATTATTATAATCAGCCCAAAGGCACAACAGTCACTGGCCGCAAAAGGCATGGATATTTTTAGGGGGATTATGGCCGCACAAAGGGGATGCACCCGGGAAATTAGAGGCATTATCAAGTGCTTGTCAAATTGTGAATGAGAGACTGATGAAGTGTGTACAGCCTGCGCAAAAAACAAAGCAGAGCTCATGCTTTTTATTCAACTTTTTTCAAATCATCATTAGAGTCGCATCATGCAGCTTTATGTATTAAAAATCAAAACATATAGCCCAACAGTTGTATCACAACTAAAGTTACATAAATAACTCTAAATTAAGCATATACAGTGGGGGGAAAAAAGTATTTAGTCAGCCTCCAATTGTGCAAGTTCTCCCACTTAAAAAGATGAGAGAGGCCTGTAATTTTCATCATAGGTACACGTCAACTATGACAGACAAAATGAGAAAAAAAAATCCTGAAAATCACATTGTAGGAGTTTTAATACATTTATTTGCAAATTATGGTGGAAAATAAGTATTTGGTCAATAACAAAAGTTTCTCAATAGTTTGTTATATACCCTTTGTTGGCAATGACACAGGTCAAACGTTTTCTGTAAGTCTTCACAAGGTTTTCACACACTGTTGCTGGTATTTTGGCCCATTCCTCCATGCAGATCTCCTCTAGAGCAGTGATGTTTTGGGGCTGTCGCTGGGCAACACAGACTTTCAACTCCCTCCAAAGATTTTCTATGGGGTTGAGATCTGGAGACTGGCTAGGCCACTCCAGGACCTTGAAATGCTTCTTACGAAGCCACTCCTTCGTTGCCCGGGCGGTGTGTTTGGGATCATTGTCATGCTGAAAGACCCAGCCACGTTTCATCTTCAATGCCCTTGCTGATGGAAGGAGGTTTTCACTCAATCTCACGATACATGGCCCCATTCATTCTTTCCTTTACACGGATCAGTCGTCCTGGTCCCTTTGCAGAAAAACAGCCCCAAAGCTTGATGTTTCCACCCCCATGCTTCACAGTAGGTATGGTGTTCTTTGGATGCAACTCAGCATTCTTTGTCCTCCAAACACGATGAGTTGAGTTTTTACCAAAAAGTTATATTTTGGTTTCATCTGACCATATGACATTCTCCCAATCCTCTTCTGGATCATCCAAATGCACTCTAGCAAACTTCAGACGGGCCTGGACATATACTGGCTTAAGCAGGGGGACACGTCTGCACTGCAGGATTTGAGTCCCTGGCGGCGTAGTGTGTTACTGATGGTAGGCTTTGTTACTTTGGTCCCAGCTCTCTGCAGGTCATTCACTAGGTCCCCCCATGTGGTTCTGGGATTTTTGCTCACCGTTCCTGTGATCATTTTGACCCCACGGGGTGAGATCTTGCGTGGAGCCCCAGATCGAGGGAGATTATCAGTTGTCTTGTATGTCTTCCATTTCCTAATAATTGCTCCCACAGTTGATTTCTTCAAGTCAAGCTGCTTACCTATTGCAGATTCAGTCTTCCCAGCCTGGTGCAGGTCTACAATTTTGTTTCTGGTGTCCTTTGACAGCTCTTTGGTCTTGGCCATAGTGGAGTTTGGAGTGTGACTGTTTGAGGTTGTGGACAGGTGTATTTTATACTGATAACAAGTTCAAACAGGTGCCATTAATACAGGTAACGAGTGGAGGACAGAGGAGCCTCTTAAAGAAGTTGTTACAGGTCTGTGAGAGCCAGAAATCTTGCTTGTTTGTAGGTGACCAAATACTTATTTTCCACCATAATTTGCAAATAAATTCATAAAAAATCCTACAATGTGATTTTCTCGATTTTTTTTCCCTCAATTTGTCTGTCATAGTTGACGTGTACCTCTGATGAAAATTACAGGCCTCTCTCATATTTTTAAGTGGGAGAACTTGCACAATTGGTGGCTGACTAAATTCTTTTTTTCCCCACTGTAGGAGTACCTGTTTCATTGTTAACCGCTCAACACAGAATAGCCGCATGTGCGCACTCCCTCAAATCCTTTCGAACAAATATCCTTTCTATTTTATTCAACTATGTTCAATGGTATTCTTCATACTATAAAATAATATAAAATAATGCCACGGAATTCTAAGCAAATGTTGTCTGCTAAATGAACTAGTATAGCCCACCGCCATAAGGCATAGCCAGATCAGGGCCTAACATAAGGACATCGCAGAGTATGCTATTCTGTTCTTCTGAAATAGACTACATTTTCTTCATATCATGTTTCTTTAGACCTGTCTAAAATAAATAATTGATTTGTTGTGATGGTGTAGGCTATATTACATGGATTTATTAGACTTTTTTAAATGTAGATGTTCCAAAGGTCTGCATCAGTGGCTTGTAGGCTATGCGTGGAAGCCAGGAGATGCTAAATATGTTTATGTTAATTAACGGTCAATTACCGTGAGACGGGCAGTTATTTGCTTGACAATCACCGGCTGACAAAATGTAATGACCGCCATAGCCCTAGTCAGGACAACACTGGTATTGAAAGCTGTAGCTACACTTTGTATGTAGTTCATGATTAAAACATTAGTAAATCCAATGGATCTTTCAAATATCCATGGTAGCGGAGAGCAGGATGTGCCATTTGACAGAGAAGCCTTGTGACTCTTTCTCGTGAATGTCCCATGTCTGAACATCTTTGTGATTTCACATTTTATTCATATTTACAGATTATATGCAAGTTTATTACGGCACATAAAAGTTCACATGCTCAAAAAGGCATTTCTGCATAAGATGAAAGCTTTTTTTTACATTCAAATCCCTCCGGTGAAGTAGTGACGTTCGTCATACGCCCAGCTTTCTGAAACGGGTCACACTTGTACTGTTGCGCCAAAACATACATTCAAATTAATTTGATATAGCGCCCAGCCCTATCTGTGGGTAGAAACTATCACATTAGCGTACCTGCATCCAGTATTTCTCACACAGGTGCTGGGTAAAACAAGACAGCCATGCTCCCTTGTGTATGTCCTTCCACATTCCAATTTGACCATGTCTTTTTTCCCTCAGGATGACCCATACATGAGAGCGGACCCTCGCTACAGCAGATATGAAGGAGCCAACCCAGCCTACCCCCTATACAGAGAGCCCCAGCCAGAGAGACCCAGCTCCAGAACCAGCCAGTACTCAGACAGACCCTCCTCCAGGTCAGCGGAGAGTTACACTAGTACCAGTAACAGTACCCCATTACCAATGCAAACTGTGGAGAAGTCAATGTGTGCATGTTACTGTTGTACTGTTTACGTGGGTGGGTGGGATGGTCAAAATTCCTGCACACCTCCATTGACAGTTTGGGACTGGAAAAGCCTTTGTTTGCTTCATGTATTTGTGTGTGTAGTTGCTATAGAGCCTAACATTTAGGTAAGGACCACCTGTAACTGTCAGTTAGTTGAAGAACCTATCGTCTGACATTTTTGACCACCCCTCCGTGAGCTTGTGGACACTCAATCCTCCCTTTTTTCTGCTCATCCCAGGCAAGGTCTCCTTCCCGAAGACTATCAGAGAGCTAACCGAAGTGCTTATGATGACTACTATGCAGAGTATTACAAAAACCAGTACGGAGGTAAGAGCCACAGTACCAACCACCAATGACTTAGTTACATTGCGACAACTATGGTATAAAACCTTACAATAGTGTTACACTGTCTACTAAACACAAATAATTACACTGTTGTAGTCAGTAATTATTACTACACATAGTAATGTACATTGGGTTAAGCCTAATTTACAGTGTACAAAATATTAAGAACACCTTCGTAATATTGAGTTGCACTCCACCCTTTTGCCCTCAGAACAGCCTTAATTCGTCGGGGCATGGACCAACAGTGCATTCGAAAAGTATTCAGACCCTTGTGACTTCCACATTTTGTTACGTTACAGCCTTATTCTAAAATTGATTAAATTGTTTTTCCCCCCCTCATCAATCTACACTGATTAAATTGTTTTTCCCCCCCTCATCAATCTACACGCAATACCCCATAATGACGAAGCAAAAACAGGTTTTTAATAGTTTTTGCAAATGTAATAAAAATAAAAACTGAAATAAATACATTTCCATAAGTATTCAGACCCTTTACTCAGTACTTTGTTGAAGCACCTTTTGGCAGCGATTACAGCCTTGAGTCTTCTTGGGTATGACGCTACAAGCTTGGCACACCTGTATTTGGGGAGTTTCTCCCATTCTTCCTCTCAAGCTCTGTCAGGTTGGATGGGGAGTGTCACGGCACAGCTATTTTCAGGTCTCTCCAGAGATGTTGATCAGGTTCAAGTCTGGGGTCTGGCTGGGCCACTCAAGGACATTCAGAGACTTGTCCCGAAGCCACTCCTGTGTTGTCTTGGCTGTGTGCTTAGGGTCGTTGTCCTGTTGGAAGGTGAACCTTCGCCCCAGTCTGAGGTTCTGAGCACTTTGGAGCAGGTTTTCATCAAGGATCTCTCAGTACTTTGCTCCGTTCATCTTTCCCTCGATCCTGACTAGTCTCCCAGTCTCTGCCGCTGAAAAACATCCCCACAGCATGATGCTGCCACCACCATGCTTCACCATAGGGATGGTGCCAGGTTTCATCCAGATGTGATGCTTGGCATTCAGGCCAAAGAGTTCAATCTTGGTTTCATCAGACCAGAGAATCTTATTTCTCATGGTCAGAGTACTTTAGGTGCCTTTTGGCAAACTCCAAGTGGGCTGTCATGTTCCTTTTACTGAGGAGTAGCTTCTGTCTGGCCACTCTACCATAAAGGCCTGATTGGTGGAGTGCTGCAGAGATGTTTGTCCTTCTGGAAGGTTCTCCCATCTCCACAGAGGAACTCTGGAGCTCTGTCAGATTGACCATTGGGTTCTTGGTCACCTCCCTGACCAAGGCCCTTCTCCCCCAATTGCTCAGTTTGGCCGGGCGGCCAGCTCTAGGAAGAGTCTTGGTGGTTCCAAACTTATTCCATTTAAGAATGATGGAGGCCACTGTGTTGTTGGGGACCAATGCTGCAGACATTTTTTGGTACCCTTCCCCAGATCTGTGCCTCGACACAATCCTCTCGGAGCCCTACGGTCAATTCCTTCAACCTCATGGCTTGGTTTTTGCTCTGACATGCACTGTCAACTGTGGGAGCTTATATAGACAGGTGTGTGCCTTTCCAAATCATGTCCAATCAATAGAATTTACCACAGGTGGACTCCAATCAAGTTGTAGAAACATCTCAAGGATGGTCAATGGAAACAGGATGCACCTGAGCTCAATTTCGAGTCTCATAACAATAATCAATACTTATGTAAATAAGGTATTTCTGTTTTACATTTTTTATGAATGTGAAAACAATTATAAAAATCTGTTTTTGTTTTGTCATTATTGTGTATAGATTGCTTTTTTAAATAAAAAATCCATTATAGAATAAGGCTGTAACGTAACAAAGTGGAAAAAGTGAAGGGGTCTGAATACTTTCCGAATGCATTGTATGTACATGAAGGCAGGGTAAAGTCAATAGGCATCCGGATAGACAATGATGATAATAATAAGGGTAAAATAAAGAACAGAGTAGCAGCAGAAAATGATGAGTGTAAAAGTGTGTGTATGTTTTTGTGTTGTGTCGGTATGCGTGTGTGTATGTAGTGTTAGAATGTGTGAGGGATTTTTGTGGGAGTGACAGTAGTGTGTGTGTATATACAAAGTCTAATTAGTGTGCGTAGGGTCAGTGCAAAATAGTCAGTGCAGATAATTCCTGTACCATTAATTGACTATTCAGCAGTCTGGCCATTTAGCGGTCTTATGGCTTGGGGGTAGAAGCTGTCTCGGAGCCTGTTGGTACGAGAGCCGATGCTAGGGTACCGTTTGCAGGACTTTAGCAGAGTGAAAAGTCTATGGCTTGGGTGGCTGGGGTCTTTGTCAATTTTCCGGGCCTTCCTCTGACACCGCCTGATATAGAGGTCCTGGGCTGTCCGCACCACCCTGTATAGCACTTTGTGGTGATGCAGCCAATCAAGGTACTCTCAATGGTGCAGCTGTATAACTTTTTGAGGATCTGAGGGCCCATGCCAAACCTTCAGCCTCCTGAGGGGGAAGAGTTGCTGCCGTGCCCTCTTCACGACTGCGGGTTTGTGTGGACGGGTTTGTGTGGACCATGTTAAGTCTTTAGTGATATGGACAACAAGGAACTTAAAGCTCTCGACTCGCTCCACAACAGCCCTGTGGATGGGGGCGTGCTCTCCCCTCTTTCTCCTATAGTCCACGATCAGCTCCTTGGTCTTACTGAGGTTGAGGGAGAGGTTGTTGTTCTGACACCACGCTGCTAAGTCTCTGACCTCCTCCCTGTAGGCTGATTCATCGCTGTTGGTGATCACGCCTACCACCGTTGTGTCGTTAGCAAACTTGATGGTGTTGGAGACATGCGCGGCTGCGCAGTCGTGGGTGAACAGGGAGTACAAGAGGGGACTAAGTACACACCCCTGAGGGGCCCCTGTGTTGAGGGTCAGCGTGGCGGAGGTGTTGTCGCCTACCCTCACCTCCTGGAGCTGACCCGTCAGGAAGTCCAGGATCCAGTTGCAGAGGGAGGGGTTCAGTCCCAGGGTCCCTAGCTTGGTGATGAGCTTGGAGGGGACTATGGTGTTGAACGCTGCACTGAACAGCATTCTCACAAAGGTGTTCCTTTTGTCCTGCTGGGCAGTGTGGAATGCGATTGAGATTGTGTCATGTGTGGATCTGTTGGGGCGGTATGCGAATTGGAGTGGGTCTAGGGTTTCCGGGATGATGGTGTTGATGTGAGCCATGACCAGCCTTTCAAAGCACTTCATGGCTACCGACGTGTGTGCTACGGGGTGGCAATAATTTAGGCAGGTTACCTTCGCTTTCTTGGACACAGGGACTATGGTGGTCTGCTTGAAACATGTACGTATTACAGACTCGGTCAAGGAGAGGTTGAAAATGTCAGTGAAAACACTTGCCAGTTGCTTTGAGTACACATCCTGGTAATCCGTCTGGCCCCGCGGCTTTGTGACTGTGTTTAATGGTCTTGCTCACATCGGCTACGGAGAGTGTGATCACACAGTCGTGTGCTCTCATGCACGCTTCAGTGTTGCTTGCCTCGAAGCGAGCATAAAAGGCATTTAGCTCGCCTGGTAGTTTCCCTTTGTAGTCCGTAATAGTTTGCAAGCCCTGCCACATCCTTCGAGTGTCAGAGCCGGTGTTGTAGGATTCAATTTAGTCCTGTATTGACGCTTTGCCTGTTTGTTGGTTCATCTGAGGGCATATCGGGATTTCTTATAAGCTTCCGGATTAGTGTCCCGCTCCTTGAAAGCGGCAGCTCTAGCTTTCAGCTCGGTGCAGATGTTGCCTATAATTCATGGCTTCTGGTTGGGATATGCACGTACGGTCGTCAATGCACTTATTGATGAAGCCGGTGACTGAGGTGCTATACTCCTCAATGCCATTGGATGAATCCCGGAACATATTCTAGTCTGTGCTAGGAAAACTGTCCTGTAGCGTAGCATCCGCGTCATCTGACCACTTCCGTATTGAGCGAGTCACTGGTATTTCCTGCTTTAGTTTTTGCTTGAAAGCAGGAATCAGGAGGATAGAATTATGGTCAGATTTGCCAAGTGGAGGGCGAGGAGAGCTCTGTGTGTGTCTCTGTGTATTGAGTAAAGGTGGTCGAGAGTTTTTTATTTCCTCTGGTTGCACGTGACATGCTGGTAGAAATTAGGTCAAACGGATTTAAGTCCCCGGCCACTAGGAGCGCCGCTTCTGGATGAGCATTTTCTTGTTTGCTTATGGCCTTATATAGTTGGGTTGGAACTCGTAAGATGTCGCCCTTCTCCGTCTGTGTTACCTGATGATCTTCCCTGATGTTTTCCTGAACTTTTCAATACCTCACTTTGTGATGCAATTGTTACACCTTTCCTATATTCAAGTCATTTGACATATTTTCATATTAGCCTTATGAACATATAAACTTTGTTGCAGATTCTGTCTGTGCTAGAATGGTTATAAACACCATAAAATTATAAAAAAAATTATATCGGTATTGGCGCAGAACTTCCACATCGGTGCATCCCTAACTTGAACATGTAAAACCAGATAGAAAGTATGTAGAAATTATAATGAAATAACTGCCCTTTTTCTGGCTCACAAATTGATTTTGATGAACAAATCGGTCCCAAAATAATCTGTGCGGCCCTCCATGGAATTAAGAAATCCGATGTGGCCCTCGAGCCAAAAGGTTTGCCCACTCCTGGGTTTAGGATCACTGCTGTGAAAACAGTGTAACAACAAATTATTAAAATACAGTGGGGAAAAATAGTATTTAGTCAGCCACCAATTGTGCAAGTTCTCCCACTTAAAAAGATGAGAGGCCTGTAATTTTCATCATAGGTACACGTCAACTATGACAGACAAATTGAGAAAAGAAAATCCAGAAAATCACATTGTAGGATTTGTAATGAATTTATTTGCAAATTATGGTGGAAAATAAGTATTTGGTCACCTACAAACAAGCAAGATTTCTGGCTCTCACAGACCTGTAACTTCTTCTTTAAGAGGCTCCTCTGTCCTCCACTCGTTACCTGTATTAATGGCACCTGTTTGAACTTGTTATCAGTATAAAATACACCTGTCCACAACCTCAGTCACACTCCAAACTCCACTATGGCCAAGACCAAAGAGCTGTCAAAGGACACCAGAAACAAAATTGTAGACCTGCACCAGGCTGGGAAGACTGAATCTGCAATAGGTAAGCAGCTTGGTTTGAAGAAATCAACTGTGGGAGCAATTATTAGGAAATGGAAGACATACAACATTTACATTTAAGTCATTTAGCAGACGCTCTTATCCAGAGCGACTTACAAATTGGTGCATTCACCCTATAGCCAGTGGGTTAACCACTTTACAACAACATTTTTTTATTTTATTTTATTATTATTATTTTTTTTTGGGGGGGGGGGGGCTAGAAGGATTACTTCATCCTATCCCAGGTATTCCTTAAAGAGGTGGGGTTTCAAATGTCTCCGGAAGGTGGTGAGTGACTCCGCTGTCCTGGCGTCGTGAGGGAGCTTGTTCCACCATTGGGGTGCCAGAGCAGCGAACAGTTTTGACTGGGCTGAGCGGGAACTATGCTTCCGCAGAGGAAGGGGAGCCAGCAGGCCAGAGGTGGATGAACGCAATGCCCTCGTTTGGGTGTAGGGACTGATCAGAGCCTGAAGGTACGGAGGTGCCGTTCCCCTCACTGCTCCATAGGCAAGCACCATGGTCTTGTAACGGATGCGAGCTTCAACTGGAAGCCAGTGGAGTGTGCGGAGGAGGGGGGTGACGTGAGAGAACTTGGGAAGGTTGAACACCAGACGGGCTGCGGCATTCTGGATGAGTTGTAGGGGTTTAATGGCACAGGCAGGGAGCCCAGCCAACAGCGAGTTGCAGTAATCCAGACGGGAGATGACAAGTGCCTGGATTAGGACCTGGCCGCTTCCCGTGTAAGGCAGGGTCGTACTCTCCGAATGTTGTAGAGCATGAACCTGCAGGATCGGGTCACCACCTTGATGTTAGCGGAGAACGACAGGGTGTTGTCCAGGGTCACGCCAAGGCTCTTCGCACTCTGGGAGGAGGACACAACGGAGTTGTCAACTGTGATGGCGAGATCATGGAACGGGCAGTCCTTCCACTGATAATCTCCCTTGATCTGGGGCTCCACGCAAGATCTCACCCCGTGGGGTCAAAATGATCACAAGAACGGTGAGCAAAAATCCCAGAACCACACGGGGGGACCTAGTGAATGACCTGCAGAGAGCTGGGACCAAAGTAACAAAGCCTACCATCAGTAACACACTACGCCGCCAGGGACTCAAATCCTGCAGTGCCAGACGTGTCCCCCTGCTTAAGCCAGTACATGTCCAGGCCCGTCTGAAGTTTGCTAGAGTGCATTTGGATGATCCAGAAGAGGATTGGGAGAATGTCATATGGTCAGATGAAACCAAAATAGAACTTTTTGGTAAAAACTCAACTCGTCATGTTTGGAGGACAAAGAATGCTGAGTTGCATCCAAAGAACACCATACCGACTGTGAAGCATGGGGGTGGAAACATCATGCTTTGGGGCTGTTTTTCTGCAAAGGGACCAGGATGACTGATCCGTGTAAAGGAAAGAATGAATGGGGCCATGTATCGTGAGATTTTGAGTGAAAACCTCCTTCCATCAGCAAGGGCATTGAAGATGAAACGTGGCTGGGTCTTTCAGTATGACAATGATCCCAAACACACCGCCCGGGCAACGAAGGAGTGGCTTCATAAGAAGCATTTCAAGGTCCTGGAGTGGCCTAGCCAGTCTCCAGATCTCAACCCCATAGAAAATCTTTGGAGGGAGTTGAAAGTCTGTGTTGCCCAGCGACAGCCCCAAAACATCACTGCTCTAGAGGAGATCTGCATGGAGGAATGGGCCAAAATACCAGCAACAGTGTGTGAAAACCTTGTGAAGACTTACAGAAAACTTTTGACCTGTGTCTTTGCCAACAAAGGGTATATAACAAAGTATTTAGAAACTTTTGTTATTGACCAAATACTTATTTTCCACCATAATTTGCAAATAAATTCATAAAAAATCCTACAATGTGATTTTCTGGATTCTTTTTCTCATTTTGTCTGTCATAGTTGAAGTGTACCTATGATGAAAATTACAGGCCTCTCTCATCTTTTTAAGTGGGAGAACTTGCACAATTGGTGGCTGACTAAATACTTTTTTTCCCCACTGTACTTGTTTTTCCAGTTATTCCCTTTTTCTGCACTTTTCTCTCTACGCGTATTCTGACCTTGAACTTAAGCATGAGAAACATGAAGGTGTGGTGGATGTGTGTCTACAGATGCGCCATGTTCTGACCTTGACTTAATTCCCCTCATAATTCCACCCCCTTTACGCGTGATGAAACGATGAATAAGATTGAGTAACCTATCGGTTCCAAGTGGAACATCTACTTTCTTTTTCAGATAGAAATAACACCATTATCCATACACTGCAATTTACAAATTGAGAAGAGATATTGATAAGAGCTAGGTAAGCCATTTGGATAAGGGGATTGTAAATATAAATGACAATTGTTTTAGATCTATTTTACCTTATCGCTGGAGACAAATGTGAAACCAGTCATATGGCAGTAAACTGAAGTGTATATAAACATATCACCTTTTCCACAGTGAAGTTTATGAAATGCTGGCCTTATAATTTGGGATGAAATTTGGAGACCCAGGCTATAGGCTTCTGTAGCCATGCGCAAATTACAGTATAGCGCCAAACCTACCGAGTTGATTTATAATTTCTAGAATGTTTTAATTATATGCCCGGACTTTCCACTCTTTTTTAAAAAATCAATTTGTATGGTGTTAAATATTAGCCACTCTGTATCCACCATCAGTTATACCCACATGCATTTATAACGGTCACTGACTTTCGTGTTAGTTCCCTTACATTTTGCATCATTCCATTACATCGTTAGTTTACCTTTCTTTCTTCTGTCACCTTTGTGTGGTTCTTACTGAGGATCGCTAGCAATAGTGGATCATATTAGGTTAACGTAGGCCATTACAAGTTGTGCAATAATTTGGGACATGTAGCCTATTTGAATCATTATGGACAGACCATATTTAGCAGTTTTAAACCTGGAGCCTGGCGCATGGTTCACGACGACTGGACCGTTGTCATCACAATTCCATGATTAGTGAGAATTATTAGGGTAGATTTATAGGACTACAGTTCAACACCTATCGTACACTTTTTAACCTTCTAATATTTCATGGATTGAACTATTTGAATATGGCAACTTTCAGGATAAATCAAACAAATTTTTTATTCACCAATATATTTCATGCGTAAAGGCTCTCCAAACCGTTATTTATTTGTATTATTCATCAATACTTTCCTAATACAAAATTATTTACAAGATCTGAATATTTTAAAATCTACCAATTGGTGCTGAAAAGGAGAAAATATGTGTGTATTTACATCGCTTTCTTTCATTGATCCCTAATATTCTGAACCGTTCTCTCCATATATTCTAGTGAGTCTGTTGAGAAAATTCTAATTAAAGGTACACCAAATTTAAAGGGATGGCTTTAGATAAATGTACTGAAAACCCTATTGAATGAAAACTCCATGAGAAAATCTGTTGTCCAGCAAGTGGGAGGGTTTTCAGCGGTTTAATAAAATGTATTCAGCGCACAATAGGGAACCACGCCTGGAAAGCCCGTTACGCACCTGCATAAGATCTGAATACCAACTACGGAGAAGTACGTAGGAAAGGCGTACATTTCTTCTGAATCGGGCCCTTAGTGAATAGGTGCTGCCAGCAATAGACAATGTACAAACAGAATACAGACACAAAGTCAACATACAAAATATACATACATAATTGACAATATAAATACAGTAAACATCAGGATTAATTGCAACAACAATGATATAATAATAAGAACTCTAATGGAGTGTAGCTAACGTTGACGTAATCCTGATGGTCTCCACTGGTCTCTGTGTTTGTTCAGACCGGAGCAGGTGGGAGGGCTACAATGCTTCAGCAGGCGCTTACGACCCCCGCTACAGAGACTACTATGACCAGAACTACTGGTACAACTACAACCCTGAGGCCTACCGGGGCAGGGAGGCTGCCTACTACAACCAGCAGCCCACCCAGCAGTACCCTGCCGCCACCGCCAGGTATTCGGTTATACAGCCTTGATTGTTGTAAAAATATATATTCTGGGTCATTTTTTCATTGAGATATAATGTCACTAATGATAGGGAAAAACAAATGGGTAGAGGAATACAGAATGAAGGTGCAGGCAGGGTTTGAAACCATGCCGCAAGGGGCAATGTGTGGTCCGGAGTTAGAAGTGCTACCACTAAACCAGACTATGGATTAATTAGCACTTGATTGATTAGCACTTCCAGATGCTCAGTCATAGTGGTTTACATTTGGTATTTAGCTTAACTCGCCTCATCCACAACCAACTTGTAACATCCATCACACACTACAGGAGCAAGAATGACTGAATTCAAAAGTCCAGCATTTCTACTTCGATGGCTGTTGTCTATATTGTGATTTCTGTTCTCTGTTGTGGTAATGATTGTGGGCTAAACTCTAACTTTCTAATAAAAGTTTGACATATTTATGTTGAAGGGATGGTTCACCTGAATTACAAAATTACATATTTGTTTCTTTACCTTGTAAGGGAAAAAAGTATTTGATCCCCTGCTGATTTTGTATGTTTGCCCACTGACAAAGACATGATCAGTCTATAATTTTAATGGTAGGTTTATTTGAACAGTGAGAGACAGAATAACAACAAAAAAATCCAGAAAAATGCATGTCAAAAATGTTATAAATTGATTTGCATTTTAATGAGGGAAATAAGTATTTGACCCCTCTGCAAAACATGACTTAGTACTTGGTAGCAAAACCCTTGTTGGCAATCACAGAGGTCAGATGTTTCTTGTAGTTGGCCACCAGGTTTGCACACATCTCAGGAGGGATTTTGTTCCACTCCTCTTTGCAGATCTTCTCCAAGTCATTAAGGTTTTGAGGCTGACGTTTGGCAACTCGACCCTTCAGCTCCCTCCACAGATTTTGAATGGGATTAAGGTCTGGAGACTGGCTAGGCCACTCCAGGACCTTAATGTGCTTCTTCTTGAGCCACTCTTTTGATGCCAAAGAGCTCGATTTTGGTCTCATCTGACCACAACACTTTCACTCAGTTCTCCTCTGAATCATTCAGATGTTCATTGGCAAACTTCAGACGGCCCTGTATATTTCTTGAGCAGGGGGACCTTGCGGGCCCTGCAGAATTTCAGTCCTTCACGGCTTAGTGTGTTACCAATTGTTTTCTTGGTGACGATGATCCCAGCTGCCTTGAGATCATTGACAAGATCCTCCCGTGTAGTTCTGGGCTGATTCCTCACCATTCTCATGATCATTGCAACTCCACGAGGTGAGATCTTGCATGGAGCCCCAGGCCGAGGGAGATTGACAGTTATTTTGTGTTTCTTCCATTTGCGAATAATCGCACCAACTGTTGTCACCTTCTCACCAAGCTGCTTGGCAATGGTCTTGTAGCCCATTCCAGCCTTGTGTAGGTCTACAATCTTGTCCCTGACATCCTTGGAGAGCTCTTTGGTCTTGGCCATGGTGGAGAGTTTGGAATCTGATTGATTGATTGATTGCTTCTGTGGACAGGTGTCTTTTTATACAGGTAACAAGCTGAGATTAGGAGCACTCCCTTTAAGAGTGTGCTCCTAATCTCAGCTCGTTACCTGTATAAAAGACACCTGGGAGCCAGAAATCTTTCTGATTGAGAGGGGGTCAAATACTTATTTCCCTCATTAAAATGCAAATCAATTTATAACATTTTTGACATGCGTTTTTCTGGATTTTTTTGTTGTTATTCTGTCTCTCACTGTTCAAATAAACCTACCTTTAAAATTATAGACTGATCATTTCTTTGTCAGTGGGCAAACGTGCAAAATCAGCAGGGGATCAAATACTTTTTTTCTCCTCACTGTATGGACAAGGACATGGTGCATTCCATGGGTTAGGTTTGTTTACTTAGCCACTGCCACCACCTCCTAACTTTTGGGGTGAACTACCCCTTTAATGAGAGACCAGCCCTGAAATGATTGTTCTGCATTCCAATCTCAGCGTTAGTAATCGCCCCCCAGTGTGATGATTGTTGTGCCGCCTAACATGGCCAAGTCTAGTTCTAATGGAGTTTCTGTGTGTAGGCCACATGGCTATGACGACCAGTGGCGCTACTATCCTGGTTACGATGCCAGTTTTGACGATGACTACCGGCGGCAGAGGGACCCGTACAGGGACGATTTTGACAGACGGAGCGTCCACAGCGAACAGTCGGCCCACAGTCTACACAGCTCCCAAAGCCATCGCAGCCGACGCAGCAGCTTTAGCTCCCGCTCACAACAGGTTTGTGTGTCTATATGGATTTGAGAAAGACTGTCTTAATTTCCTCCCAGTGTTGGTACTTTTTTCTTTGTTTTTAGTGTGGGTCATCACATCTGTGTGTGAATCACTTTTGTGTTGTAGTTTCTTCAAACCATCCAAAATATTAACTAATGTACCCCCCTCTGCCCTGTAGAGCGAGGTGTATAGGTCCCAGCCTGACCTGACAGCGGTTTACGACCCCACTGTGTCTACCCTGCCTGTGGACTACTCCTATGGACAATACCCAGAGCAGACGGACCCCGGACAGAGCTTCAGCCAGTACCCCTACACCTCGGGCTACCAGGCAGACGACAGCACCTGGGTTGCCGCTGAGCAGCGTAAGAACATTGTTACTGGTAACATTCATTTGTCATTTCTGGTTTGCAGAATAGAAGAAAGAACCAGTAGGTGTTGAGTCCGATGAGTGATTCTGACTGATCTGGGGATTTTCCTGATTGCTGACCTTATCTGATTCTTGAAATGGCTTGTAGCCTTTTCCCCTCTGATTTGTCTCGATTGTGCTCGTCACAGTCCTGAGTAGTGGAAATTGGAACAGAATGTTCAGTCTGTTCAGATTTTGGATTGTTGATAAAGTTCTCCCTCTCCCCCCCAGCTCCTCCTCGTCCCGTTACTCCAGAGAAGTACTCGGTATCCCACCGCTGTGCCCGCTTCGGGCCAGGGGGTCAGCTGATCCAGGTCCTGCCCAACCTCCCCTCGGCCGGCCAGCCTGCTCTAGTGGAGATCCACAACATGGAGGTAACCCTGTGAACCCAACCCACAACCCAGCCTTCTGATCGGCTGAGGCCGGAATTCAATCGTCACCGATAGCGTTTCAAAGAGCACTGGAAATAATAAATCCATACTGGGATTCAAACAAATATTTGAAGTACGGGTGTGGCTTTGTGTCAATAATATCCCATGGTAATATCCATGTGATGTCAATCTTTAAATACACAGGGAGGTGATGGGATGTCCACTAAGCAGCTTGTGAAGTGTGTTGGCCATAATGAGGTTGACATCTTCAATACAGCATAAATAACCTGAGAAGAATGTTGTAGTTCAGGCAAATTCAAATCTGGACCTTGAAGCCAGTAACACTGCTGATTTTCATTCTTCCTCTCTAATCAAGGACTGATTTAGACCTGGAACACCAAGTGGGTGCAATTAATTATCAGGTAGAACAGAAAACCAGCAGTACTCTGGATCCTTCAGGGTCTGATTTGAATACCCCTGATGTAGTAGGTAGTTGTGCTATGGGCTCTTACTTACTTTAGGTCAGCTAGGTGCTGAACATGGCCCTGGTGTTTCACCGTCTGCTTCGGTGGTGTTGATGCTTCTGATGAGTCAGCTAGTCTGTGTAAGACATCCTTAACTGGGGGTCTGTCATTGATTGTTGTGAGAAGGTGTGAGGAACGATCAGCATTTTAGCACATGGGTGTAAGGATACGAATGGACTGAGATTGGCAATGACTAGAGGAGATGGCGGTTCACTTGCAGCTCATGTATCATCAGACGGATACAGAACTGAACATGCATGAAGGATTTACCACAGCTGAATTCTGTATATAGCATATTTTATACCCGACGTAAGTACGCAACGCAAGTACGCCATTAGCTACGCAAAATTGCTTTCTTGCGTAGTTGCATCGTGTTACAGATTTTGACCTGCACACTTGTGTGTATTTTTGTGACGTAAGTACGCAGGACAGCCATTTTGCACAGCTAATAAACTAGGCTGTTATAGATTAGGCAATACAGATGCTAAACAAAGTCATTGTTTTATTATCCACCATAGGAAAAAACACAATTTGATTAGATTGTGAAAGTATGACCATTAAATGTCCTTTTGAAGTGTAATTCTCGAACATCTCTTGTTCTTCCTACAGACGATGCTGCAGGACACACCAGACCAGTCCGAGCTGCGCTCCTTCCCCGGACCGCTTTTGAAGTAAGAGCGCTTTGACCTTTCACCCTTAACCCCTAATGCCTAGTCTCCTAGGATGAGATAAAGATAAGGCTAGATCCTAGCTAGTCTCTAACCCCAACTGCTTAGCTACGTGTTCTACCTGCTTGTCGGTCTGTGTGAGATTGATTACATTGCAGGCGGACTATGCAGAAGGATTGATCTACAAATCAACTTGTATCCCAAATTCTGTGATCAAAATGAGCAATTCTGTGCCTCGCCTTGCTCAAACTGGTTCCCTCAAACAAGCTGTGTGTTACTTCTCACAGGGAGGAGACTCACAAGGTCGACGTGATAAAGTTCTCCCAGAACAAAGGCCTGGAGTGTGCCCGCAACAACGACCTCCTGGACAAGGACTCGGCTGCCCTCCTCTGGGACTTCATCGTGCTGCTGTGTAGGCAGAACGGGGTAAGACTGGTGGTCGGAGGTGGGACAAGACTCTTAGATTATATATATAGTTTCATTGTCTGTTTATTACAGATGCATTAAAAGACAACAACAAAAAGATAAACATGGTATAGACCCTTCAAATTCAAATTTGGACCTTGAAGCCAGTTCCACTGCTTTTTTTTATATTCTTCCCTTCTAATTAGGGACTGATTTAGACCTGGGACACCAGGTGGGTGCCATTATCAGGCAAAACAGAAAACCAGCAATATATCTGGACCTTTAAGGGTTGGATTTAAATAACCCTGTTATAGACCGTTGCATCGAGCATACACAGACCGTTGCATCAGACATACTTGTGTGTACAGTGCATTCTGAAAGTATGCAGACCCCTTCCCTTTTTCCACATTTTGTTACGTTACTGCCTTATTCAAAAATGGATTTAATTAATTAATTTCCTCATCAATCTACACCAGGGGTGCCCAACCAGTCGATCGCGATCTACTGGTCGATCGCGGATTGCTTGCCAGTCGATCGTGAGATGATTATACATCTACAAAAATTCAGCCACACAAATCAATGCCTATAATCTCTTTATGTTTTAATGTTCGACAGTCCTCCATTCACAGCAATGTCTGAAAAGTCACGTGATTTACATAAAATATGACCAGTCCCTGCCCACTTATTGACGTATGCCTACTTAGTGCGGTTAGATGCCGCCCGCCAACTCCAAGTCGAGGTCACGGTGATGCCAGGCAGGTAGCTAGCTAGCTAACTTTGTAGCCAGATTAGTTCTTAAATTGTGTGGTGGACAGCAGCAATAATGAGTGAAGGGAAGGATACAAAAAACAGAAAACGTATCATTTCCACAAGGAATGGGAGGAGGATAATTTTTTCGTCATGTCAAACTCAAAATGTGTGTGCCTCATCTGCCATAATAGCATCGCTATTCCAAAGAAAGGTAACATAGAACGACATTTTAAAACCACACACAAAACCCAAGAAAGAGATTTTCCAGCAAAGACTGAATTACGAAGAAGAAAGGTACAAGAACTAAACAATCAACTGGCAGTGCAGCAGTCCATTTTCATAAGGCCTGTGACCAAAGGGAAGGCGGCAACCATAGCATCTTATCGTGTGAGTCACGTTCTTGCTAAGCATAAAAAGTTGTTAAAAAGAAAAAAAAGAAAAGCCATTTAGCAGACGCTTTTATCCAAAGCGACTTACAGTCATGCGTGCATACATTTTTTGTGTATGGGTGGTCCAGGGGATCAAACCCACTACCTTGGCGTTACAAGCGCCGTGCTCTACCAGCTGAGCTACAGAGATTATCAAAGAAGCATTTATTGAGGCTGCAGACTCGCTGTTTGTGGATTTTAAGAATAACATTCAGTTGTCCAGAAATACGGTGACAAGAAGATGTGAGGGATTAGCGGAGAACCTCGAGGATCAACTGAAGAAGGATATCGACAACTGCGAGTATTATTCCCTCCAGTTTGAAGAGTCCACAGAAATGGTAGATGTGGCACAGTTATGCATTTTCATCAGAATGGTATTTGACAACATGAGTACAAAGGAGGAACTACTCGCCATTTTGCCACTGAAAGGACATACAAGATATTTTGTATGCTTTTTATGGAGTTTGCTAGCAAATTCCAACTTCCCTTTTGTAAGCTTGTCTCCATTACTACCGATGCGGCGCCTGCTATGGTAGGCCGCATTAGTGGGTTTGTTGCATTGTACAAACGAGATTATTCTTTCCCGGACTTTCTTAGTTATCACTGCGTAATTCATCAGCAAGCTTTGTGCGGGAAGATGTTAAACATGAAAGAGGTGATGGATGTTGCGATGAAGATTGTGTGTTCTATTCGAGCAAGAAGCCTACAGCGGAAGCTATTTTGCGCTCACTTAGAAGAGACTGAAGCGGAGCACACAGACCTGCTGCTGCACACGGATGTGCGGTGGCTGAGCCGAGGTACATTTTTAGGGAGATTCAGTTAGTTGTTGCCTGAAATCAAGGAGTTTTTCAAGGTCTCCAAACATGCAGAATATGCTCAGCTAGAGGACACAGTGGCTCCTGGATGTAGCTTTTCTCACTGACCTAACTTACATTCTTAATGAATTGAATGTAGAGCTGCAAAGAAAAGGCAACCGTAATCGACATGATCAGCTCTGTGAACACTTTTAAATGCAAACTACAACTGCTCACAAGAAAGCTGCAATGTAAGGACCTGCACTTCTTTCAACACATGCGTTCAGAACTTGAACGTCAGGGCAAGGATACAGCACAACTTGACAGTGCACGTTACGTGGAGCAAGTCCAGAGCATCTTATCTGAGTTTGACAGTCGTTTCACTGACTTTGCATCACTTGAGCCTATTGCCACTTACGTGCTTTCCGTTTGGCACAGACATAAATGTGGAAGTCATTGCCTCCAAAATGGGATCACTTTCTCAGTTGGACACAACTATAGCAGAAACTGAAATTCTCACACTTCAAAATGACATTCAGCTGAAATCCAGGGCAACCACTGAGATGAAGGAATAGTTCTGGGAGCTACTGCTAGAGGAGAAGTATCCCAACATAAGAAGATGTGCTCTCAACTTATCAGCCCTTTTTGGATCAACCTACCTTTGTGAGTCTACATTTTCTCACATGAAGATAATAAAGTCCAAGTACAGATCTACAGTCGTGGTCAAAAGTTTTGAGAATGACACAAATACTAATTTTCACAAAGTCTGCTGCCTCAGTTTTGATGATGGCAATTTGCATATACTCTAGAATGTGATGAAGAGTGATAAGATGAATTGCAATTATTTGCAAAGTCCCTCTTTGCCATGAAAATGAACTTAATCCCCCAAAAACATTTCCACTGCATTTCAGCCCTGCCACAAAAGGACCAGCTGCCATCATGTCAGTGATTCTCTCGTTAACACAGGTGAGTGTTGACGAGGACAAGGCTGGAGATCACTCCATCATGGTGATTGAGTTAGAATAACAGACTGGACGATTTAAAAGGAGGGTGGTCCTTGAAATCATTGTTCTTCCTCTGTTAACCATGGTTACCTGCAAGGAAACACGTGCCGTCATCATTGCTTTGCACAAAAAGGGCTTCACAGGCAAGGATATTGCTGCTAGTAAGATTGGACCTAAATCAACCATTTATCGGATCATCAAGAACTTCAAGGAGAGAGGTTCAATTGTTGTGAAGAAGGCGTCAGGGTGCCCAAGAAAGTCCAGCAAGCGCTAGGACCGTCTCCTAAAATTGATTCAGCTGCGGGATTGGGGCACCACCAGTGCAGAGCTTGCTCAGGAATGGCAGCAGGCAGGTTTGAGAGCATCTGCACGCACAGTGAGGCGAAGACTTTTGGAGGATGGCCTGGTGTCAAAAAGGGCAGCAAAGAAGCCACTTCTCTCCAGGAAAAACATCACGGACAGACTGATATTCTGCAAAAGGTACAGGGATTGGACTGCTGAGGACTGGGGCTACCATCAGCGCTACCATCAGTCCTGTGTCATGCCAACAGTAAAGCATCCTGAGACCATTCATGTGTGGGGTTGCTTCTCAGCCAAGGGAGTGGGCTCACTCACAATTTTGCCTAAGAACACGGCCATGAATAAAGAATGGTACCAACACATCCTCCGAGAGCAACTTCTCCCAACCATCCAAGAACAGTTTGGTGATGACCAATGCCTTTTCCAGCATGATGGAGCACCTTGCCATAAGGCAAAAGTGATAACTAAGTGGCTCGGGGAACAAAACATCGAAATTTTGGGTCCATGGCCAGGAAACTCCCCAGACCTTAATCCCATTTGAGAACTTGTGGTCGATCCTCAAGAGGCGGGTGGACAAACAAAAACCCACAAATTCTGACAAACTCTAAGCATTGATTATGCAAGATGGGCTGCCATCAGTCAGGATGTGGCCCAGAAGTTAATTGACAGCATGCCAGGGCGGATTGCAGAGGTCTTGAAAAAGAAGGGTCAACACTGCAAATATTGACTCTTTGCATAAACTTAATGTAATTGTCAATAAAAGCCTTTGACACTTATGGAATGCTTGTAATTATACTTCAGTATACCATAGTAACATCTGACAAAAATATCTCATAACACTGAAGCAGCGAACTTTGTGAAGACCAATACTTGTGTCATTCTCAAAACTTTTGACCACGACTGTACTATGACTGATGACCACCTTGTGGCCTGTATGAGACTTGCAACAAGCTGACTATGAAAAACGACTTGCCTCCACCCAATGCCAAAAGTCACACTAAGGTAGGAAATGAAATTAGTTGCACTTATTTGTGGAAAACATGTTAATGGTCCACATTATATTTGGGTATCAAATAGGTATCATAGTGGCAGGTCCATACTCAGTGGTGTGTTGCGTTTCATACATTTTGTTGGTTGGTTTAGATTTAGAGACTGGTAGATCTCATCAGGCTGGCAAATGAAAAAGTAGATCTCACATCAAAGAAGGTTGGGCACACCTGATCTACACACAATACCCCATAATGACAAAGCGAAAACAGTTTTTTAGAAGTTTTTGCAAATGTATTACAAATAAAAAACAGATACCTTATTTACGTAAGTATTCTGAACCTTTTCTATGAGACTCTAAATTGAGCTCGGGTGCATTCTGTTTCCATTGATCATCCTTGCGATGTTTCTACAACTTGATTGGAGTCAACCTGTGGTAAATTCTATTGGTTGGACATGATTTGGAAAGGCACACATGTCTATCTATATAAGCTCCCACAGTTGACAGTGCATGTCAGAGCAAAAACCAAGACATGAGGTCGAAGGAATTCTCCATAGAGCTCAGAGACAGGATTGTGTCGGCACAGATCTGGGGAAGGGTATGAAAAAATGTCTGCAGCATTGAAGGTCCCCAACAACACAGTGGCCTCCATCATTCTTAAATGGAAGAAGTTTGGAACCACCAAGACTCTTCCTAGAATTGTCCGCCTGGCCAAACTGCGCAATCGGGGAGAAGGGCCTTGGTCAGGGAGGTGACCAAGAACCCGATGGTCACATGGGTGACAGAGCTCCAGAGTTGCTCTGTGGAGATGGGAGAACCTTCCAGAAGGACAACCATCTCTGCAGCCCTCCACCAATCAAGGCCTTTATGGTAGAGTGACCAGACGGAAGCCACTCAGTAAAAGGAACATGACAGCCCACTTGGAGTTTGCCAAAAGGCACCTAAAGGACTATATGACCATGATAAACAAGATTCTCTGGTCTGATGAATCCAAGATTGAACTTTTTGGCCTGAATGCCAAGCGTCACGTTTGGAGGAAACCAGGCACCATCCCTACGGTGAAGAATGGTGGTGGCAGCATCATGCTGTGGGGATGTTTTTCAGCGGCAGGGACTGGGAGACTAGCCAGGATCAAGGGAACGATAAACAGAGCAAAGTACAGAGAGATCTTGATGAAAACCTGCTCCAGTGCGCTCAGGACCTCAGGACACCTTCCAACAGGACAGCGACCCTAAGCGCACAGCCAAGACAATGCAGAAGTGGCTTCGGGACAAGTCTCTGAATGTCCTTGAGTGGCCCAGCCAGAACCCGATCGAACATCTCTGGAGAGACCTGAAAATAGCTGTGCAGCGAAGCTCCCCATCCAACCTGACAGAGCTTGAGAGGATCTGCAGAGAAGAATGGGAGAAACTCCCCAAATACAGGTGTGCCAAGCATGTGTCATACCCAAGAAGAGTCTAGGCCAGGGGTGTCAAACGTCCGGCCCGCGGGCCGGATCAGGCCCGCAAACGGGTTTAATCCGGCCCGCGAGATGATTTTGTAAAGTATAAAAATGAGCTGCAATTTTTCAATAAAAGAAACTGCTGTTCCAATTGTGTCCACTGGATGTCGCAATAGCAATTGTGTTAAGCAAGCAAACTGTTTATACCGGGGCAGAGCAAATAGGTCAAGCAAGTGCAGCCAGTCCAGATGAGCTACTTTTTTATGCCCGCAATATTTATTACGGCTTCTACTTTTAACATTATGTGCTTTGGCACCCTCATTGCCCCAATATGTCTCTGACAAAAAAGAGAAAAGTGGACGCAGAGTGCAGAGTGTTCCAAGAAAAATTGTCATCCTTCTATTTATTCACGGAATTGAATGGGAAAGCTGTATGTTTGGTGTGTTCACAGCATGTTGCAGTGCTGAAAGAATATAACCTTTGTCGCCACTATGTGAGTCTTCATGCCGACAAATATGACAACTTTCAAGGACAGCGGAGAAGAGAGAAGGTGAATGAACTGTTGGTGGGTCTGAAGAAACAGCAGTCTGTGTTTACTCACAGCCGAGACATCAGTGACGCTGCAGTGAAAGCTAGCTACCTCATTGCTAATGAAATCGCAGTGGCTTCAAAACCATTTAGTGAGGTTGAATTTGTAAAAACATGCATGATGAAGGCAGCAGAGATTGTGTGCCCTGAAAAGCACCAGGCTTTTGCAAATATCAGCCTGACAAGAAACACAGTTGCAGACAGGATTTCCGATCTTTCAGTGGATTTGGACAGCCAGTTGAAGCAAAAAGTAAAGTCATTTATTGCGTTTTCGGTTGCAATTGATGAAAGCACGGACATTACAGATGTTGCACAACTAGCCATTTTCATCCGCGGAGTTGATGACACATTGACCGTCACAGAGGAGTTCGTGGAGTTGGTGCCGATGACAGATACAACGACAGCAGCTGATATTTTCACTGCACTCGTCGGCGCGCTGGACAGGGTCGGAGTGGACTGGTCCCGCGCTGTCAGCCTGGCTACAGATTGTGCGCCCTCAATTATCGGGAAAAAAGCAGGCGTTGTGACAAAGTTCAGAGAGAAAGTGCAATCTGCAAATGGAGGACGTGATTTTTGGACATTTCACTGTATTTTGCACCAGGAGGCTTTGTGTTGCAAGTCATTAAAGATGGATAACGTCATGAAGGTGGTCATCCAAACTGTTAATTTCATCCGATCCAGAAGCCTGAATCACTGTCAGTTTGACAGCCTTCTCAGAGAGAAAGACCACATCTATGGCCTGCCATACCACACTGAGGTAAGATGGTTAAGCCGAGGTGCTGTGCTGAGGCGTTTCTTTGATTTACGAGAAGAAATTGAACAGTTCATGGAAGAAAAGGGCAAACCAGTGTTAGAATTTAATTCCGCAGAATGGATGCAGGACCTTGCATTTATGGTGGATGTTACAGAGCACCTGAATAACTTGAACAAACAGCTGCAAGGGCGCAAAGTTGCCACGCAGTATTATGACAGCATACGTTCTTTCAAGTTGACGCTGTCATTGTGGGAGACGCAACTCGCCGGTGGTGATGCAGCTCACTTCCCCTGTCTGAAAAATGTGTGCGCGACCCAACATGTGGCAGACATGAAGCGGTTCAAAGATAAAATAACGGGACTGTTAAGGGAGTTTGAGCAACGCTTTCAGATTTTTGGTGAACTGGAGAAAGACTTAAAAGTTTTTTGTTCGCCATTCACCGTGAATCCCTCTCATCTGCCCGTCAGCATCCAACTTGAAATAATAGACTTGCAGTGTGACTCGGATTTGAAGGGCAAATTTGCCGCAGCTGGCTTGGACACATTTTATCAGAATCTCTTGCCAGGTTACCCCAACTTGACAGCCCTCGCTGCAAAACTGTTGTGTATGTTTGGAAACACATATCTTTGTGAGCAAGTTCTCTGTAATGAGCATAAATAAAACAAAGCTGCGCTCAAGGCTCACGCACAAGCACTTGAATCACATCCTGAAGTTGGCTGCCACTCAGGATGTGACGCCTGATATTGATGCGCTGGTGAAAGCTAAAAGATGCCAGGTATCAGGAGTCAAATAAACTATGCAACCCCACTTAAAGTGCTGCATGAGACACCCTGATATAGTTCTGTGATATACTTCTGTGAATCACTGAGGCATTGTGTGTTTGTGTGTTGTTTGTCCTCAGAATTTCAAATAACTTGAGGTGTTTTATGATTAATAGTGATGTTGTGCTTTTGGACACACTGTCCTCAGGCTCCAGCTTTATGTTTATGTTTTTATGTTGATGTGCTATTGTTTTTAATTTATTTTATTTTATTTGTATATTTAACCTATTCTTGACTCTGTGGTTCTTGCACTTGTTTGGGGAACAGGATTTCATTATTTGTATCTACATTTCTGCCTGAGAAATGACACCCTGATATAGTTCTGTGATCTGTGAAACAGTTATGTGAATCACTGAGGCATTGTGTGTTTGTGTGTTCTTTTTCTTTAGAATTTTCAAATAAACTTCAGGTGTTTTATGATTAATAGTGATGTTGTGCTTGTACTATTTTGGACACACTGTCCTCAGGTTCCAGCTTTGTTTTATGTTGATAGTATTAAAACAAAGAAAACAATCTGAAGTTGTTGTTTTTAAGTTATATATACCATGATTTTACCGGTCCGGCCCACTTGGGAATAGATTTTCCTCCATGTGGCCCCTGAGCTAAAATGAGTTTGACACCCCTGGTCTAGGTTGTAATCGCTGCCGAAGGTGCTTTAACAAAGTACTGAGTAAAGGGTCTGAATACTAATGTAAATGTAATCATTTCTAAAAATCTGTTTTTGCCTTGTCATTATGAGGTATTGATTGATTGAGGGGGGGCAAAAACAATTTAATCAATTTTAGAATAAGGCTGTAACGTAACTCTCTGACAACAAGCAGTTTAAACTCGCCATTTGCATTTGAGGTTTGGTCCAACAATCGTCATATGGACACAGAAACACTTCCACATAATTTTTCTGTAATAGATGAGAACTTAACCTTTCTAACGATACCCTTTTTCTGTCTCAACTCAAAATGTAGAACAAAGCAGACCTTACTAAAACGCGAGTATCAATGAACATGTTGTGGAAAATGTATGCTCAGTTTCTGACGCGCGTGGCATTCGAATATTCCTGACCGTTAGAAATGTAGTGTATTGACCATTAATTGTGCAACAAAGCTTAGAAAGTAGAACAAAATTGAGATATATATTGTGACCCACCCATAAGTTTGAAAGAATCAAGATGATTTTTAGGTCATATAGCCCAGCCCTAGCATGGGGTAATTGTCTTGCTGGAAGATCAACTTGCGGCCAAGTTTCAGCCACCTGGCAGAGGCAACCAGATTTTTGGCAAACAAATTATTTTCTTTGAGCAATTGTATTAGTGTAAAATATGTTTTTATTATTTTTATAGTATTTTTTGCTCATCTTAATAAAGGGTGCCAATAATTTTGGTAATGACTGTGGTGTAGACCTATATCTAAACAAACCTCTTTCTCCCTCTTCCTCGATCTTCCCTCTCTCTCCCTTTCTCTCAGACCGTGGTTGGGACAGACATAGCTGATCTGTTGCTGAAGGAGCATCGCTCAGTGTGGTTGCCGGGCAAGTCGCCTAATGAGGCCAACCTGATTGACTTCAACAACGAGCCACTGGCGCGGGCCGAGGAGGAGCCTGGGACGGGACCACTGTCCCTCCTATCAGACACCTTCATGATTGTCCCCGAGAACGTCGGCAAGGAAACGGAGCGCTTCAGGGAACTGCTGCTATTTGGTCGCAAGAAGGTTTGAATGCCATCTACCTTGAATTTACTGGTTTATGTTAAGGGGGAGAGTAGGAGGAAATGCATATTTTTAGGAGACAATGTGAAAAACATGCATCGCGAGATTGTTGCAGAATCGAATGAGAACTTTAATTACTTCCAAAATGCAGTGCAAAGCAGGATAAAATTGCAGAACAACGTGATTGTATGGGAACTTAGTTAACCCATTTAGGGTATATTTAGAAAGTATTTTGACTGTGTTGTGATTATGTGTACTATAGCTATACGAGTTAGATCCTTTTTACTACCTGTGCGTGTGTAGGATGCCCTGGAGGCAGCCATGAAGGGAGCTCTGTGGGGCCACGCCCTGTTGTTGGCCAGTAAGATGGACAGCCGGACACACGCTCGCGTCATGACCAGGTGGGTGAAGAGAAAGCATGCAACGGCTTTAGTCAGGGGCTTCAGCAAAAAAAGACGATTCTGAACACTGATCTATGCTGCTAGCCTGGTCCCAGATCTGCCAAACATAGCATGATAACAATCATAGGAGTTGGCTATACAGCAACAGATCTGGGACCTGAGGTATACAGCAACAGATCTGGGACCAGAGGGGTATACTACGAATCTAGCTAGATCTACTCAGGGTTTTCTAAAGCTAGCCAGCTTCAGTTAGCTTCACAAGCTCAGGCTTCATCCATGTTACGAAGGTGAATTGTGATCCTACAGCTACCGCTAGCTTGAGTAGAACTCGGGCCATGCTTGTAACTGCGCGTACATGTTGCAAGTGGTCACCCCAGCTAGTCAAATGCCGAACTCTTCATTGAGAAAATGCCAAACCATCAATCCATGAGTGAGTCAGTGCCACATTTGAATTATTTCAGAAATGAAAATGAAAGAAAAGATATTCAGCAGGCTATGGTGGGAAATTGGCTATTAGAAGACCGTCTTTCTTTTTTTACTCGTATCATTAACGCCATCTTTGGTGTGAAATGCACAATCACCTTTATCCCCTCTATCGAGATTTTTTTTAAATTAAATTATATGAAAGTTTCACTGTGCTTGAAGTTTCAAATTCACCCTGTCATAAATGTGTAGTGTGATTTGTATTTGGATACAACCATTTTTAACACAAGAACATTTTAAATATTTAATTAGGTGTCTTCCTCAATTATGGTCAGGAGAATGAAGGGATGACACACTCTTTGCGAGATGGAGGGAATCTAATTGGTCCTCTACTCGAGGCTCAAACACTTCATTCAAGATAAGTGGAGTTAGCCCTGAGTTAGCCTTCCCCAGAGCAGGTTAGTTCTGAAGGATTCGTTACCATAGGAAAAAAAAGGTGCGCCACTCGGTTATCCCGAGTTCAACTCCGAGTTGACCAAAGTTAGCTCGCTAACTCCTCTATCCAGATTCGTAGTACACCACTCAAGGTTTCAAAATACAAATCAATTTTAGAATAAGGCTGTAATGTAACAAAATGTGGAAAAATTAATGGGGTCTGAATACTTTCCAAATGCAGTGTATACACGGGGTACCAGTACCGAGTCGAAGTGGACGGGTATGAAGTAATTGAGGTAGATATGTACATACATGGCGCAGTGGTCTAAGGCACTGCATCGCAGTGCTAGCTGTGTCACTAGAGATCCTGGTTCATATCCAGGCTCTGTCGTAGCCGGCCGCGACTGGGAGACCCATGGGGTGGCGCACAATTGGCCCAGCGTCGTCCATGGTATGGGAGGGAATGGCCGGCAGGGATGTAGCTCAGTTGGTAGAGCATGGCGTTTGCAACGCCAGGGTTGTGGGTTCGATTCCCACTGGGGGGCAGTATGAAAAAAATAAACAATAATAATAATGTATGCACTCACTACCTGTAAGTCGCTCTGGATAAGAGCGTCTGCTAAATGACAAAAAATGTAAATGTAAATATAGGTAGGGGTAAAGTGACTAGGCAACAGGATAGATAATAAGCAGTAGCAGCAGTGTATGTGATGAGCCAAAAGTGAGTGCAAAGAAGTTACTGCAGATAGTCAGGGTAGCTATTTGGTTAACTATTTGGCTAAAGCTGCTTCTTTCAATGAGCGGGACACTAATCTGGAATCTTATAAGAAATCCTGCTATACCCTCCGACGAACCATCAAACAGGCAAAGGGTCAGTACAGGACTAAGGTCCAATCCTACTACATCGACTCTGACACTCGTCGGATGTGGCACGGCTTGCAAACTATCACGGATTACAAAGGGCATCCCAGCCGCGAGCTGCCCAGTGACGTGAGCCTACCAGATGAGCTAAATGCCTTCCATGCTCGCTTCGAGGCAAGCAACACTGAACCATGCGTGAGAGCACCAGCTGTTCCGGACGGCTGTGTGATCACGCTCTCCGTAGCCAATGTGAGTAAGACCTTTTAAACAGGTTAACATTCACAAGGCCGCAGGGCCAGACGGATTACCAGGATGCTTACTCAGAGCATGCGCTGACAAGCTGGCAAGTGTCTTGCCTGCCACTTTAAACCTCTCCCTGACCCAGTCTGTAATGACTACATGTTTCAAGCAGACCACCATAGCCCCTGTGCCGAAGAACGCCAAGGTAACCTGTCTAAATGACTATCGCCCTGTAGCCATGAAATGCTTTGAAAGGTTGGTCATGGCTCAACACGCCCCCATTTTCCTTGTCCAGGGTAAGCATAACGTCCAGTGCTGGCGACTCGTTGAAGTAGAAATCTTCATCCAAATCGAGGCTAGTGATCGCTGTTCTGAAATCCAGAAGCTCTTTTCCATCATAGGAAATTATGGCGGAAACATTAGTGCCTTCAGAAAGTATTCACCCCCCTAAAATAGATTACATTGAGATTTTGTCACTGGCCTACACACAATACCCCATAATGTCAAAGTGGAATTATGTTGTTTAAAAAAAAATCTGATTAATACAAAATTAAAAGCTGAAATGTCTTGAATCAAGCCTAAATAAGTTCAGGTGTAAACATTTGTTTAACAAGTCACATAATAAGTTACATGGACTCACTCTGCGCAATAGTCGTGTTTAACATTATTTTTGAATGACTACCTCATCTCTGTACCCCGCAAATACAATTATCTGTAAGGTTGAGCAGTGAATTTCAAACACAGGTTCAACCACCAAGACCACGTTTTCTAATGCCTCGCAAAGAAGGGCACCTATTGGTAGATGGGTAAAAAAAAAATATAAGCAGACATTGAATATCCCTTTAAGCATGGTGAAGTTATTAATTACACTTTGGATGGTGTATCAATACACATAGTCACTACAAAGATACAGGCATCCTTCCTGACTCAGTTGCCGGAGAGGAAGGAAACCGCTCAGGGATTTCACCATGACACCAATGGTGACTTTAAAACTGTTACAGAGTTTAATGGCTGTGATAGGAGAGAACTGAGGATGGATCAACAACATTGTAGATACTCCACAATACTAACCTAATTGACAGAGTGAAAAGGAAGCCTGTACAGAATACAAATATTCCAAAACATGCATCCTGTTTGTCCTAAATACAAAGTGTCATGTTTGGGGCAAATACAATACAATACATTACTGAGTATCACTGTCCATATTTTCAAGCATAGTGGTGGCTGCATCATGTTATGGGTGTACTTGTAATAATTTAGGACTGGGGAGTATTTCAGGATAAAAAAGAAACGGAATGGAACTTAGCACAGGCAAAATCCTGGTTGTCTGCTTTCCACCAGACGCTGGAAGATGAATTCACCGTTCAGCAGGACAATAACAGTAGGCCAAATCTACACTGGAGTTGCTTTTTTAAGTTTTGACTTTAATCTACTTCAAAATCTATGGCAAGACCTGAAAATGGTTGTCTAGCAATGATCCAACAACCAATTTGACAGAACTTGAAGAATTCTGAAAAGAATAATGGGCAAATGTTGCTAAATCCAGATGTGGAAAGCTCTTAGAGACTTACCCAGAAAGACTCACAGCTGTAATCGCAGCCAAAGGTGCTTCTATAAAGTATTGATTCAGGGGTGTGAATAATTATGTAAATGAGATACATTATATACAAAGGTATGTGGACACCTCTTCAAATTAGTGGATTCGTCTATTTCAGCCACACCGTTGCTGACAGGTGTAAAAAAAATCGAACACACAGCCATGCAATTTCCATAGACAAACATTGGCAGTAGAATGGCCTTACTGGAGAGCTCAGTGACTTTCAACGTGGCACCGTCATAGGATGCCACCTTTCCAACAAGTCAGTTTGTCAAATTTCTGCCTTACTAGAGCTGCCCCGGTCAACTGTAAGTGCTGTTATTGTGAAGTGGAAACGTCTAGGAGCAACAACAGCTCAGCCGTGAAATGGTAGGCCACACAAGCTCACAGAACGGGACCGCCGAGTGCTAAACTGCAAAGCGCGTAAATATCGTCTGTCCTCAGTTGCAACACTCACTACCGAGTTCCAAACTGCCTCTGGAAGCAACGTCAGCACAAGAACTGTTCGTCGGGAGCTTCATGAAATTGGTTTCCATAGCCAAGCAGCCGCACACAAGCCTAAGATCACCATGCGCAATGCCAAGCGTCGGCTGGAGTGGTGTAAAGCTCCCCGCCATTGGACTCAGGAGCAGTGGAAACGCGTTCTCGGGAGTGATGAATCACGCTTCACCGTCTGGCAGTCCGAATATGAGTTTGGCGGAAGCCTAGAGAACGCTACCTGCCCGAATGCATAGTGCTAACTGTAAAGTTTGGTGGAGGAGTAATTATGGTCTGGGGCTGTTTTTCATGGTTCGGGCTAGGCCCCTTAGTTCCAGTGAAGGGAAATCTTAACGCTGCAGCATACAATGACATTCTATACGATTCTGTGCATCCAACTTTGTGGCAACAGTTTGGGGAAGGCCCTTTCCTGTTTCAGCATGACAATGCCCCCGTGGACAAAGTGAGGTCCATACAGAAATGGTTTGTCGGGATCGGTGTGGAAGAACATAACTGGCCTGCACAGATCCCTGACCTCCACCCCATCAAACACCTTTAGGATGAATTGGAACGGCAACTGTGAGCCAGGCCTAATCGCCCAACATCAGTGCCCGACCTCTCTAATGCTCTTGTGGCTGAATAGAAGCAGGTTTCCACAGCAATGTTCCAACATCTAGTGAAAAGCCTTCCCAGAAGAGTTGGGGGCTGTTATAGCAGCAAAGGGGGGGACCAACTCCATATTAATGCCCATGATTTTAGAATGAGATGTTGGATGAGCAGGTGTCCATATACTTTTGGTCATGTAGTGTATTTCTATATTTCATTGTCAGTAAATGTGCTACAATTTCTAAATATGTTTTCACTTTGTCATTATGGGGTATTGTGTGTAGATGGGTGAGAATAAAATCTATTCAATCCATTTGGAATTCAGGCTGTAACACAACAAAATGTGGAATAAGTGAAGGGGTAGGAATGCTTTCTGAAGGCATTGTATGTACAAAAAAGTTAAGATCAATTTAGAAAAAACACACAAAATAGCAAAACACGTTTTATCCACTGCCGCGGCAATAAGAATAAAAAAGATGAATGTATTGACAGAAGATTAAACTTGTGATCCTTTTTTCTTGGGGTGGTCAGGTTTGCGAACAGTCTGCCCATCAACGACCCTCTGCAGACAGTGTACCAACTGATGTCTGGGAGGATGCCCGCCTCAGCTACTGTGAGTATGACCCTGTGGTACCTTTTCGAATTTGATAACAAAAGTATTTAATTGTTTTATTTAATTTATTAAATTAGTTATTCATTTAAACAGGAATTAACATTTTAAAGGCCCAGTGCAGTCAACAACAAGATTTGTGTTTAATATATATTTCCACACTAAAAGGTTGGAATAATACTGTGAAATTGGGAAAATTATGACAATGCCCTTTTAGTGTAATAGCTTTTTGAAAAGATCGCCTGAAAGTTAATTCTGTTTTGGTGCGATGGAGTTTTGGCTTGCCTGGTGACATTACCAGGTGGTAAATTAGTTAATAGACCAATAATAAAGAATTCCAAACCTCTCTGCCAATAAATTTGTTTTCAGTTTTCCCCTCCCCACTCAGACAGTCCTAGCAACATTGTTGCATGAGAAATGACTCTTTGCTAACCTAATTTTTGTTTCTTTTTGACCATTTTAACCGAAACAATCATAGTAAGGTACTTAATTGTTACCCAGGAATTATATGATATTGAGATAAAAACGGCTGCATTGGACCTTTAACATTAAATGTTTAAAATTAAAATGTTCTTGTGGCTTAATGAACACTTAATGTAATAAAAAAGTGATCTTTCAGCAATGCGAAATTAAAGTTGGCTGTTCAATACTGAACTGCACTGATTGAAGGACGGATCAAAAGAGTTCCGTTGGGGTCAGCAGTATACTGTAAAAGTTACATAAGAGTGTCTCTGCAGTGCTGTGGGGATGAGAAGTGGGGCGACTGGCGCCCCCATCTGGCCATGGTGCTGTCCAACCTGACCCACACTTTGGACCTGGACACACGCACCATCACCACCATGGGAGACACTCTGGGTGAGACATCTAAGGTCACGTTTGTGGGCCAGAAGTTTTCCCTGACCATGTAACCTAACCATAGTTTTCTTGGTCAGGTCATATGTGGTGAGGAGAAACTCTGCTCCCTAATCACGTTACATGCATAGGATGTATGGAGGATGTATGTTGCTGTACTCTTGTGCCCTGACAAGTGACAATGCCATCTAAATGTTCCCTATCATGAATTTAAGATTTATCATCATAATAGTTTGTCATCAACCATGATCAGCATCATCATGTGAATTATGATGGTTATTAGGGCTGGGAATTGCTTGGGACCTCAGAATATGATATGATCACTATACTTAGGTGCCGGTACGATATGTATCGCGATTCTCACGGTTCTATATGTATTGCGATTCAGTGGTGGTCAGTGCCATTTTAAGCTTAGGGAGGGTGATTATTTATTCATTTTATAAGCATGGCCTTATTTCTATTACAGCATAATTTCGATGACTATCATTCTTATTCCATTCACCCAGCTTAATGTAACATCGATAGGTTTAGGCTACTACATGATACTTGAATTTGCCCTATACCCATCATGAGGTTGCTACAACCTAGCCTACAAATTAAAGTTTATAACACAGGTCGAGATGTGAGAATGCTGTTTATTGACTACAGCTCAGCGTTCAACACCATAGTGCCCACAAAGCTCATCACTAAGCTAAGGACCCTGGGACTAAACACCTCCCTCTGCAACTGGATCCTGGACTTCCTGATGGGCCACCCCCAGGTGGTAAGTGTATGCAACAACACATCTGCAACGCTAATCTTCAACACGGGGGCCCCTCAGGGGTGCGTGCTTAGTCCCCTCATGTACTCCCTGTTCACCCTTGACTGCGTGGCCAAACATGACTCCAACACCATCAAGTTTGCTGATGGTACAACAGTGGTAGGCCTGATCACCGACAACAATGAGACAGCCTATAGGGAGGTCAGAGACCTGGCAGTGTGGTGCAAGGACAACAACCTCTCCCTCAACGTGAGCAAGACACAGGAGGTGATCGTGGACTACAGGAAAAGGAGGGCCGAACACGCCCCCATTCACTGGGCTGTAGTGGAGCGGGTCGAGAGTTTCAAGTTCCTTGGTGTCCACATGTCTGACGTCATCAGAGTGCGCAGCTGAACACTGTATGCTGGAAACACTAGGTTTGTTATTTTAACTAAAACATAACCAATCTTTGTTAAACATAAATACCGAATGTGTTTTTGCCTGGATTCCGCATTGCGGTTAGCTTTTATCAACTAGGACCATTATCTCTTGACCCGGAATCCCGCTTAACTGACAGATTAAAGTCTCCTTGAAAAAGCCGCTAGCATAGCTAAGCTGCTAGCCATCAAGAGACCGGTTGAAGCCTGCTTAACAGAGACGCTAAGCTGCTAGCCATCAAGCTAACGAAGTTGGTACCAGATGAGTTTTGCAATGGAGCCCTCTTTGTCTGGAGAACTAAATGAATGGTTCCAGTGCTGTAGGAGCTGTATCTATTACGCTTTGTTTCGGGACAAACCGGATCACTCAGAGTTCCAATGTGGCAATTGTTTACTTGCCGAGGATTATAGGCTTGAGGTGGCTTCCTTGATCACGCAGGTCGCCAGCCTACGTAAGAAACTGGGGAAAACGCAGAGTGGAATGTTTACATTTTCTACGCCGGTGGCTGGACGGCGTTCGCACTTGTTGGATGCATCTCCGCCTTGTCGTTTGTCATTATCCGACTGGCCGGTGTTGCCCTGAGCTCCCCCATCTGATAGCGCCGTCGAAAGAGCACAGCATGAGGAGAAAGGCAATCAACGATGGTTGCATGTCACGAGCCGTGGAAGCCGAAGACAGCGACCTCCCGCAAAGCAGTCTACACTCCCAACGAGAGGCCCGGAGCGGATAAAAACAACAAATAGTTTCGCCGTCCTGGAGCCTGATCTTCCTGCACCTTCGTCACTCTGGGTGCCTGTGTCTGCGCCGCAGTGCCTACTACTACGATGTCGACGTCTGCAACCTTCCGTCCCTGCTCTGGATCGAGCGGGGCTTCTCCATCTGTCAGAGGCCTGCATCCTGTGAAGAGTGGGCATATTTCGTCGTCCTTCTCGCCAGCCGTGATTTTGGGCAGCTCCATGGTAAGAAACGTGACCGTTCCTGTTGCAAAAACAATGTCCTCTCCCAGAGCTCGAGTAAATTACATTACTAAGCTGCTCCCGAATGTACTTTGTCAGGACATGGAAATCAATTCTAACGTAGTCCATGTTGGTTTTAATGACATTATGAAGGGCAGCTCTGAACAGTTGAAACTGGATTTTAAGGAGCTGATTGACTCTCTGCTAGACACTAACAAAAAACCCATCATATCTGGCCCTGTGCCCTCTCTGAATTGTGGCATTGAACGCTTTAGCAGGATTCTTGCTCTTCACAACTGGCTACGTGATTATTGCAGCTCAATGGGTGTAACTTTTGTTGACAATTTTGATACCTTTTGGAAACAAAACACGTTTTATAAGGAGGATGGGATCCATACAAATCATTTGGGTTCCTGGATCCTTTCACAGCATTATAAGACTGCGTTCAGCTCAGCTAATCCCTACCATTGTGACGCAGAGTTGTCAAAATGCTTCAGCAAATATACATTACATCAGGGGCATCAGTAGTCACAATATAAGTAACTGCCCTGAATGCCACCGCTGATCCTACAGCTATTGTGTGCAGTAATCATGTGCCTAAGAACCAGATGTATACTGTTAGAACTGAGCCGGTGTGCCCGAGCAGGCAGTCCACTGTATGCAGCTCACCGTGCACTAACATAAAGAACATGAGCACATCTACTGCTACTAAGCTTCCCAGTTAATTAATAAAAACAAGTAAGCATCCCAGAAGAAAAGTGCTCAAAATAGCCCACGTTAACATATGTAGCTTAAGAAACAAGGTTCATGAAATCAATAATTTCCTAGTAACAGATGACATTCATATTCTGACTATCTCTGAAACTCACTTAGATAAAAGCTTTGATGATACAGTGGTAGCAATACAAGGTTATAACATTTACTGAAAAGATGGAAATGCCAATGGTGGAGGTGTTGCTGTTTATATTCAGAACCACATTCCTGTGAAGATTAGAGAGGATCTCATGTTAAATACTGTTGAAGTAATATGGCTACAGGTTCATTTGCCTCACCTAAAGCCAATTCTGGTGGGAAGCTGCTATAGACCACCAAGTGCTAACAGTCAGTATCTGAATAACATGTGTGAAATGCTTGATAATGTATGTGATATCAATAGAGAGGTATACTTTCTGGGTGATTTTAAAGATTGACTGGCTTTCATCAGGCTGCCCACTCGAGAAAGCTTCAAACTGTAACCAGTGCCTGCAACCTGGTTCAGGTTATCAGTCAACCTACCAGGGTGGTTACAAACAGTACATCAATTACATCGTCAGCATGTATTGATCATATTTGTTTGAAAGCAGTATCCAAATCCATTGGATGTAGTGATCACAATATAGTAGCCATATCTAGGAAAACAAAAGTTCAAAAAGCTGGGCCTAATATTGTGTATAAGAGGTCATACAATACGTTTTGTAGTGATTCCTATGTTGATGTAAAGAATATATGTTGGTCCATGGTGTGTAATGAGGAGCAAACAGACACTGCACTTGACACATTTATGAAATTGCTTATTCCAGTTACTAATAAGCATGCACCCATTAAGAAAATGACTGTAAAACTATTTTAATCCCCTTGGATTGATGAGGAATTGAAAATTGTATGGTTGAGAGGGATGAGGCAAAAGGAATGGCAAATAAGTTTGGCTGCACAACCATTTGGCAAACGTATTGCAAATTGAGAAATCATGTGACTAAACTGAATAAAAAGAAGAAACTACACTATGAAACAAGGATAAATGACAAAAAAATGATAGTAAAAAGCTTTGAGCACCTTAAATGAAAATTTGGGAAAGAAGGCAAACTCGGCTCCATCATTCATTGAATCATATGGCTCATTCATCACAAAACTGATATTGCCAACTACTTTAATAATTTTTTCATTGGTAAGATTAGCAAACTTAAGTATGACATGCCAGCAACAATTGCTGACACTAGACATCCAAGTATATCTGACCAAATTATGAAAGCAAGCACTGTAATTTTGAATTCTGTAAAGTGAGTGTGGAAGAGGTGAACAAATGTATTGTTGTCTATTAACAATGACAAGCCACCGGGGTCTGACAACTTGGATGGGAAATTGCTGAGAATAATAGCGGACGATATTCCCACTCCTATTTGCCATATTTTCAATTTAAGCCTACTAGAATGTGTGTGCCCCCAGGCTTGGAGGGAAGCAAATGTAATTCCATTACCTAAGAATAGTAAAGCCCCCTTTAGTGGCTCAAACAGCTGACCAATTAGCCTGTTACCATCCCTTAGTAAACTATTGGAAAAATGGTGTTTGACCAGATACAATGCTATTTTACAGTAAAAAAATTAACAACAAACTTTCAGCATGCTTATAGAGAAGGATATTCTACAAGCACAGCACTTACACAACTGACTGATGATTGGCTAAGAGAATTTGATGATAAAATGATTGTGGGGGCTGTTTTGTAGACTTCAGTGCACCCCCTGCCATAATGTGGATAAAGAGTTACTTTTCTAACAGAACACAGAGGGTGTTCTTTAATGGAAGCCGCTCAAACATAATCCAGGTAGAATCAGGAATTCCCCAAGGCAGCTGTCTATGCCCCTTGCTTTTTTCCATCTTTACTAATGACATGTCCCTGGCTTTGAGTAAAGCCATTGTGTCTATGTATGCGGATGACTCAACACTATACAGGTCAGCTACTACAGCAACTGAAATAACTGCAACACTCAACAAAGAGTTGGAATGGGTGGCAAGGAATAAATGAATCCTGAATATTTCCAAAACTAAAAGCATTGTATTTGGGTCAAAACATTCACTAAACCCTAAACCTCAACTACATCTCGTAATGAATCATGTGGAAATTGAGCAAGTTGAGGTGACTAAACTGCTTGGAGTAACCCTGGATTGTAGACTGACACGGTCAAAGCATATTGATAGATGGGGAGGAGTATGTCCATAATTAAGCGCTGCTCTGCCGCCTTAACAACACTATCAACAAGGCAGGTCCTATAGGTCGTAGTTTTGTCGCACCTAGACTACTGTTCAGTAGTGTGGTCAGGTGCCACAAAGAGGGAGTTGGGAACATTGCAGTTGGCTCAGAACAGTGCAGCACGGCTGGCCCTTAAAAGTACACAGAGAGCTAACATTAATGACATTCATGCAAATCTCTCATGGCTCAAAGTGGAAGAGAGATTGACTTCATCACTGCTTGTTTTTGTGAGAGGTGTCGACGAGCTGAATGTACCGAGCTGTCTGTCTGGAATACTGGCACACAGCTCGGACACCCATGCATACCCCACAAGACATGCCACCAGAGGTCTCTTCACAGTCCCCAAGTCCAGAACGGACTATGGGAGGCGCACAGTACTACATAGAGCCATGACTACATGGAACTCTATTCCACATCAGGTAACTGATGCAAGCAGTAGAATCAGATTTTTAAAAAACAGGTAGAAATACACCTTGTGGAACAGCGGGGACTGTGACGAGACACACACAGGCACATACACACATACATATAGACACTCACTCTACACCCACGTACACATGGATGTTGTATTGTAAATATGTGATAGTGGAGTAGTGGCCTAAGGGAACACACTAAATGTATTGTGTAAAGTGTTATGAAATATAATGTCATGTAATATTCTAAATTGTATATAACTGCCTTAATGTTGCAGGACCCCAGGAATGGGGATCCTTAATAAATACAAATACAAATCACCAACAAACTATCATTGTCCAAACACACCAAGACAGTCGTGAAGTGGGCATGACAACACCTTTTAACCCCTCATGAGACTGAAAAGATTTGGCATGGGTCCCCAGATCCTCAAACAGTTATACAGCTGCACCATCGAGAGCATCCTGACCGGTTGCATCACCGCCTGGTATGGCAACTGCTTGGCATCCGACCATAAGGCTCTGCAAAGGGTAGTGCGTACGGCCCAGTACATCACTGGGGCTAAGCTTCCTGCCATCCAGCACCTACAGTGGGGAGAACAAGTATTTGATACACTGCCGATTTTGAAGGTTTTCCTACTTACAAAGCATGTAGAGGTCTGTAATTTTTCTAAAACAAAAATCCAGAAAATCACATTGTATGATTTTTTAAGTAATTAATTTGCATTTTATTGCATGACATAAGTATTTGATCACCTACCAACCAGTAAGAATTCCGGCTCTCACAGACCTGTTAGTTTTTCTTTAAGAAGGTTCTCCACTCATTACCTGTATTAACTGCACCTGTTTGAACTCGTTACCTATATAAAAGACACCTGTCCACACACTCAATCAAACAGACTCCAACCTCTCCACAATGGCCAAGACCAGAGAGCTGTGTAAGGACATCAGGGATAAAATTGTAGACGTGCACAAGACTGGGATGGGCTACAGGACAATAGGCAAGCAGCTTGGTGAGAAGGCAACAACTGTTGGCGCAATTATTAGAAAATGGAAGAAGTTCAAGATGACGGTCAATCACCCTCGGTCTCGGGCTCCATGCAAGATCTCACCTCGTGGGGCATCAATGATCATAAGGAAGGTGAGGGATCAGCCCAGAACTACACGGCAGGACCTGGTCAATGACCTGAAGAGAGCTGGGAACACAGTCTCAAAGAAAACCATTAGTAACACACTACGCCGTCATGGATTAAAATCCTGCAGCGCACGCAAGGTCCCCCTGCTCAAGCCAGCGCATGTCCAGGCCCGTCTGAAGTTTGCCAATGACCATCTGGATGATCCAAAGGAGGAATGGGAGAAGGTCATGTGGTCTGATGAGACAAAAATATAGCTTTTTGGTCTAAACTCCACTCGCCGTGTTTGGAGGAAGAAGAAGGATGAGTACAACCCCAAGAACACCATCCCAACCGTGAAGCATGGAGGTGGAAACATCATTCTTCGGGGATGCTTTTCTGCAAAGGGGACAGGACGACTGCACCGTATTGAGGGGAAGATGGATGGGGCCATGTATCGCGAGATCTTGGCCAACAACCTCCTTCTCTCAGTAAGAGCATTGAAGATGGGTCGTGGCTGGGTCTTCCAGCATGACAACGACCCGAAACACACAGCCAGGGCAACTAAGGAGTGGCTCAAGGTTCTGGAGTGGCCTAGTCAGTCTCCAGACCTGAACCCAATAGAAAATCTTTGGAGGGAGCTGAAAGTCCGTATTGCCCAGCGAGAGCCCAGAAACCTGAAGGATCTGGAGAAGGTCTGTATGGAGGAGTGGACCAAAATCCCTGCTGCAGTGTGTGCAAACCTGGTCAAGACCTACAGGAAACGTATGATCTCTGTAATTGCAAACAAAGGTTTCTGTACCAAATATTAAGTTCTGCTTTTCTGATGTATCAAATACTTATGTCATGCAATAAAATGCAAATTAATTACTTAAAAATCATACAATGTGATTTTCTGGATTTTTGTTTTAGATTCCGTCTCTCACAGTTGAAGTGTACCTATGATAAAAATTACAGACCTCTACATGCTTTGTAAGTAGGAAAACCTGCAAAGTCGGCAGTGTATCAAATACTAGTTCTCCCCACTGTATATACTATGCGGTGTCAGAGGAAAGCCCAATAAATTGTCAAAGACTCCAGTCACCCTAGTCATAGACTGTTCTCTGCTACCGAACAGCAAGCGGTACCGGAGCGCCAAGTCTAGGTCCAAAAGGCTCCTTAACAGCTTCTAACCCCGAGCCAGAAGACTGCTGAACAATTAATCAAATGGCCACCTAGACTATTTACACTGCTGCTACTCACTGTTTATTATCTATGCATAGTCACTTTACCCCTACCTACATGTACAAATTACCTCGACTAACCTGTACCCCCGCACATTGACCCGGTACCGGTACCCCCTGTATATAGCCTCGTTATAGTATAGTAAATATTTTCTTAACTATTTCTTGAACTGCATTTTTGGTTAAGGGCTTGTAAGGAAGCATTTCATGGTAATGTCTACATCTGTTGTATTCGGCGCATGTGACAAATAAAATATTTTGATTTGAGAGATATTGGAGTAATCAAGGACAGTAACACATTCAATATTGCCTTGCACCCTCTTGCCTGCATCTAGCTGACCTAGGGTGTAATCATTAGTCCAAACAGTTGCAAAAACATTCAGTTTTTCAACTAAAACAAGAGTTTCTATTGGACAAATTCAGGTAGATCCCTCCCCGTTTCATTCCGTTTGCTTCCTTTTAAGAAAAGTTTTGCAACAGAATCGGCTAAATGAATACACCGCCGATCATAGCAGCCACAAAACAGCATTACCACTTTGCTTGTTGTATAATTCCTTTTCGCATCTACGCGCTCTCCTCCTCTCCTCTTGTCACCATTTTAATGTTATAGTCAACAAACTGGAACTAGTTAGTAAATCTACAATCCAATCCATGTGTACAATCACGCAGTACAGTGGACAGCAAGCAGTTTAACAGGTACACCGGCAGACAGAGGTGGGACCAAGTCACTCACTATTATTAGAGTCACAAGCAAGTCACAAGGTCCGAGTCCCAAGTAGAACAGGTCAAGACTTTAATTTTTTGTTTTGTTTTTTTATTGTTATTTTTGTATAGATTTTTTGTAGGGGGTAGATTAGCTTGAATATTGCAGTTAGATTGTAACTTCCATCAATGTAATTGTCTGCGTCACTTCCAATCCCCCATATACAGTCTGGTCCATAAATATTTGGACATTGATCAAGTTATTATTATTTTAGCTGGCAGACTTTAAGCTTTAATTTGAGGGTATTTACATCCAAATCGGGTGAACGGTGTATGAATTACAGCACTTTTTATTTTTGGTCCCCCCCCCCCCCTTTTAAGGGACCAAAAGTAATTGGACACTTGGCTGCTCAGCTGTTCCATGGCCATGTGTGTTATTCCCTCATTAGTTCATTTACAAGTAAGCAGATAAAAGGTCTAGAGTTGATTTGAAGTGTGGCATTTTCAGTTTGAATCTTTTGCGGTTAACCCTCAATATGAAGTCCAAAGAGCTGTCACTACTAGTGAACAAGCCATCATTAGTCTGAAAAATCAAAACAAACCCATCAGAGAGATAGCAAAAACATTAGGTGTAGCCAAATCAACTATTTGGTACATTCTTAAAAAGAAAGAACGCACTGGTGAGCTCAGGAACACCAAAAGGCCCGGAAGACCACGGAAAACAACTGTGGTGGATGACAGAATAATTATTTCCCTGGTGAAGAAAAACCCCTTCACAACAGTTGGCCAAATCAAGAACACCCTCCAGGAGGTAGGTGTATCTGTGTCAAAGTCAACAATCAAGAGAAGACTTCACCAGAGTAAATACAGAGGGTTTACAACAAGAGGTAAGCCTCAAAAATAGGAAGACCAGATTAGAGTTTGCCAAAAAACATCTAAAAAAAGCCTGTACAGTTCTGGAACAACATCCTATGGACAGATGAGACAAAGATCAACTTGTACCAGAATGATGGGAAGAGAAGAGTATGGAGAAGGGAAGAAACCGCTCACAATCCGAAGCATACCACATCATCTGTGAAGCATGGTGGAGGTAGTGTTATGGTGTGGGCATGTATGGCTGCCAATGGAACGGGTTCCCTTGTATTTATTGATGTGACTGCTGACAAAAGTGGTCCTCTGTAGCTCAGCTGGTAGAGCACGGCGCTTGTAACGCCAAGGTAGTGGGTTCGATCCCCGGGACCACCCATACACAAAAAATAATAATATATGCACGCATGACTGTAAGTCGCTTTGGATAAAAGCGTCTGCTAAATGGCGTATTATTATTTATTATTAAAAGCGGCAGGATGAATTCTAAAGTGTTCAGGGCTATATTATCTGCTCAGATTCAGCCAAATGCTTAAAAAGTAGTTGGACGGCGCTTCATAGCGCAGATGGACAATGACCCGAAGCATACTGCGAAAGCAACCCAATACTTTTTTAAGGCAAAGAAGTGGAATGCTCTGCAATTGCCAAGTCAATCCCCTGAGCTGAATCAAATTGAGCATGCATTTCAATTGATGAGGGCAAAACTGAAGGCAAAACGCCCCAAGAACAAGCAGGAACTGAAGACAGCTGCAGTAAAGGCCTGGCAGAGCATCACCAGGGAAGAAACCCAGCATCTGGTGATGTCTATGGGTTCCAGACTTCAGGCAGTCATTGACTGCAAAGTATTTGCAACCAAGTATTAAAACTCACAATTTAATTTGTGATTATGTTAGTTTGTCCAATTACTTTTGAGCCCCTAAAATTGGGGGGCTATGTATAAAAATAGTTGTAAATCCTACACGGTTCATACAATAATTTTGACAAAACCCTTAAATTAAAGATGAAAGTCTACACTTCAAGCACATCTTGATTGTTTCCTTTCAAATCCATTGTGGTGGCGAAAAGAGCCAAAATGATGCAAATTGTGTCGCTGTCCAAATACTTATGGACCTGACTGTATATACATATACATACATACGTATATATACATATCCTTTAAAAAAATATATTCTCCTTTATTACTTTCTAACCCTACCACCCCTCCCCTAATTGGAGTCAACTAGTGAACAACAACGCTGAGGCCTCTACTTCCAGCTTATAAACTCAGCAAAAAAAGAAACGTCCTCTCACTGTCAACTGCGTTTATTTTCAGCAAACTTAACATGTGTAAATATTTGTATGAACATAACAAGATTCAACAACTGAGAGACAAACTGAACAAGTTGCACAGATATGTGACTAACATAAATGAAATGTGTCCCTGAACAAAGGGGGGGTCAAAATCAGAAGTAACAGTCAGTATCTGGTGTGGCCACCAGCTGCATTAAGTACTGCAGTGCATTTCCTCCCCATGGACTGCACCAGATTTGCCAGATCTTGCTGTGAGATGTTACCCCACTCTTCCACCAAGGCACCTGCAAGTTCCCGGACATTTCTGGGGTGAATGGCCTAGCCCTCACCCTCCGATCCAACAGGTCCCAGACGTGCTCAATAGGATTGAGATCCGGGCTCTTCGCTGGCCATGGCAGAACACTGACATTCCTGTCTTGCAGGAAATCACGCACAGAACAAGCAGTATGGCTGGTGGCATTGTCATGCATGTCAGGATGAGCTTGCAGGAAGGGTACCACATGAGGGAGGAGGATGTCTTCCCTGTAACGCACAGTGTTGAGATTGCCTGCAATTACAACAAGCTCAGTCCGATGATGCTGTGACACACCGCCCCAGACCATGACGGACCCTCCACCTCCAAATTGATCCCGCTCAAGAGTACAGGCTTCGGTGTAACGCTCATTCCTTCGACGATAAACGTGAATCCAACCAGCACCCCTGGTGAGACAAAACCGCGACTTGTCAGTGAAGAGCACTTTTTGCCAGTCCTGTCTGGTCCAGCGACGTTGGGTTTGTGCCCGTAGGCGACGTTATTGCAGGTGATGTCTGGTGAGGACCAGCCTTACAACAGGCCTACAAGCCCTCAGTCCAGCCTCTCTCAGCCTATTGCAGACAGTCTGAGCACTGATGGAGGGATTGTGCGTTCCTGGTGTAACTCGGGCAGTTGTTGCCATCCTGTACCTGTCCCGCAGGTGTGATGTTCAGATGTACTGATCCTGTGCAGGTGTTGTTACACGTGGTCTGCCACTGCGAGAACGATCAGCTGTCCGTCCACATCTGCAGTCCTCCTTGCAGCATGCCTAAGGCACATTCACGCAGATGAGCAGGGACCCTGGGCATCTTTCTTTTGGTGTTTTTCAGAGTCAGTAGAAAGGCCTCTTTAGTGTCCTAAGTTTTCATAACTGTGACCTTAATTGCCTACCGTCTGTAAGCTGTTAGTGTCTTAACGACCGTTCCATAGGTGCATGTTCATTAATTGTTTATGGAGCATGGGAAACAGTGTTTAAACCCTTTACAATGAAGATCTGTGAAGTTATTTGGATTTTTATGAATTATCTTTGAAAGACAGGGTCCTGAAAAAGGGACGTTTCTGTTTTTGCTGAGTTTACACACTATATACACTACCAGTCAAAAGTTTGGACACAACTACTCATTCAAGGGTTTTTCTTTATTTTTTACAATTATTTACATTGTAGAATAATAGTGAAGACATCAAAACTATGAAATAACATGTATGGAATCATGTAGTAACCCAAGAAGTGTTAAACAAATCAAAATATATAATTTATATTTGAGATTCTTCAAATAGCCACCCTTTGCCTTGATGACAGCTTTGCACACTCTTGGCATTCTCTCAACTAGCTTCAACTGGAATGCTTTTCCAACAGTCTTGAAGGAGTTCCCACATATGCTGAGCATTAATCAGACTTAATGATTATTCATGATATTTCAACACCATGCATACATGGAACAATAATTTTGTCTTATTCAACGTTCTGACTCCAAAGCGTGGAGTGCAGGCCACGTATCCTATTTCAATGTGCACTGGGTCGCGCGCCCTCCTATTACGCGCAACAAAAATGATCAAGACATACATTGCATTCGGAAAGTATTCAGACCCCTTCACTTTATCCACATTTTGTTACGTTACAGCCTTATACTGAAATTGATTAAATAAATGTTTTCCCTCATCAATCTACACACAATACAATGCAAAACAGGTTTTTAGACATCTTTGCAAAAAACAGAACTACCTTATTTACATAAGTATTCAGACCCTTTGCTATGAGACTGATGAAACACTACCAATTATTGTAGTATTAGATGGAATATAGATTTTACCACATAGGGCCTATGCATTTAAACGTGTGAATACAACAGCAAACATTTCAACAAGAGAAAAAAAGCACCCTCCACTGGCGGGCGCAAGTGAAGAGCCGCGCCTATGTTGCATCTTCGCCACAGTAAAAATTCATTTTAACAACAAATTCCAAATACAAGCTTCATAATTAAATTGATCAATTTCAAACAATTGTTACAAACCAAAAGAACAGTAGGCCTATGCTAGTAATTGTTGCCCCATTGCTGGTGACCTTGCAAAGTAAACGGTTAATATTCTTGATCACCAAACTATTTTTGGAGCTGCATATTTATTATGGCAATCCTCTCTCCCTACAATTTGACGTTTGCGCTGCACCTGATCCTATAGCTGTACAGCAAACAAATCAGTTCGTCAACTTTCTGCCCTGCTAGAGCTTCCCCGATCAACTGTAAGTGCTGTTATTGTGAAGTGGAAATGTCTTGGAGCAAAAACGGCTCAGCCGCGAAGTGGTAGGTCACAAAACTCACAGACAGGGATCGCCGAGTGCTGAAGCTTTGTAAAAATTGTCTGTCCTCAGTTGCAACACTCACTGCCGAGTTTAAAACTGCCTCTGGAAGCAACGTCAGCACAAGAACTGTTCGTCGGGAGCTTCAAGAAATGGGTTTCCATGGTCGAGCAGCCGCACACAAGCATAAGATCACCATGCGTATTGCCAAGCGTCGGCTGGAGTGGTGTAAAGCTCGCTGCCATTGGACTCTGGAGCAGTGGAAACGCGTTCTCTGGAGTGATAAGTCACGCTTCACCATCTTGCAGTCCGAAGGACAAATCTGGGTTTGGCGAACACTACCTGCCCAATGCATAGTGCCAACTGTAAAGGAGGAGGAATACTGGTTCGGGGTAGGTCCCTTAGTTCTAGTGAAGGGAAATCTTAACGCTACAGCGTACAATTACATTCTATACGATTCTGTGCTTCGAACTTGGTGGCAACAGTTTGGGGAAGGCCCTTTCCTGTTTCAGCATGACAATGCCCCTGTGTACAAAGGGAGGTCTAACCCCATCGAACAAATTTGGGATGAATTGGAACGCTGACTGTGAGCCAGGCCTAATCGCCCATCAGTGCCAAACCTCACTAATGCTCTTGTGGCTGAATGGAAGCAAGTCCCCGCAGCAATGTTCCAGTGGAAAGCCTTCCCAGAGGAGTGGAGGCTGTTATAGCAGGAAATGAGCGACCAACTCCATGATTTTGGAATGAGATGTTCGACGAGCAGCTGTCCACATACTTTTGGTAATGTAGTGAAAATCTAAGAGCGATAACTTTTTATGTTTCACTTTTTATTTATCTTAAATTCACTGACTAGGATGGTCCTCTTCTGAGGAGCCTCCATTGTTGCCATTTGGTATTGTGATTTTGTGAATTGATGTTCCAAACATATTGCTCACTATTTGTCTGCTGCAGAGACAAGAGAGCCATAATACAACAAGTTTTGATCAGTCATGGAAATAAAAGTGCTGAAAACATATTGGCTCGCTATATAAAATAAAAAAAAGATGGAGAACAAGCTATAGGATGAAAAATACAGGCGTTTTGGCGCAAGTACAGCTGACAAATCGATACTTGGAGTCAAAGTATCTGTATAATATTGGTCAAAATAATATTGCGATATGTAACTATCGTTTCTTTCCCACCCATCACTAATCGTTATGATGTTCATGTTGATGACAAACTACAGTGGGGAGAACAAGTATTTGATACACTGCCGATCTTGCAGGTTTTCCTACTTACAAAGCATGTAGAGGTCTGTAATTTTTATCATAGGTACACTTCAACTGTGAGAGACAGAATCTAAAACAAAAATTCAGAAAATCACATTGTATGATTTTTAAGTAATTAATTTGCATTTTATTGCATGACATAAGTATTTGATCACCTACCAACCAGTAAGAATTCCGGCTCTCACAGACCTGTTAGTTTTTCTTTAAGAAGCCCTCCTATTCTCCACTCATTACCTGTATTAACTGCACCTGTTTGAACTCGTTACCTGTATAAAAGACACCTGTACAAACACTCAATCAAACAGACTCCAACCTCTCCACAATAGCCAAGACCAGAGAGCTGTGTAAGGACATCAGGGATAAAATTGTAGACCTGCACAAGGCTGGGATGGGCCACAGGATAATAGGCAAGCAGCTTGGTGAGAAGGCAACAACTGTTGGCGCAATTATTAGAAAATGGAAGAAGTTCAAGATGACGGTCAATCACCCTCGGTCTGGGGCTCCATGCAAGATCTCACCTCATGGGGCATCAATGATCATGAGGAAGGTGAGGGATCAGCCCAGAACTACACGGCAGGACCTGGTCAATGACCTGAAGAGGGCTGGGACCACAGTCTCAAAGAAAACCATTAGTAACACACTATGCCGTCATGGATTCAAATCCTGCAGCGCACGCAAGGTCCCCCTGCTCAAGCCAGCGCATGTCCAGGCCCGTCTGAAGTTTGCCAATGACCATCTGGATGATCCAGAGGAGGAATGGGAGAAGGTCATGTGGTCTGATGAGACAAAAATATAGCCTTTTGGTCTAAACTCCACTCGCTGTGTTTGGAGGAAGAAGAAGGATGAGTACAACCCCAATAACACCATCCCAACCGTGAAGCATGGAGGTGGAAACATCATTCTTTGGGGATGCTTTTCTGCAAAGGGGACAGGACGACTGCACCGTATTGAGGGGAGGATGGATGGGGCCATGTATCGCAAGATCTTGGCCAACAACCTCCTTCCCTCAGTAAGAGCATTGAAGATGGGACGTGGCTGGGTCTTCCAGCATGACAACGACCCGAAACACACAGCCAGGGCAACTAAGGAGTGGCTCCGTAAGAAGCATCTCAAGGTCAAGTGGCCTAGCCAGTCTCCAGACCTGAACCCAATAGAACATCTTTGAAGGGAGCTGAAAGTCCGTATTGCCCAGCGACAGCCTCGAAACCTGAAGGATCTGGAGAAGGTCTGTATGGAGGAGTGGGCCAAAATCCCTGCTGCAGTGTGTGCAAACCTGGTAAAGACCTACAGGAATCGTATGATCTCTGTAATTGCAAACAAAGGTTTCTGTACCAAATATTAAGTTCTGCTTTTCTGATGTATCAAATACTTATGTCATGCAATAAAATGCAAATTAATTACTTAAAAATCATACAATGTTATTTTCTGGATTTTTGTTTTAGATTCCGTCTCTCACAGTTGAAGTGTACCTATACAAAATCGGCAGTGTATCAAATACTTGTTCTCCCCACTGTATATATTATGATAATAAATGCAATATAACTACCTGCTGAAATCCTGACCGAAAACAAATACATTTTTTATTAGCTAAGTTAGAACATAGTTGGGATATTCATCAATTGAGTTGAATTTGAGGTACAGTCAGGCTCTTTTCAACAGTCGATTGGTGTGTGTGTGTTACAGCTTCCAAGGGGCTAACCGATGCGGCCCACTTCTGTTACCTGATGGCCCAGGTTGGTTTGGGGGTGTTCACCAAGAAGAGCACCAAGATGGTTCTAATCGGCTCAAACCACAGGTTAGACATCTGCTGCTCTGTCCCTTTCTCACTTGTTGGCCGTTGTGGAAATCTGGCTTCCCTACTACTTACTTAAACTGAGTACTGTGTAGTAATCAGACTACATACTACATATTGCATTGATTCCCGCCATTCGTTAATTTTGGTTTTTAAATACTATTAAATACTATTCTCTTCCTCAATGGTGGTACAGCAAATTCTACTAGATGACTAGCTGAAATTAGTATGACATCCTGGCATTTAACGCATACTCAAGTTTTGAAATGTCACATACTATAACATTATTTTTTCACATACCCAAAATGCCTACTATTTAGAACGCAAGTACGGGTATTCGGACACGGGCAGTCAGTCACTCACTCTCACTCTCTCTCACACACACACCTCTCTGCTCTGCTTTCGCTGCCACATTGTGGACCATAAACTCACAGGCATCTTACATACAAATATGAACTTTCATGCATATGGCATACAAAGGCTTTAATGAGTTCTCTCTCCTTTCTCTCTCTCTCTCGCTAGTCTGTCGTTCTTCCAGTTTGCGTCTAACGAAGCGATCCAGAGGACGGAGGCCTATGAGTATGCCCAGTCTCTGGGCTCACAGCCCTGCTCCCTGCCCAACTTCCAGGTAAGTACACACACGTATCCAACATCTGAACTTGAGAACACACAATAGAAATACCTCCTGAAGCTTTCCCCCTATGATCTTACAGAAATTGACTGAATGGTCATCTAGAGATGCTGTATAGCATAACAGTAGCCGCATAGAAATAGAATGTCTGTTCTAGTAATTATATTTCTACGAGTAGTGCCGTCTGATCCCTGTTCTCCGAATTTAAGTGAAACCCTGATATGAAGGCTAAGGACTGAAACACGTTGGTTTTATCATTAAAGAAGCATTTTGATGAACTTCCACTGCCCTCCAAGAGATGCTGAATTTCCTCTTCACTCCTAATGTAAGTGAATGTACCCGGCCTCTGTGCGATTAAATCAGCTATCGTGACCTTTGCCCTTTCTTCATCCTGTCTCCCTCTAGGTGTTCAAGCTGATCTATGCGTGTCGCCTGGCCGAGGCCGGCCTGTGTGCTCAGGCCTTCCATTACTGTGAGGTTATCTCCAGGAGTGTGCTCATGCAGCCGTCCTACCACTCTCCTGTGTTCACCAGCCAGCTCATACAGGTAGATACACGTGCGCGCACACACACCCACAAACACTCGCTCTCACAACACACACACAAGCGTGCTCTCAACACACACACGTACTCACTCACTCACTTACTCAGACTTGCACACACATACAAACACACACACTCACTCACTCATAGATACACGCAAACATGCGCTCACACATCCATGCGCTCACACACACTCACTTACTCTTACCCATCTCTTAGGTGTTGATTGTTGCTATGTGTGAGAATTGTGAATGTCTGATCTGCTGTTAATTGTAGATGTCTGAGAAGATGCGATTCTTCGATCCACAACTGAAGGAGAAGGCAGATCAGGAGCTCTTCAACGAGCCAGAGTGGCTGATTAATCTGAGACAGCTGGATGGACAGATGAGGGTGTGTGTGTTTGTTTATTAATGTGTATGAGAAGCCAATTCATGTTGTTGTAGGTGTGTCTGTAACTGACTGGGCTGTTCTATTTTTCCCCATAGACTGGGGTGATTGCATACGATGCAGACAGGGCTACTCCTCAGCAGTATGACTGCAGCACCCCCAGTTCTGAGTTAGACCAGGCCAGCCCGCCTGAGCCATATGCTCAGCCTCTGGACATGGATGGCCACACCTCCGACAACCCTCTGATGACATCACTCATGCCCGGACCGCCTCCGCAAGGGGTGCAGCTGATGCCTCCAGGTGAGCAACAAGCCTACCTTGTAACACGATAGGTGTGTGTGTGTGTGTGTTTGAAAGTGTGTGTTTGTTCATGTACGTTTTAGATCCTTTTGACTCCTAATCAATGTACATTACACAAGGGGCGTCGGTAGACACAATATAAGTAACCTCATTTATGTCCCTCTAACTGCCCTGAATGCCTCTGCTGATCCTACAGCTATTGTATGCAGTAATCATGTGCCTAAGAACCAGATTTATACTGTTAGCACTGAGCCGGTGTGCCCGAGGAGGAAGTCCACTGTCTGCAGCTCACCCTGCACTAACATAAAGAACAAAAAATATATATATGCACGCATGACTGTAAGTCGCTTTGGATAAAAGCGTCTGCTAAATGGCATTATTATAATTATTATTTTAACATGAGCACATCTACTGCTGCTAAGCTTCCCAGTAAAGCAATAAAAACAAATAAGCATCCCAGAAAAGTGCTCAAAATAGCCCTCGTTAACATACAGTGGGGAAGAAAAGTATTTAGTCAGCCACCAATTGTGCAAGTTCTCCCACTTAAAAAGATGAGAGAGGCCTGTAATTTTCATCATAGCTACACGTCAACTATGACAGACAAATAGAGGAAAGAAATCCAGAAAATCACATTGTAGGATTTTTTATGAATTTATTTGCAAATTATGGTGGAAAATAAGTATTTGGTCACCTACAAACAAGCAAGATTTCTGGCTCTCACAGACCTGTAACTTCTTCTTTAAGAGGCTCCTCTGTCCTCCACTCGTTACCTGTATTAGTGGCACCTGTTTGAACTTGTTATCAGTATAAAAGACACCTGTCCACAACCTCAAACAGTCACACTCCAAACTCCACTATGACCAAAGAGCTGTCAAAGGACACCAGAAACAAAATTGTAGACCTGCACCAGGCTGGGAAGACTGAATCTGCAATAGGTAAGCAGCTTGGTTTGAAGAAATCAACTGTGGGAGCAATTATTAGGAAATGGAAGACATACAAGACCACTGATAATCTCCCTCGATCTGGGGCTCCACGCAAGATCTCACCCCGTGGTGTCAAAATGATCACAAGAACGGTGAGCAAAAATCCCAGAACCACACGGGGGGACCTAGTGAATGACCTGCAGAGAGCTGGGACCAAAGTAACAAAGCCACCATCAGTAACACACTACGCCGCCAGGGACTCAAATCCTGCAGTGCCGGACGTTGTCCCCCTGCTTAAGCCAGTACATGTCCAGGCCCGTCTGAAGTTTGCTAGAGTGCATTTGGATGATCCAGAAGAGGATTGGGAGAATGTCATATGGTCAGATGAAACCAAAATATAACTTTTTGGTAAAAACTCAACTCGTCGTGTTTGGAGGACAAAGAATGCTGAGTTGCATCCAAAGAACACCATACCTACTGTGAAGCATGGGGGTGGAAACATCATGCTTTGGGGCTGTTTTTCTGCAAAGGGACCAGGACGACTGATCCGTGTAAAGGAAAGAATGAATGGGGCCATGTATCGTGAGATTTTGAGTGAAAACCTCCTTCCATCAGCAAGGGCATTGAAGATGAAACGTGGCTGGGTCTTTCAGCATGACAATGATCCCAAACACACCGCCCGGGCAACGAAGGAGTGGCTTCGTAAGAAGCATTTCAAGGTCCTGGAGTGGCCTAGCCATTCTCCAGATCTCAACCCCATAGAAAATCTTTGGAGGGAGTTGAAAGTCCGTGTTGCCCAGCGACATCCCCAAAACATCACTGCTCTAGAGGAGATCTGCATGGAGGAATGGGCCAAAATACCAGCAACGGTGTGTGAAAACCTTGTGAAGACTTACAGAAAACGTTTGACCTGTGTCATTGCCAACAAAGGGTATATAACAAAGTATTGAGAAACTTTTGTTATTGACCAAATACTTATTTTCCACCATAATTTGCAAATAAATTCATTAAAAATCCTACAATGTGATTTTCTGGATTTTTTTTCTCATTTTGTCTGTCATAGTTGACGTGTACCTATGATGAAAATTACAACTTGCACAATTGGTGGCTGACTAAATACTTTTTTTCCCCACTGTATGTTGGTCCGTGGTGTATAAGGAGGAGCAAACAGACACTGCACTTGACACATTTAGGAAATTGCATATTCCAGTTACTAATAAGCATGCAACCATTAAGAAAATAACTGTAAAAACTATTAAATCCCCGTGGATTGATGAGGAATTGAGAAATTGTATGGTTGAGAGGGATGAGGCAAAAGTAATGGCAAAAAAAGTCTGGGTGCACAACCGATTGGCAAACATATTGCAAATTGAGAAATCATGTAACTAAACTGAATAAGAAGAAACTACACTATGAAATAAATATAAATGACAGAAAGAATGATAGTAAGAAGCTTTGGAGCACCTTAAATGGAATTTTGGGAAAAAAGGCAAATTCAGCTCCATCATTCATTGAATCAGATGGCTCATTCATCACAAAACCAACTGATATTGCCAACTACTTTAATTATTTTTTCATTGGCAAGATTAGCAAACTTAGGCATGACATGCCAGCAACATTTGCTGACACTACACATCCAAGTATATCTGACCAAATTATGAAAGAAAAACGCTGTAATTTTGAATTCCATAAAGTGTGTGTGGAAGAGGTGAAAAAATTATTGTTGTCTATAAACAATGACAAGCCACTGACAACTTGGATAGAAAATTACTGAGGGTAATAGTGGACGATGTTGCCATAATTTCAATTTAAGCCTACTAGAATGTGTGTTCCCCCAGGCTTGGAGGGAAGAAAAAGTAATTCCGCTACCTAAGAATAGGAAAGCCCCCTTTACTGCCTCAAATAGCCGACCAATTAGCCTGTTACCAACCCTTAGTAAACTATTGGGAAAAAATGGTGTTTGACCAGATACAATGCTATTTTACAGTAAACAAATTGACAAGGACATTCAACAGCCACAGCACTTACACAAATGACTGATTATTGGCTGAGAGAAATTGATGATAAAAAGATTGGGGGCTGTTTTGTTAGACTTCTGTGCGGCTTTTGACATTATTGATCATAGTCTGCTGCTGGAAAAAACGTATGTGTAATGGCTTTAGTCCACCTGCTATATTGTGGATAAAGAGTTACCTGTCTAACAGAACACAGAGGGTTTTCTTTAATAGAAGCCTCTCCAACATAATCCAGGTAGAATCAGGAATTCCCCAGGGCAGCTGTCTAGGCCATTACATTTTTCAATCTTTACTAATGACATGCCACTGGCTTTGAGTAAAGCCAGTGTGTCTATGTATGCGGATGACTCAACACTATACATGTCAGCTACTACAGCGACTGAAATTACTGCAACACTTAACAACGAGTTGCAGTTTGAGTGGGTGACGAGGAATAAGTTAGTCCTAAATATTTATAAAACTAAAAGCATTGTATTTCAAACAAATCATTCACTAAACTCCATACCTCAACTAAATCTTGTAATAAATAATGTGGAGATTGAGCAAGTTGAAGTGACTAAACTGCTTGGAGTAACCCTGGATTGTAAACTGTCAAGGTCAAAACATATTGATACAACAGTAGCTAGGATGGGGAGAAGTATGTCCATAATTAGATGGATGTACACAGAGAGCAAACATTAATAATATGCATGTCAATCTATCCTGGCTCAAAGTGGAGGAGAAATTGACTTCATCACTGCTTGTGTTTGTGAGAGGTGTTGACATGTTGAAAGCACCAAGCTGTCTGTTTGAACGACTGGCACACATCTCAGACACCCATGCATACCCCACAAGACATGCCACCAGAGGTCTCTTCACAGTCCCCAAGTCCAGAACAGACTATGGGAGGCGCACAGTACTACATAGAGCCATGACTACATGGAACTCTATTCCACATCAGGTAACTGATGCAAGCAGTAGAATCAGATTTAAAATTAAAATAAAAACTGATAAAATACACCTTATGGAACAGCGGGGACAGTGAAGAAACACAAACATAGACACAGACACATGCATACACACACGATAACATACGCTCTATACACACACGTACACATGGATTTTGTGTTTTAGATATGTGGTAGTGGAGTAGGGGCCTGAGGGCACACACTTAGTGTGCTGTGAAATCTGTTATAAATGTATTGTAATGTTTTTTAAATGTACAACTGCCTTAATTTTTCTGGACCCCAGGAAGAGTAGCTGCTGCTTTGGCAGCAGCTAATGGGGATATAAATACAAACACAAACAGCCACTGTCCTAAAGCAATTCACAAATCAAAGCAGCTACCACTAATCACGGAAACATTCCCCTCCCATCTAGCTCCCTCGACTATCTTCCAGGACGGCATGGTCTCCCAGCCGCTACCCCCCAACGAGGGGGTCCAGTTCTACCCAGTACCCCCCAGTCTCCCTGCACCACCCGGCCAGATCCCCCTATCAGGGTTCCCTCCCCAAGGCTCTGGCTTTGCCCTACCTTACCAACCCCAGCAGCCCCAACCGGACCAGCCTGACATGTTTGCTGGAGCCCAGCACCAGCAGATGGTGCCACCACAGCATCAGCAACAAATGATGCCCCTGCAAATGCAGCAGCCACAGATGATGCCCTCTGCCGATAATCAGTCGACGGGTCCACCGGAACTACAGCCTCCTCCCATGTCCACCTCTCCACAGAGGAACACCTTCACGCCTCAGATGGACTTCTATGACCAAATGGCTCACATGGTGCGTGTGTGTGTGTTGCGTGCATTTAGCCTTGTTGGAATAGATAGTTTGAGGCGATATGGCGATGTCACTAACTCTTGTCTTGTTTGCACAGGGCCCAGGAAGAAGATCCAGGACTACTTCACAGTCCTCAATGCACATGGTAGGGTGTGTGCGTGTCACGTCACTGTTACCTTTGGCAGTGTGTGTGCATGTGTTTGACTGACTGGCTCTGTTCTGTCTGCAGCAGCCTCCAGGTCGCCGCTCCCGCACCATGTCGGAATCTTCCACACACTCCGGAGGACGAGAGAGGAGCAACTCAGCAGCCAAGCAGTCCTCTCCGCCTCCACCCTCCATCCCTGAGCAGCCCAAGAAGGACTCACCTAAAAAGGTTATGCAGACACACACACACACCACAGTTACTTTTTATTATTACCCCAGTGGCCTTGTGGTTAGTGTCCGCCCTGAGATTGGAAGGTTGTGAGTTCAATCCCTGGCCGAGTCATACCAAAGACTGTAAAAATGTGACCTGATGCGTCTCTGCTTGGCACTCAGCATTAAGGAGATAGATTGTGGGTAAGGCCCTGTGATAGACAAGCATCCTGTCCAGGGGGTGTACATGTACATAAAATATCAAGCATCAAGCTGCCTCACACTACAGAAACAGGAGATAGGCTCCTGCACTATGAGCCGTTCCAGCTCGCACAAGCCACTGCTCGTGCAAGGCTACTTACTTACTTAAAACTACTACTACTTTGAATTTTGTAGCTATAAATTGTCCCGTTTGCAATCGCCCAGATCAGCTTTTTTTTTTAAACTCATTTTTATATTGGCTACTTATAGTAATTATTGATATCAGCAAAATGTCTTTGATTTGTGGTTGGTGTCGTTAATTTTCAGTTTATCGTTTCAGCTCTTACACATTTAAAGGTTCTTTATTTCTGCTGACCATTTCGGGTTTTATTTTTCTCTCTCTCAGGGAGGTGGAGGGGGGGGTGGTGGTGGCAGCTGGCTGAACTGGCTCTATAGGAAGGGGAAGAATGAGGCCCACCTTCCGGATGACAAGAACAAATCTGTAAGTCAACTCTTCGGCACTCCTTGTTTTCCAGTCATCTTTGTACTTATTCTTCCTTACTACTCTGCTGAGCCCTGTCTGTAAAAGCTCACAATTTATACATGGTAGTGTGGTCAGTATGTGTGTGTATTGGAGCTGATGAGTGGCTTTAGTTGACTGGTCTGTTCTGTCAGATTGTCTGGGATGAGAAGAAACAGAAATGGGTGAACTTGGATGAGCCAGAGGAGGAGGTGAGTTTGTGTTTTGTGTGCGTGCGTTCCAGCCGTTATGATTAGCAAGTCTATATGTATTGTTCTTTTTATTAGTCCTCATTAGGGATGTTAACGGTTATCTGTTAATCGGTTAGCCGCCAAAGCTACATTTGACCGGTCATGCTTATCGGTCTATAGGTTAACTTGCATAATTTAGTGGAATTAAATTGGCATGTATATTTTATGTTAGTCCTTATTTATCACATGCGTACAGCTACAGAGCCTAGTTTGAGGAGCAGAATAGCCTATCACCTGTCAGAAAGCGCGACAGCAGCTCCTCAAAAATCTGGTTCTGGAGTGAAATGTGTGCTTTTATAAGCCCAGGCATTGCGCAACAAATAACAATTCTAAATGCAATCGCGTGTTAAACTTTGCAATGTGAGTTTGAGGCAGTATAGTTGTTTGAAACCTGTTTTACTTTACTTCAAATAATGAGGCATGTCTTACATTACTTCAAAGTAGCCTAGCCACAATCCATCCATAGAAAAATGAGGCAATTATTTTATAAAGACTTCCTCATGCCATTAACCATCATTTCTCTCCTGTTCTATTGGTTTTCATATCAACTTTCTTTAGTTGTTTAGAAGCCAATGGCACAATCCTGGTCATATTAGCAACCCATCCTAGTTGTTGCACCTTTAGATTCCCTCTCTTTCTAAGTTTCGAACAAAGATTTTAATCTCTGTCACATATGGAACCGCTCGCATTAGGTGCGCTGTTTAGAAGGGTGTTTTCCCGTGAATTGTATTTTGGCAAATGTTTGAAAATGACTTTTTATTAGCTGCTTCATTATAGGAGTTGCATGTTGAATAGTATAGCCTTTTGACTGTAAGACGATAGGCTTGCTATTGTTGCATGTTTCCATTAAGCTCTTAATGAAAAATGTCAGTTCCTTGTATGCATGCATAGTATTACCCCTTGGTCACGTCAAATTACTGTTTGGATTTTTTTTAACCGTTTGTTGACCGGTTAATGAGGGTTGGTTAGTCGGTAGCAAAATTGACCGAAATGTGCTTTCCTAGTCCTCATAATAAGAGGTTTAGATCAGTGTCCTAGCACATGTATGACCATCTGTATTTATACAGTATTTTGGGTTATCATACTAACACAGAGAAATCATTGATCCTAATAATAAAGTATTGATGTGTGTTTGTGTGTGTGTAACCAGTACAAGCCCCCTCCTCCTCCTCCCTCGGGCTTCCCTAAGATGTTGGGACCCATGCCGGGACAAGGGGGTCCTGGAGGTCCCCCTACTGGTGGGCCGCCTGTCAACATGTTCTCCAGGAGAGCAGGTGAGATTTACTCATTGGCATAACGTAAGCAGACCATCATTGTGGGTTTTTAGCTGATACAGGTTATAGATTCAATGCAGTGCCGCAAACCTCTTGCGGCTACGCTTCACTTGTGCTGCTGCTCATATGGCAAGTGTATCAGGTTTCATTGACTACAGTGGGAGCGGATCAATCGCTGCTCACACTTGGCAAATATGATATTGTCTGAAGGGAGTACGCTTTGAATTAGCCAGGTGTGTTTCACTCCCAGTTCTAGCAAGTCCTGCATGGCTTGTGAACATTGTAGAGGGAAACAGAGGCAGGTGCATGTTCCTGAGAGTCTTGGCTTTCAGGAATGGGATGAAAAATAATTATACATGTCACATTGTACTTGAAACCACTACAAACTGCTAGGAACCACACTAATAGTGCTTGTCATTTTGGCACGTCAGATTTTTGTGGGGATTTTTTTTTACCAGAAAAAAAAATAAAACTATGTTCTCACCCATCTCAGGTACTAAGAGCCGCTACGTGGATGTCCTGAACCCAGGTGGACCCCGTGCCAAGCCCGGTGGATCGGCACCTGCCCCGTCAGACTTCTTTGCCCCGTTGGCTCCCATGCCAGCCAACCTGTTTGTGCCTGGAGCAGGTATGCTAACCTTTGGAAAAAAAATATCAATGTACTCTAGGATGGTCATCATAGGTCTTTATGAGTGTGACTGGGTTGGGAATATTAGTTTGTTTGCGTGTTGTTTTGAGACGTGTGTGTGTGTGTGTGTTTCTGTGTGTGTTTGTGTGTGTACTGTATCTGTATTCTAATGTGTTCTCTCCTGTCCGGCTCCAGAGGAGCAGCAGCCCATGGAGGGTAATGTCCCAGAGACGGGAGGAAACCAGGAACAGAGTGACCCTAACCCCAGTGCTGTGCCCCAGGTACTGTATTACACTTCCAGTGATGGTTATAGTTGTATAAACTATATTTCACACCAACTGACCATCAGATTAGACACACCAATTCAATATCTGCAGAACTGAATTAAGATGTTGTTTGATCTGTCCAGATGTTCAACCCAACGTTGTTACCGCCCGGTCCAGAGAGGCTCCCATCAGGGGAGGTAGAAGCACCTCTATCCTCCTAGAGGACTGTAGTACCCCTGCTACTCTACCATAAACCCTCATGCCCCCATTGAAACATATGACCTTCCACTTTTAACAGTCATCTAGCTTGGTTGAGTGGAGTGGTGGTTGGTACGTGCGTGTTTATGGGCGCATGTTTCAACTTCCAGCCTTTATTTTCCGATGTGGGCCTCATAACCATGCAAACACCTGGGCAGGACGACATGTAAAAGACTCACATATTCTTGCTGTTGATTGTCTAATAATGGATCCTCTCCCCAAGATTGTCCATGTTGTGCATTTTGACAATAATGATTTATGTTTTGATTAAATCTGCTTTTGAGGAGATTATATTAAACTGGGAGTGGAGGCAGTTTTTGATCTAATCCATGCATGGTATGATTAAATAATTAATCTGGGTCTGTGGTTTTGTGTTTGTCCGTGTTTATTTCCCTCCCCCGCCGTCTTTAGCTGTCGCGTTCTAGCTCAATGAGTTCTTTATCACGTGAATTGAGTCAGCATATAAACCAGGTACCTCTAGCTGGGCCTCAATCGCCCCCCCCCACTCCCTCACCTCACTGCCCTGCTGCTCAACATTCCCGCAGCTGTATTCCCCTGGCTATCTCAAGCACCACTCTCTCACCCACTAGCATGCTAGCTAACTTTCAACTGATTGGAGGTAAACGACATCCCTCAGATTGGAGGAGAATGCAGCCAATTAGAGCTGTTCTGATGGTGCTCTGACTCTATTTTGAAACGTTAAGATACTACACTGAACAAAAATATAAACACAACATGAGCTGAAGGATCCCAGAAATGTTCCTATACGCACAAAAATCATATTTCTCTCAAATGTTGTGCACAAATTAGTTTACATCCCTGTTAGTGAGCATTTCTCTTTTGCCAAGATAATCCATCCACCTGACAGGTGTGGCATATCAAGAAGCTGATTAAACGGCATGATTATTACACAGGTGCACCTTGTGCTGGGGACAATAAAAGGGCACTCTAAAATGTGCAGTTTTGTCACACAACACAATGCTACAGATGTATTAAGTTTTGAGGGAGTGTGCAATTGGCATGCTGACTGCAGGAATGTCCACCAGAGCTGTTGCCAGATAATTGACTGTTAATTTCTCGACCATATGTTGCCTCAACGTCGTTTTAGAGAATTAGGTAGTACGTCCAAACAAGCCTCACAACCGCAGACCACGTGTAACCACGCCAGCCCAGGACCTCCACATCCGGCTTCTTCACCAGCAGGATCATCTGAGACCAGCCACCCGGACAGCTGCTAAAACTGTCGGTTTGCACAACCGAAGAATTTCTGCACAAACTGTCAGAAACCATCTCAGGGAAGCTCATCTGCGTGCTCGTCGTCCTCACCAGGGTCTTGACCTGACTGCAGTTCGGCATCGTAACCGACTTCAGTGGGAAAATGCTCACCTTCAATGGCCACTGGCATGCTGGAGAAGTGTGCTCTTCACTGATGAATCCCGGTTTCAACTGTACCGGGCAGATGGCAGACAATGTGAGGTGTATGGTGTCATGTGGGCGAGCGGTTTGCTGATGTCAACGTTATGAACAGAGTGCCCCGTGGTGGTGGGGTTATGGTATGGGCAGGCGTAAGCTACGGACAACGAACACAATTGCATTTTATCGATACCGTGTCGTGCCATTCATCCGCCGCCATCACCTCATTTCAGCTTGATAATGCATGGCCCCATTTCACAAGGATTTGTACACAATTCCTGGAAGCTGAAAATGTCTGTTCTTCCATGGCCTGCATACTCACCAGACATGTCACCCATTGAGCACGTTTGGGATGCTCTGGATCGACACGTACGACAGCGTGTTCCAGTTCCCGCCAATATCCAGTAACTTCACACAGCCATTGAAGAGTGTAACAAGATTCCACAGGCCACAATCTGCAGCCTGATCAACTCTATGCGAAGGAGATGTCGCACTGCATGAGGCAAATGGTGGTCACACCAGATACTGTTTTTTCTGATCCACGCCCCTACTTTTTTTTTAAGGTACAGTGAGGGAAAAAAGTATTTGATCCCCTGCTGATTTTGTACGTTTGCCCGCTGACAAAAATTATCAGTCTATAATTTTAATAGTAGGTTTATTTGAACAGTGAGAGACAGAATAACAACAACAAAATCCAGAAAAACGCATGTCAAAAATGTTATAAATTCATTTGCATTTGAATGAGGGAAATAAGTATTTGACCCCCTATCAATCAGAAAGATTTCTGGCTCCCAGGTGTCTTTTATACAGGTAACGAGCTGAGATTAGGAGCACACTCTTAAAGGGAGTGCTCCTTATCTCAGTTTGTTACCTGTATAAAAGACACCTGTCCACAGAAGCAATCAATCAGATTCCAAACTCTCCACCATGGCCAAGATCAAAGAGCTCTCCAAGGATGTCAGGGACAGGATTGTAGACCTACACAAGGCTGGAATGGGCTACAAGACCATCGCCAAGCAGCTTGGTGAGAAGGTGACAACAGTTGGTGCGATTATTCGCAAATGGAAGAAACACAAAAGAACTGTCAATCTCCCTCGGCCTGGGGCTCCATGCAAGATCTCACCTCGTAGAGTTGCAATGATCATGAGAACGGTGAGGAATCAGCCCAGAACTACACGGGAGGATCTTGTCAATGATCTCAAGGCAGCTGGGACCATAGTCACAAAGAAAACAATTGGTAACACACTACGCCGTGAAGGACTGAAATCCTGCAGCGCCCGCAAGGTCCCCCTGCTCAAGAAAGCACATATACAGGGCCGTCTGAAGTTTGCCAATGAACATCTGAATGATTCAGAGGAGAACTGGGTGAAAGTGTTGTGGTCAGATGAGACTAAAATCGAGCTCTTTGGCATCAACTCAACTCGCCGTGTTTGGATGAGGAGGAATGCTGCCTATGACCCCAAGAACACCATCCCCACCGTCAAACATGGAGGTGGAAACATTATGCTTTGGGGGTGTTTTTCTGCTAAGGGGACAGGACAACTTCACCGCATCAAAGGGATGATGGACGGGGCCATGTACCGTCAAATCTTGGGTGAGAACCTCCTTCCCTCAGCCAGGGCATTGAAAATGTGTTGTGGATGGGTATTCCAGCATGACAATGAACCAAAACACACGGTCAAGGCAACAAAGGAGTGGCTCAAGAAGAAGCCCATTAAGGACCTGGAGTGGCCTAGCCAGTCTCCAGACCTTAATCCCATAGACAATCTGTGGAGGGAGCTGAAGGTTCGAGTTGCCAAACATCAGCCTCAAAATCTTAATGACTTGAAGAAGATCTGCAAAGAGAAGTGGAACAAAATCCCTCCTGAGATGTGTGCAAACCTGGTGGCCAACTACAAGAAACATCTGACTTCTGTGATTGCCAACAAGGGTTTTGCTACCAAGTACTAAGTCATGTTTTGCAGAGGGGTCAAATACTTATTTCCCTCATAAAAATGCAAATAAATTTATAAAATTTTTGGCATGCGTTTTTCTGGTTTTTTTTGTTGTTATTCTGTCTCTCACTGTTCAAATAAACCTACGATTAAAATTATAGACTGATCATGTCTTTGTAAGTGGGCAAATGTACAAAATCAGCAGGGGATCAAATACTTTTTTCCCTCACTGTATCTGTGACCAACAGATGCAAATCTGTATTCCCAGTCATGTGAAATCCATAAATTAGGGCCTAATTGATATACACTGATTTCCTCATATGAACTGTAACTCAGTAAAATCTTTGAAATTGTTGCATGTTGCGTTTATATTTTTGTTCAGTGTATATCACAAATACGATAATACAAAAACTGATAAAATACCTTGGATTACAAACTAGAGGCATGCTGGAGACTTGCTCCTGCCCCTGGCCTGTTCCCTTGGTTACATCATTAACCCTCCAAGCTACACATGCTTATTAACATCAGTGGGTGTGGCAAATGATGCCTCTAGATCCCACGCCGCTGGTCATCCTCCCCGACCCCAGGCTTCTGGCGTGATGTCACGTGTATGATGATACTTCGGGGTGGAATGGCAGGTGGATTCTCTCAACTCAACAAGAGTTGTCTGTTTTTCCATCCCCATAGTCCATAGTCAGTAGAGGAAACCTAGGTCGTGTTCATTAGGTACCAAACTATTACCTGTACAAGAAATGCTCATTTTCGCTTTCCATTGCAAAACTTTTCCATTTTGTGCCCTAATGAACACGACCCTGTGATCACAGATTGTCCTCTCTGTAGCCATGGAGGAAAGGGGATTATTGCCTTGCCTCACTGCCTGGTTACCATGGTAACTCTGGCCTCTATGCCTTCCAGGTGCCCCTGACTCCGCAGCCTCCTCCCCAGGGAGCTCCACCCTCTGGAGGCGTGACGTTCTATGACCCCGCCCAGTTTGCACAGGTAAGTTAGGGTTCTGCTAAGAACGGTTAGGCCAGGGTTCCCAATAAGACTTAACACTTATGTAAATGTTTACATTGACATCTGTGGGAAAATTCGAGGATCTCAAGTGAAGTTGTGATGACACCATTTACATTAAGGTAATTTAGCCAAAAGGTACAACCACATATCACAGCCATTGCAAGTAAAACTTTCCTCAATATAGCAGTGAAATCGGTGCTAATAAGAAAAGAAAAGTAAGGCTTGTTCCACCATTGGGGTGTTAGGACACACCAGTGGCTATGTTAACACTGTCAAATCAACCCTCTCTCCTTCTCCCCAGACGAGTACTCCATCGGGACGGCTTCTGTCTGGCCGGTTGGGCGGTCAGAGGGCATACCCAGTGCTGAAGTAAACATCCAGCCTAGTTCATCCTAAAACAGACTATGGGTTTAACCACCCCCTGTGAATGACTGAAGCGCGTAGACACCTCGACTCCCTCTCTGAAGGACCCCCCCTTACACCCCAGATGAGCACTACCATCATCGTCAAACGGCTATACCACTCTTTCACTAATTAAAACAAATATATGAAAATGAGTTAATAATTATTTGCAGGCAAGATTGTCATAAAGGGCTTTTCATGTGTCCATACGGAGTTAGTTGCTGCAATGGATCTTAACTTTCTTGATTATACTGTATGTGAAAACATATTGCCCTCCCCTGACTGTGGGGACAGACATGCTAGTGTGTTCAGCTCTTAGACAACATTCCCTCTACACACACGGGGCCTGTTCTGGTCCTATTTTTATCTATTATGTGTGTCTTTGGCCCCTTTGGTGAGTGTGTTGGTGTGTAAAAGACTAAAAAATGTGTAGCACTTCGGGAGCTCAACTCACTGTTTATACTAGTGTATATGGCTTCTCAATGTTCCTGTACAGATACTGAAGGTAGCGCTGAAGTATGTGTGTGGAGTATCAGTAATGCAATGCCTGCTGTGTTCCCTCTCCCTCAGTCACCCCTCATTCAGATGTGCTCAGGTGTGAGGTGGGGTCCAGCAGAGGAAATAAGAGCAACTGTCTTGTCACGCCTCGCTACCGCAGGAGTTTAGAAGTTTGAGTGTTAGAATGTGCTTTTTGGATATTTATAAAATGTTCCTGCCTACCAACACCTCATTATCATGCACAAAGGTCTTAAGTCTCAGCTAGGCTCCCCCTCTCCCAACTGAGTTTAGAAGCAGGCCTTTATAGGAACAAGGAGTGAGCTTCCGAATCGCGGGATTCAGGGGCCTCATTTATAAACCGTGCGTACATACAATATACCCCAAAATGTGCATGCACCAGTTCACGCTCAAGTTGGCATTTATAAAAATCTAACGTGACGTGAGAATGTGCTCAGCTCCCCGTTTAGACCATGCGTACGCACATCTATTAGTGGTTGAAATATTGTATTGCAAGCTGGCAAGTAAGTATTTTGTGCAAATGGAGGATATGATGAAAAGCTTATTCATAAAAAAATTAAAAACAGGACAACATTAACATGAATGCATCTGTTAGTGAGAAGATCGAAAATCTTTATTTACTCTAAAATAATTAGACATTTGAATCTATTTTCATAACCATTGCAGAATAAATTCCTCACCTTTTCTAGCCGTGACAGGTTCATATTCTCAAAGAAGCCATACAACAAATTAGCATGTGCATCTTTCATTTAATTGGACCTAGGAGCCTAGTAAATAGATAGGCTATGTATTTCAAGATTTGCAATCCCATAGGCAGTTCGGTTTATAATATAGCCTACAGTCTAATTTAAAAGGTGAACAGTTTATTTTACATTTAAGTAGGCCTACTGTAATAAAAATAAAAATAAATTGGTAGCCTGCCTTAGACAATGTTTCAGAATTCACGGCCAGTCCCATCATATTTAGGTGAAAAGTCGATGCAAAACATTGTTGAATTCAAACACAATTTGCCTTTGTTTTCTCTTTCAGAAACTGTATTAGAACATTCTGCCAACACAGTAAATAGACCGGTAGTTTATGTAAAATATTTGAGAGTATGGGTAGGATATTGTATTGCTGTGCGATAGAAGCACGACATTGTCAATTTAATCAGAGCCTATACTAAAGGCAGGACATTGTTTCTATCTATTGATAAACAAAATATTGAACAATTTGTATTTTGCACTGAAGTGTAATGTTTAGCCTACTTTTAAATTATAGGCTACAATCAATCTTGCAGAATGCGCAGACATCAGGCACTTGCTATAGGCACCATGCATGTTTAGTTTGAAAGTAACTGCAAAACATTCTGCCCACAGAAATGTGATCAAAATTGCAATTGCTATTTTAGATACTGCCATGGCCTAATTCCAAATTCCAAATTATACAGCAAATAAAGTGCGTTATTGTCACCATAAAAGGTGAATGGAGGGGTTTTCCAGGCTGAGTTTTAATGCGCGTACAGTTTTACAACCGGTCCGATTTATAACAGGAAACAAACATGGGTATATAGGGTGTGCATCAAATTTATAAATCTAAATATTTTTGTACTTGCACTGACTTTTCAGAAATGGCTCATGCAGAAATGTGTGAAATTTGCACAACAGTTATAAATGAGGCCCCAGGACTATACATCGGTCAAGTCTCAGATGACACCCTATTTCCTATATAGTGCACAACTAGGTGGCTTTGGTCAAAAGTAGTGCACTTTATTGGGAATAGTCATGGTGTCATTTGAGACAACAATTTTTAAATGTCATTAATCTATCCAAATATTTATGATCGATTGTATTTATGAGCTGAAGTCATGAGCAAAAGTGTGGAGAGCAACTTTTTTTTCCGCTGATTTAGCTTTGAAATGTCATTAATAGATGATATAATACCTGGATTCACATTTGTATCAGCTGCTTCTGCAGATGAACTAGCCCATCATTAATTAATCTGTGAAACGAGAGCAAATTTTACTCAAAATGCCCTCTTTTTTTTTCTTTATCCAAAATGCCTTGCTTCCCCTTTTGTGTTCTTGACTTTGTTTCTGTGTTGAACACCCAATTTAGTTTTTTCCAAAGCTCCCCTTTGTCTGAGAAAAGCTTTTTGTTTTTCCTGTTTTAGAATTCAACCCTGTAAAATTCTTGACAAAAATGGTAATAAAGATATTTTTGCGCTCTTTAGCACTTTGAAAGAAAGTATGTTTCATTTTGTTGTATGTCTAGTGAAGGGTGCGTTCTATTCTGATTAGTATCCAAGGTTCATCATGGAGTGTCATTTATCTACATATCAAAATACATTTCCTATTCACACATTATTGCAGTACATCACAACAGTTGGCTAAAATTGTCTGAATATGGAGTATTATATTCATCTTTGTGTAATGTTACTGAATTCATTTTTATTATTGAGTGAATTACAAACCAGTGGACCTAAAATGTGTGCAATATCAAGACTGTTGGCATCACTGTCGCACTACAGATGTAGTTCCCTTCTGCAGGATAAAAGTATTTTGGACCAGCACTACCTATCCCTCATTGGATTTTTCTACTTGCCCGAGTTGTTAATCAACCCAGACAGTGGTCAAATTGGAAGCAAAAAGAATACAGGCCTGTCCCATTCTCCACTCCTGAAGTCTGCAGTCTAAAGAAGCATTTGCATTTCCAGGAGTGTAGGGTGCCTGGTTTAATTTTTAGCAAGCGTGTGAGGGCATCGCAGCACACTTCACTGGCTCAGTTTCCCCTTCCTGTCCAATCATGAGTGTGGCTTAACTAAAGTGCATTGCACTCCGAAACACGTCACTGACAAGTGTTGGGAGTCAGAGTGGGAAAAATATCTGCAATGAGAAATGGCAGAAGTCTGGAATAACCGCTTACAGTGCAGTATACATACATCCCTTCATGGCAATCTATGATCCTGTGGGTTAGTGGCACATAACTCTGCTTGTGTTCATAAAGTAGTGTTCTTCAGCTGAAATGTCACAGTATTTTTGCCAACTTCATTTGGATTTGGTGATTTCTTTGTCCTCTTGGATCCAAAGGCTTTCCTATAAAAATCCCAAAATAAAACACAAATTTACTCAATCTATAGGCTAACAAATTATAGATTATAATTCATGTGTATATGGGAGTTTTCGACATTGCACAATTTATTTCAAAAGCCTGGGGGAGAAGTGTTTGTGTAGTGTGACAAGATGAAAGCTGTACTTTGTTATGATTGATAATTATGCATTAATCTCTTTCCCAGACACTTTCTCCCAAATGCACAAAGAATCTGGTGGACCAAAGTGTCAAACTTGGGGAGCGTTCCTCTGCCCAGGCATTGCTGACGCATGCCAGATCTTATAACGCCTGGTAGGTATTTTAAGTATCAGCTAACGTCATGTTATAGCAATGATGGAATTAGATTAATCTGGCACGGGTGCCGGGTAGGCCTGTTTTGCACTGGGTGAAAGTTGATTGCATTCATTTGGGAACCGGGCTGCCTCCCGGGTTTGAGCCAGGTGCCCCGTTAAAGTAGGCTCAAAACAAACGTGACTTAATTAAGCACGTGGAGTAATGGGTAGGATTCTATGTTTTCACATGCAAAAGTGATTGCTTTTGATAAAAACGCTTTATCTGCCTTCCCAATGAAAATTCTAACATTTTATGGGAAAGAGATATGTTTCTGGAAGATGCTGCCTTGTTGACAACATGACCGAGCGGCGCAGATTACTGTTCGATTTGAGAAAGGCTCTCCTCCCTCACCCCTTTTGAACGTTCACTTCACGGGCCATAGACCGGTGCCCCCGCGGCTCAGCATATTCGACTCCGCCCAATCTTTCAGTAGCAGCCTTGGCCTTCTTTAGCGAATAGAAAGGATGGGATAAACTCCCTGCGCATAGGCATTATTTTAATCGGCTTAATCTACCAACCAATCATCTCCCACAGCACCTTCCTCCTAACCTAACTTGGCAGTCGTAAAATAAGTGCCTGGAACAAGATCCCCCACATTCTGGTCTTGACGAGAATAACAAAACTGTCGAGAGGTTCTCTTCTGCAGTGTTCAACCAATCAAGTAAATGTGGAGGTGAAATGGACTGTCGCCTTGTTAACGTCCGAAAGCGGGAGTCCATTCACAGGCTCTCTTCAATTTCCCTTGAAAACCGGAACATATGGTTATTTTATGACTGCGCTGAGGCTACCCTCCCCGTACGTGTCTTGCCTCCATTTGTAGCCATGTGATTCGCTAAAATTAAATGATGACAAATACTTTACTCAGTAAGGTCACTCCCACTAAGGCCAACTTTGAATCGTTGATATCCCAGGCTTATAATATGTGCTGTGCACAATAGCCTGGGGGCGAGGTTAATTATGCATTTAGTTTGTTAAATGTAGCTTTGTGCACACATACTTGATGAAATAGTGTATTATAAGCCCATATGTGCGGGGCACCAATTAGTGTACGAAACAAACAATCAATGTATTGACATGGATAGTTTCCCGAGTGGCGCAGTGGTCTAAGGCACTGCATCGCTGTGCCACTAGAGATCCTGGTTCGAATCCAGGCTCTGTCGTAGCCGGCCGCGAACGGGAGACCCATGGGGCGGCGCACAATTGGCCCAGCATCGTCCAGGGTAGGGGAGGGAATGGCCGGCAGGGATGTAGCTCAATTGGTAGAGCATGGCGTTTGCAACGCCAGGGTTGTGGGTTCGATTCCCACAGGGGGCCAGTATGAAAAAATAATAATGTATGCACTCACTAACTGTAAGTCGCTCTGGATAAGAGCGTCTGCTAAATGACTAAAAATGTAAATGTAAAATGTTACCAGCGCTGCTTGTGCTTTTTGAACAGCTCCCTCCAACATGGTGCGGTCGCTCAGCATCTGTCTGAGAGCTGCAGGGTCCATCTCCAGAAGCATGCCTACGAGACAGAGTCCTTCTAAATTCCAACCATTACAGACCACTAATATGGTTTATGAAAGAAAACATTAGCGGTATCTGTGATATTACAGTTCACTCAATGAGACATTTTGTTCTAGAGATTAGAACCAAATGCGCAATATGTTTAAACAGTTTAGTGGTAAAGCTGCCACCATATTGCTTCCGCCTTACAGATCTGCAAATATTGAAGGGCCAAAAGGAGAGTAGGGATCAAATTGGGACCCGCTAGTGGCAGGGCTAACCTGTAATGTCATTTGAGTGCGCTGCGTTCATCTCCTGCACCAGTAGAAACAGCCTCTCTTCCAGCCTCTCAGTGTCATCGGCATCTGATGAGTCACTCACATCTGTCTCTTCCACACCCAGCCTACAGCAAAACAGGGTAGGGGAAACATATCATGCTATGAATATCATTTTAAAAAACTGCACATTATAGGCTAAGCTTCCCACACATTATGGCCTGCGACTAGTGAGATATTAGATATTATTCTGGTATCACCATGTATTTACTATTGGATGTACAATAATGACACCATAAAATGGATGAATAATGTTATATTACTGTATAAGTGGGAAGCCTTCCGTGTCAGGCTTCTAGGCTCTCCTTTCGAGACCAATGTCCCATTCAGAAACAACCCCTAGTCCTCAAGGCTTTTTAGTAGATCTGAGTGTGGATAGGTATAACCAATATGGCAGAAAAATATAATCTAGTTCATCAGTGGCTACTATCATATTGCTTATACCTACCCAAATCTAGGGTAATATGGGTTATATTTGGACAGGGCCTCAGTCTGCTTGACTGACAGATCTACAATTAATAACAGCCATTAACAGAGTAGCCTAATCACAGTCTAGTTTCCATCCATTCAGAGGTTCATCATAATATCTGTGATAGGCGTTGTGTCCGGATATACAAATAAAGTCCTTCATAATATCTTTATTCCCCACAATGATGTCCACGCTCCACACTCACTCCTGCAGTGTCTTCAAGGCCAGGTTCACCTGCTCCTCCAGTAGTGAGGGTTCTGAGAGAAGATGCAGCACCGCTTCTTTATGCTGCTCCAGTAGCATGCCTGGAGTGGTACATTGGTACATACATGTTAGGGAAGCATAATAAGCTGTTGGTTCATAAAGGATCAGCCTGCGCTTGCACTGTGTGGATTCACATTGTATAGGGCAGGGGTCGGCAACAGGCGGCCAGCAAGTGATTTTCTTGGCCCCCAACATTTAAAATGTTTTAAATAAAATAGGATTTTAGTTGAGTCAAAAAAGACTAAAATCATTCAGGAATTAAGCTTTTCTGGTCAAGCAGAAAAGTGTCAAACTTTGTGTGTTGCTTTTTTGGCCAGATTTTTTATCTCAATTAGACTAATCTGGTAAAATTGGCCAGATTTTTTTTTATCTCAATGAGACTAATCTGGTAAAATAAAGGTTAAGTAAATAAAATAAATAATACGTTTGGAGGGAGGAGAGATGATTGGCTTACTGATCAGTAGGTTGATTACCAGTGATTTTCTGTGTGTGGCCAGTGTTGCAGAAGTCCACTAGCTCAAACAGCTGTTCCCCAAGCGAGTCAGAAGAGGCAGATGCTTCATCTTCCTCCTTTGACATCCCCGTATTGCTGACAGGACAGAAGTCATGGAGAGATCATAGTTAGTTGAGATCTAGTCTCACATGGCCATCCTTCCAAATCTACGAGAAGCCTGGGCTCTGGAGGTTAGTTAAGATCAAACTCAACCAAATTGTGACACAGAAACTCACATGGGGGCGGAGTCCAACCCGAGTTAAGCATTCGTAAATGGAACGTAATTCCCTTTGTATGCACTGTTCTCTCTACACGTATTCTGACCTTGAACTTAAGCATGAGAATAGCATGCTATTCACCCGCTATTCGTTTGGGGTGGAGATCAAATAAATGACGGTGTGGCGGAGGTGTCTACAGATCAGAGTATGTGAGCGGAGTTGAGTGGTTGGATTTCCGGTCTTTTTCCAACCACTCAGCTAAAAACTGCTCCGTGCTCACAGGAAAAAAAGCTGCAGCTCCAAATTCGCTTCATTAATTAAAATCACAATTTAACCAACATCCATCTATTGTTGTGACTACCTGGACCTACCATTTGGTTTTGAAGTATTGAAACCAAACCATATGATTTGAATGAAAAGTATTTGAATAAACATGAAAAGGTGAATGTAAGACTCGCACATCATTTCAAATAGGCTACATGTCATTAAATAGCATAAATAGGTCAGGTGCCAGACAGGGAGCCTGAAAATGAATTATTTAGGCAATATTATTTCAATTATTTCAAGGCTATAGCCTACAAAGAAATACATTGTGAAGCATTTGCGAGTGCGACACAATAGACTGGTAGGGACATAAAACACTCAGCATTTAAACAACATTTTGTTTTATTAAATCATTATAGTCTATAAATTGCACATATAGGATGTGACTTACTTGGAATTAAATATGGGATTGGTAATGTTCTCTAGTTGCGCCGTGATTGGCTCAGTGTTCTGTCACTCATGGGGACACTACGTCACCGCACAATCTATGGGGAGAGTTCGAGAATTCAAGAATTCAAGCCCCTTGGGTGCTGCCATAGTTACATTAGAAGTGCCCATCCAAGAAGGCTCAAGGTCATTGGCAACAGATTTGTATTTATTTTGGATACCCATTAGCTGCAGCAGCTACTCTTCCTGGGGTCCAACAAAATTAAGCCAGTTATACATTTGAAAAACATTACAATACATTCATAACAGCTTTCACAACATATTAAGTGTGTGCCCTCAGGCCTCTACTCTACTACCACATATCTATAACACAAAATCCATGTGTACGTGTGTATTGTGCGTATGTTATCGCGTGTTTGCATGCATGTGTCTATGTTTGTGTTGCTTCACAGTCCCCGCTGTTCCATAAGGTGTATTTGTATCTGTTTTTTTAATCTAATTTTACTGCTGGCATGAGTTACTTGATGTGGAATAGAGTTCCATGTAGTCATGGCTCTATGTAGTACTATACGCCTCCATTGTCTGTTCTGGACTTGGGGACTGTGAAGAGACCTCTGGTGGCATGTCTTGTGGGGTATGCATAGGTGTCCGAGCTGTGTGCCAGTAGTTCAAACATAAAGCTCGGTGCATTCAACATGTCAATACCGCTCACAAATACAAGTAGTGATGAAGTCAATCTCTCCTCCACTTTGAGCCAGGAGAGATTGACATGCATATTATTAATGTTAGCTCTCTGTGTACATCCAAGGGCCAGCCGTGCCGCCCTGTTCTGAGCCAATTGCAATTTTCCTAAGTCCCTCTTTGTGGCACCTGACCACACAACTGAACAGTAGTCCAGGTGCGACAAAACTAGGGCCTGTAGGACCTGCATTGTTGATAGTGCTGTTAAGAATGCAGAGCAGCGCTTTATTATAGACAGACCTCTCCCCATCCTAGCTACTGTTGTATTAAAAAAAAAAAAATATGTTTTGACCATGACAGTTTACAATCCAGGGTTACTCCAAGCAATTTAGTCTCTTCAACTTGCTCAATTTCCACATTATTCATTACAAGAGTTAGTTGATGTTTACGGTTTAGTCAATGATTTGTCCCAAATACAATGCTTTTAGTTTTTGAAATATTTAGGACTAACTTATTCCTTGCCACCCACTCTGAAACTAACTGCAGCTCTTAAGAACACAAAAGTACTCAACATAGTGGAGATAAAAACATAGCAAACAGAAGACATAGAAGGCACAGTATGTGGGTATGTGTGGATGTATTGTGATGGAAGGTGTGGTGTGCGTTTTTGTGTTTGGAAAAGTGTGGCGTTAAGTGAGTGAGAAAGGAAATGGTTGCATATCCCAGAACCAATGTGTGTCTGTGAGCAGGGGTTGTGAGAGAGAGAGCTTTCAAATTGTGCAGATGAGGGATATACATTTTAAAATAACGTATACATCTAATTGATTTTTTATTGTCCTATCATGATGGAACGGTCCCCAACCCTATATCCTAGACACCCACCTGAGCGACTCATACACCAAAGAGAAGTCCCCATCTGTTTTATGGCCCTGCTGTAAGTTGCCTATATGCAGCCAAAACAGAAAGATAAATGCGGTCAGAGACCTACTAGAGCAGCACCGCCCCCTCAAGATTCTGAGCCTGCCTGGCAAGGTTGGTCCTACAAAGGCAGAGTCCCCTTGATTGGAGAGCATAATCTACTAGGAATTTCTCAAAGCTGCTAATGCGAACCTTGACGACCTTGTACCTAGCCGGTGGGGATTCCGGTGGGAACCCCCACCCAGGTAGTGGCAGTGCTGGCAACACTAGCTGCAGTAACCCATGGGGAGGGGGTCACACTTGGACAATCAGAGAGGGGGCATATTATTGTGGCCCTGGTGGCACAAAATAATCAAAGGTCTGACTGCACGGAGATGCTTGGGAAAATGGTTACAACGGGGGACCAGAGTTTGTGTGTTTCAGGGGAAGGGGGTGGATCTGATCTCCATCACCTAGGACTTGACATAGGTTAATCAAAGCTCAAATGTGTCAAATTTTGCTCAATCTTGCATGCTTTTTCAAACAGCTGTAACTGTATATGCATTCGTAAATCAGGTCCTTTCTTGAGGTAGGCTCTGGAATGTAACAACCGTTGAGCATCTGAGCTTAAGGTTGATTGTGGAGGAAAGGGGTTGAGAATGTGCGTGTGCGTGTATCCCACATCTGTTGCAAGGGGGTAAGGATGTTAGGGAGAATATAGGATGAACCACAATAATTGTTTGCTAAAATAAGAATTGCTTGACAAAAATGTAATGTAGAACAATGGCAATCCGGGTTATAGGTAACAATCCTTCGCATGAACTGCCGACATTATTACGCATATTAATTGATATTGATGGAAATTAAGATATGCAAGACATTAGAATTGAAATGTATTTTAATAGCTATATACACTACCGTTCAAAAGTTTGGGGTCACTTAGGAATTCCTGTTTTCGAAAGAAAAGCAATTTTTTTGTAACATCAAATTGATCAGAAATACAGTGTAGACATTGTTAATGTTGTAAATGGCTATTGTAGCTGGAAATGGCTGATTTTTAATGGAATATCTACATAGGCGTACAAAGGCCCATTATCAGCAACCATCAGTCCTGTGTTCCAATGGCACGTTGTGTTTGCTAATCCAAGTTTATCATTTTAAATGGCTAATTCATCATTAGAAAACCATTTTGCAATTATGTTAGCACAGCTGAAAACTGTTGTGCTGATTAAAGAAGCAAAACAACTGGCCTTCTTGAGACTAGTTGAGTATCTGGAGCATCAGCAATTGTGGGTTCGATTACAGGCTCAAAATGGCCAGAAACAAAGAACTTTATTCTGAAACTCGTCAGTTTATTCTTGTTCTGAGAAATGAAGGCTATTCCATGTGAGAAATTGCCAAGAAACTGAAGATCTCGTACAGCGCTTTGTACTACTCCCTTCACAGAACAGCGCAAACTGGCTCTAACCAGAATAGAAAGAGGAGTGGGAGGCCTCGGTGCACAACTGAGCAAGAGGACAAATACATTAGTGTCTAGTTTGAGAAACAGGCGCCTCACAGGTCCTCAACTGGCAGCTTCATTAAATAGTACCCGCAAAACACCAGTCTCAACGTCAACAGTGAAGAGGCGACTCCGGGATGCTGACCTTCTAGGCAGAGTTGCAAAGAAAACGCCATATCTCAGACTGGCCAATAAAAAGAAAAGATTAAGATGGGCAGTCTGAGATATGGCTTTTTCTTTGCAACTCTGCCTAGAAGGTCAGCATCCCGGAGTCGCCTCTTCACTGTTGACGTTGAGACTGGTGTTTTGCGGGTACTATTTAATGAAGCTGCCAGTTGAGGACCTGTGCAGGTCCCCTGTAGCTTAGTTGGTAGAGCATATGCACTCACTAACTGTAAGTCGCTCTGGATAAGAGCGTCTGCTAAATGACTAAAATGTAAAATGTACCTAGACTATTTGCATTGATCCCGCCCCCGCATAGTCACTTTACCCCTACCTACATGTACATATTACCTCAACTAACCTGTACCCCCCCACATTGACTGGAACCCCCTGTATATAGCCTCATTATTGTTATTTTATTGTTACTCTTTTAAAAAAATTACTTTAGTTTATTTAGTCAATCTTTTCTTAACTCTTATTTTTCTGCATTGTTGGTTAAGGGCTTGTAAGTAAGCATTTCACGGTAAGGTCTACACCTGTTGTATTCGGCGCATGTGACAAACACAATTTGATTGGATTTTTTTAGAGAATTTGGCAGTAGGTCCAACCGGCCTCACAACCGCAGACCACATGTAACCACGCCAGCCCAGGACCTCCACATCCGGTTTCTTCAACTGCAGGATTGTTTGAGACCAGCCACTTGGACAGCTGATGAAATTGATGAGTATTTCTGTCTGTAATAAACCCTTTTGTGGGGAAATACTCATTCTGATTGGCTGGGCCTGGCTCCCAAGTGGGTGGGCATATGCCCAGTCAAGTGAAATCCATAAATTTCCTCCCCAGTTAGCGCAGGTGTTCTCGCTCTGGATAAGAGCGTCTGCTAAATGACTAAAATGTAAAGGTGTTCGGTGCAGGCTCCATAGCTAATTAGCACAGGTGGTCGCCTTTGTCTTCTGTAAACAAGCCCTGTAACATGTAGGTATGTGTGGGAACATTAACCCTAGAAAAGGTGTGTAGTAATTTACCTTTTTTTATATTATTATTTCTCGCTGATATGAAAGATTCGTTGCTTATGTTTCCAAAACAGTACTGAAAGCGATGCGTGTTAAAGCAAGACTCGGGGCTCTTAACAAAACTCCTCCGATCAGAAGATACTTTCGTCAATAGGCGCTAAAGTAGTTAGCGTCTATGAATGGGGATTTCTCAATCTTACCTTGGGCCCTGAGGTAGTTGCAGAGCTCTGAGGGCTTTCTCAAGGGCCTCTGTCAGCATAGCTTCATCCTGCTGCATCTGAGTCAAAACAGGACCAGGTAGCTCCAGCAACATGCCTGCGACCCAATGACAATGCCATCTCAATATACCATATGAAACAATGTTGTAAAAATGTAATCTACTAGCTAGCTATAACATATTGGTAGTAATGCATATGCCTACATAGCTGCGTAATGCTTTGCAATTTGAATGTTAGTGTAAATGTAAAACGTTTTGGGTGACTCACCTGTGAGTTTCCCGGCGATCTCGGCGTATTTGGGGTAAATTAAATCATACAGCTGTTCACCAAGTACCTCGAGATCTTCCTCATCCTCCATGATGATGTGATATTTGGCTGGTTCTTCACTGCTGTCGTTGTTGTTTACAATGCTAACCGGCCATTTTCTACCGTCTGATTAGTCTCCGACTTAGAAGTTCATCTTTGAGACGTCGAACGAAAAGTACAGAGCTAACTAACTATCTTCAAAAGCTGCAACACATATCAACTGTGATCGACTAGCTAGATCTGACTGACAGTGAGACTCAATTGATGACGTATAGCAAAATTAGCTAGCTAGCTAGCTTGTTGACACATATCTGATTCAGAGCGCACATCGACAACAACAAGATCCATAAACTGTTCGTTCTTCTTCTTCTTCTGTGGGTTTTATGGCAGACTACAACCCCAAAATGTGTATTGCCGCCACCAACTGGACGGGTTGAAAACCAAAACAAGGTCAAAAGAAAATCCGTATGTGATAACGAAACTAACTTCATCCACCCAAATAAAAATAGTACATTGACAAAACCAAACCAAAACTCCCACTTCTTCCTTCTTTCAAATCTCCATATCTCCCTTCTCAGGCTCTAGGGCCTAACAGGCCACAGCTTGTGACAATATTCCATGTAACTCCTCCGCTGAGAAATCTTTCAGTCTCAGGAACCGCTCAGCCGCATCGACAATGATATCTATCTTCCTGGACCTGCTCTCCACCTTGGCAGTGCCATTCATCACCATAGCTGTAAAGGCCACAAAGTCCACCTTCTTAACCTTTAAAATATCAGGGTCCTGCTGGTGAAAGGCAACCCCTGCAGCCTGCAGTGAAGGCCTATTCACCATCATGGACTCTTCAGGAACACCATTCAAACCCTCAACTCTTTTAACAGCTGCTGCATATGAAATGCTCTGGACAGCCCTGACTTTGGCTACCTCATTCTCTTTCACCCTTGTCAGGCAATCGAAAGATGTAGCTTCATGGTTCCCACCACAATTGTTCAGTAGAGAGCAGAACATCCATAGACATGGAGCTGCTGCAGCAGTTCGGCCATTTCCTACAGGTAACACGCACACACAGGATTGGATGAGCACACACAGACACACAAATGGTCATATGTGTGTGTCTGTGTGTGCAATTTTTTATTTTGAAAGGCTTAAAATCTTCACAGAGAATCGTAGGAGATTTATTTCTGTTTATTTCAAATAAAATTGTATTTGTCACATGCGACGAATACAACAGGTGTAGACTTTACCGTGAAATGCTTACTTATGAGCCCTTAACCAACAATGCATTTCAAGAAATAGATTTCGTAAATATTTTCTTAAATAAACTAAAGTAAAAAATAAAATGAAGAGTAACATAATAAAATTAAAATAACGAGGCTATATACAGCGGGTACCGGTACTGAGTCAATGTGCGGGGATACAAGTTAGTCGAGGTAATTTGCACATGTAGGTAGGGGTAAAGTGACTATGCATAGATAATAAACAGCAAGTATCAGCAGTGTAAAAACAAAGGGGGGGGTCAATGTAAATAGTCTGGGTGGCCATTTGATTAATTGCTCAGCAGTCTTCTGGCTTGGGTGTAGAAGCTGTTAAGGAGACTTTTGGACCTAGACTTGGTGCTCCGGTACCGCTTGCCGTGCAGTAGCAAAGAGAACAGTCTATGCTACTGTGACTGGAAACTTAGACAATTTTTTGGGCCTTCCTCTGACACCGCCTAGTATATAGGTCCTGGATGGCAGGAAGCTTTGGCCCCAGTGATGTACTGGGCCGTACGCACTACCCTCTGTAGCGACTTACGGTCAGATGCCAAGCAGTTGCCATACCGGCGGTGATGCAACTGGTCAGGATGCTCTCGATGGTGCAGCTGTAGAACTTTTTGAGGATCTGGGGACCCATGCCAAATCTTTTCAGTCTCCTGAGGGGGAACAGGTGTTGTCATGCCCTCTTCAAGACTGTGGACACCAAGGAACTTGAAACACTTGACACGCTCCACTACAGCCCCGTCAATGTTAATGAGGCGTGTTTGGCACTCCTTTTCCTGTAGTCCACGATCATCTCCTTTGTCTTGTTCACATTGAGGGAGAGGTTGTTGCCCCGGCACCACACTGCCAGGACTCTGACCTCCTCCCCATAGGCTGTCTCATCGTTGTTGGTGATCAAGCCTACCACTGTTGTGTCATCAGCAAGCTTAATGATGGTGTTGGAGTCGTGCTTGGCCACGCAGTCGTGGGTGAACAGGGAGTACAGGAGGGGATTAAGCACGCACCCCTGAGGGGCCCCCGTGTTGAGGATCAGCATGGCAGATGTGTTGTTGCCTACCCTTACCACCTGGGGATGGCCCGTCAGGAAGTCCAGGATCCAGTTGCAGAGGGAGGTGTTTAGTCCCAGGGTCCTTAGCTTAGTGATGAGCTTTGTGGGCACTATGGTGTTGAACGCTGAGCTGTAGTCAATAAACAGCATTCTCACATAGGTGTTCCTTTTGTCCAGGTCGGAAAGGGCAGTGTGGAGTGCGATTGAGATTGCGTCATCTGTGGATCTGTTGGGGCGGTATGTGAATTGGAGTGGGTCTATGGTTTCTGGGATAATGGTGTTGATGTGAGCCATGACCAGCGTTTTTCAAAGCACTTCATGGCTACCTAGGTGAGTGCTACGGGCCGGTAGTCATTTAGGCAGGTTACCTTTGCTTTCTTGGGAACAGGGACTATGGTGGTCTGCTTGAAACATGTAGGTGTTACAGACTCGGTCAGGGAGATGTTGAAAATGTCAGTGAAGACACTTGCCAGTTGGTCCGCGCATGCTCTGAGTACACGTCCTGGTAATCCGTCTGGCCCCGCGGCCTTGGGAATGTTCACCTGTTTAAAGGTCTTGCTCACATTGGCTACGGAGAGCGTGATCACAGAGTCGCCCGGAACAGCTGGTGCTCTCATGCATGCTTCAGTGTTGCTTGCCTCGAAGCGAGCATAAAAAGCATTTAGCTCATCTGGTAGGCTCGCGTCACTGGACAGCTCGCGGCTAGTTTGCAAGCCCTGCCACATCCGACAAGTGTCAGAGCCGGTGTAGTAGGATTCAATCTTAGTCCTATATTGACGATTTGCCTGTTTTATGGTTCGTCTGAGGGCATAGCGGGTTTTCTTATAAGCGTCCGGATTAGTGTCCCGCTCCTTGAAAGCGGCAGCTCTAGCCTTTAGCTCGTTGCGGATGTTGCCTATAATCCATGGCTTCTGGTTGGGATATGTACGTATGGTCACTGAGGGACAACGTCGTTGATGCACTTATTGATGAAGCCGGTGACTGAGGTGGTATACTCCTCAATGCCATTGGATGAATCCCGGAACATATTCCAGTCTGAGCTAGTTAAACAGTCCTGTAGCGTAGCATCCGTGTGATCTGACCACTTCCGTATTGAGTGAGTCACTGGTACTTCCTGCTTTAGTTTTTGATTGTAAGCAGGAATGGAGGATAAAATGATGGTCAGATTTGCCAAGTGGAGGGCGAGTGAGAGCTTTGTATGCGTCTCTGTGTGTGGAGTAAAGGTGGTCTAGAGTTTTTTTCCCTCTAGTTGCACATGTGACATGCTGGTAGAAGTTAAGTTTGCCTGCATTAAAGTTCCCGGCCACTAGGAGCGCCACTTCTGGATGAGCATTTTCTTGTTTGCTTATGGCCTTATACAGCTCGTTGAGTGTGGTCTTAGTGCCAGCATCGGTTTGTGGTTGTAAATAAACGGCTACGAAAAATATAGATGAAAACTCTCTTGGTAGATAGTGTGGTCTACAGTTTATCGAGCAATACCTAGAGACTTCCTTAATATTAGACATCGCGCACCAGCTGTTATTGACAAATAGACACACACACACCCCTCGTCTTACCAAATGTAGCTGTTCTGTCATGCCGATACACGGAAAATCCAGCCAACTGTATTTTATCCGTGTCGTCGTTCAGCCACGACTCGGTGAAACATAAGATATTACCGTTTTTAATGTCCCGTTGGTATGATAGTCTCGAACGGAGATCATCCAGTTTATTTTACAGTGATTGCACGTTGGACAATAGAACGGATGGTAGAGACGGGTTACCCACTCGCTGACAAATTCTAACAAGGCACCCTGACCCCCCCCCCCCCCCCCCCCTGTATTTCCGTATTTTCTTCACGCGAATGGCGGGGATTTGGGCCTGGTGTCAGAGAAGCAGTATATTATTCGTGTCTTTCTCATTAAAGAAAAAACGTGTCTGTGTGGTGTGATGTAAGGGGGCAAAGTGAGTGTTTCCCCGATGTGCTCTGTTAGAGGGTATGTATCTGAACGCTCTAACCTGTGTGTATGAAGTGAGGAGGCAGACTCTGTCCTCTCTGAAGGGGTTAGTGTGTGAGGGCTCAAGCCTGCTGCTTCTGATGCTGCTCCATCTGAGGAAAAACATCCCGAAAAACATGACCATCCTCTCCTTTCACCAGGACACACGCATCTCAAACTCCACATAATGTGAGTGTGTCCGTCCGTGTGTGTGTGTGTCAGTTGTTTTAGTCTGCCCTACTCATAATACTCATGTTTTTTGCAAGATGAGTGTGTTCACTGTTCTATGAAGTTGATGTGTGTTCTCAGTTGTGTTTGAATTAATCTCACTTCTGCCCAAATGTGTGACGAGTCTGGTGGGTCAACGCGTCAAACTGGTCAGAGGGAGCTGAGGTGCAGACAGCAGACTGTGTGAGTGAAAGTGGTGGAGGTGGTTTGGACGGTGGACTCAGTGGAGGACATCCCAGCCACTTGGCAGTTGGCAGTGTTGGCATTGCTACTTTCCACCTGATGGGTATGTAGACATCACTTATACAATCAATCAATCAAAATTATATATGGCCTTTGTTTTTTTTAACATCAGCACTTTTACAGTAACCTGGCCTACACCAGGCGAACCCGGGACATACAGGGCACCACTGCTCCTACCATCTTTCTCCCTGTAGGATTTCATTTCCTGTTTAGGTACCTGGCCAGCCGAGTGCAGGTGGGCTTTCACGTCAAGATGAGGCTCCTGCTGCTCCCGCCCCAAATACACACAGGCACACACATACACAGGTACACAGACACACACTATTAGGAATGTTCCCCTATGTACAGTGGGGAAAAAAAGTATTTAGTCAGCCACCAATTGTGCAAGTTCTCCCACTTAAAAAGATGAGAGAGGCCTGTAATTTTCATCATAGGTACACGTCAACTATGACAGACAAATTGAGAAAGAAAAATCCAGAAAATCACATTGTAGGATTTTTTATGAATTTATTTGCAAATTATGGTGGAAAATAAGTATTTGGTCACCTACAAACAAGCAAGATTTCTGGCTCTCACAGACCTGTAACTTCTTCTTTAAGAGGCTCCTCTGTCCTCCACTCGTTACCTGTATTAATGGCACCTGTTTGAACTTGTTATCAGTATAAAAGACACCTGTCCACAACCTCAAACAGTCACACTCCAAACTCCACTATGGCCAAGACCAAAGAGCTGTCAAAGGACACCAGAAACAAAATTGTAGACCTGCACCAGGCTGGGAAGACTGAATCTGCAATAGGTAAGCAGCTTGGTTTGAAGAAATCAACCGTGGGAGCAATTATTAGGAAATGGAAGACATACAAGACCATTGATAATCTCCCTCGATCTTGGGCTCCACGCAAGATCTCACCCGTGGGGGTCAAAATGATCATAAGAACGGTGAGCAAAAATCCCAGAACCACACGGGGGGACCTAGTGAATTACCTGCAGAGAGCTGGGACCAAAGTAACAAAGCCTACCATCAGTAACACACTACGCTGCCAGGGACTCAAATCCTGCAGTGAAGATGTGTCCCCCTGCTTAAGCCAGTACATGTCCAGGCCCGTCTGAAGTTGGCTAGAGTGCATTTGGATGATCCAGAAGAGGATTGGGAGAATGTCATATGGTCAGATGAAACCAAAATATAACTTTTTGGTAAAAACTCAATTCGTCGTGTTTGGAGGACAAAGAATGCTGAGTTGCATCCAAAGAACACCATACCTACTGTGAAGCATGGTGGTGGAAACATCATGCTTTGGGGCTGTTTTTCTGCAAAGGGACCAGGTCGACTGATCCGTGTAAAGGAAATAATGAATGGGGCCATGTATCGTGGGATTTTGAGTGAAAACCTCCTTCCATCAGCAAGGGCATTGAAGATGAAACGTGGCTGGGTCTTTCAGCATGACAATGATCCCAAACACACCGCCCGGGCAATGAAGGAGTGGCTTCGTAAGAAGCATTTCAAAGTCCTGGAGTGGCCTAGCCAGTCTCCAGATCTCATCCCCATATAAAATCTTTGGAGGGAGTTGAAAGTCCGTGTTGCCCAGCATCAGCCCCAAAACATCACTGCTCTAGTGGAGATCTGCATGGAGGAATGGGCCAAAATACCAGCAACAGTGTGTGAAAACCTTGTGAAGACTTACAGAAAACGTTTGACCTGTGTCATTGCCAACAAAGGGTATATAACAAAGTATTGAGAAACTTTTGTTATTGACCAAATACTTATTTTCCACCTTAATTTGCAAATAAATTCATAAAAAATCCTACAATGTGATTTTCTGGAAATAAAATGCTCATTTTGTCTGTCATAGTTGACGTGTACCTATGATGAAAATTACAGGCCTCTCTCATCTTTTTAAGTGGGAGAACTTGCACAATTGGTGGCTGACTAAATACTTTTTTTCCCCACTGTATGTGTGTCAGAGTTGAGGGATGATAAGCCAAGAAGAGGCATCTGGTGTGGGAGGAGGACAAGCATATGCACTCCAAGTTCCTGGATAGAAAGGTGACATATTAGTGTTTCCCTAAACCCTACCATTACCCTGTACTTTCACCTAGTCCCTTACTCTTAAACCACTAACCCCTAAGTTTCCAACATGACTTGACATGTGTGTGTTACAGGACGAGTTGAAGGCGGAGCATGCCTCGTACCTGTGGCAGCACCCAGAGCTCTGTGCCATGATGGCCGACTTCTTGCAGTTCCTGTTACCAAGAAAACCGAGCGATGTCTTCATGTTCGCCCATAAGGACTTCTTTCCCTTCGCCTCCCACCGACCCCCAGGGGCCACCTTCAATACACACACTGTGCCTGCGTCTTAATAGTCTTGTAGATTCCTCCCACAGGCACTTTAGTGAGGACAATACTCTTCTGGTAAAAGTAAAGATACCTTAATAGAAAATTACTAAAGTGTCAGTCACTTAGTAAAATACTATTTACCTGTCCTGTTTACTATATATCGATAGTTAATAACTATATGCTTAACATTGGTGAAGAGATTTTCATAACTTGCAATACTGTGCTTCTGAGAAAGGATGGTTCCCCCCTCTCTTCTCCCTGCAGCTGGTCTGGGCGTATCGTCAAGGACATGGGGCGACTCAGAGATAACTTGCGACTTGAGATAGAGATAACTTGAGGAACAGAACCGACCTGTTATTGTTTCCAACCATCTGGGCTTCTGAGGCTGAGGAGCTCCCGAGTGGCGCAGCGGACTAAGGCACTGCATCTCAGTGCTAGAGGCGTCACTACAGACCCTGGTTCGATTGCAGGCTGTATCACAATCCAGCCGTGGTTGGGAGTCCCATAGGGCGGCGCACAATTGGCCCAGCATCATCCGGGTTTGGCCGGGGTAGGCCGTCATTGTAAATAAGAATTTGATCTTAACTGACTTGCCTAGTTAAATAAAGGTTACATAAAAAATTTAAATTCAGAGAAACTTGGTCACACGGCATAAGACAAAGAGCCTCGGAGAGTGACCACAGTTCTTCAGTCTATCCTGTTCTTCTCATATCTTTCAAGGGCACAGCTGTGTGGAGATATGAGGTGACAGAGGCTGGCTTGAACACCTTTGACGATTCTGTCAGCGGAAAGGAGTAATGTTATCAGTTGTTTGTGCGCTATAACCCGATACACATAGCCACAGGACGAAAACAAGGTAGCTTATGATGCCCGATCTTCCGGGGAGGGGTGGAACCAGCCATGACTAAGCATTTTTTTTTGTTGCTATATAAGACCCTGTATTCTCTGTATGATTTTTAAGCCTCGGTCTTACACTCAAGAGTGTGGGGTCGACCAGCTTCCTTATTGCAATTTGTATAATAAAGTATTGATGGTTTGAAGAATTAACAAAGTCTCTCCTTATTGGTTAGATTTTCCACGACACTACTTAAGTAAAAGTCTAAAAGTATTTGGTTTTAATTATACCTAAGTATCAAAAGTAAATGTAAATGCTCAAATATACTTAAGTAACAAAAGTAAAACTCATTTCACAGTCCTTATATTAAGCAAACCAGCACGATTTTCTTTTTTTTTTCTATTTTCTTTACGGATAGCTAGGGGCACACTCCAACACTCAGACATAATTTAGAAACGAAGCATGTGTTTAGTGAGTCCACCAGATCCGAGGCAGTAGTGATGACCAGTGATGTTCTCTTGATAAGTGTGTGAATTTGACAATTTTCCTGTGCTCCTAAGAATTCGAAATGTAATGCATACTTTTGGGTGTCAGGAGAAATGTATGGAGTAAAAAGTACATTACTTTCTTCAGCAATGTAGTGGAGTAAAAGTAAAAGTTGTCAAAAATATAAATAGTAAAGTACAGATACCCCCCCAAAATACTTAAGTAGTACTTTAAAGTATTTTTACTTAAGTACTTTACACCACTGCAGGAAGGGAGTCAGCTGCAAGAACCATTTTCTCTATCTTGCTATAAACTCTCTAGAGCAGGGGTGTCAAACGTCTGGCCCGCGGGCCGGATCAGGCCCGCAAACGGGTTTAATCCAGCCCGCAAGATGATTTTGTAAAGTATAAAAATGAGCTGCAATTTTTAAATAAAATAAACTGCTGTTCCAATTGTGTCCACTGGATGGTGCAATAGCAATTGTGTTAAGCAATCAAACTGTTTATACCGGGGCAGAGCAAATAGGTCAAGCAAGTGCAGCCAGTCCGGATGAGCTACTTTGTTTTGCCCGCAATATTTATTACGGCTTCTACTTTTAACATTATGTGCTTTGGCATCCTCATTGCCCCAATATGTCTCTTTCAAAAAAGAGAAAAGTGGACGCAGAGTGCAGAGTGTTCCAAGAAAAATTGTCATCCTTCTATTTATTCACGGAATTGAATGGGAAAGCTGTATGTTTGGTGTGTTCACAGCATGTTGCAGTGCTGAAAGAATATAACCTTTGTCGCCACTATGTGAGTCTTCATGCCGACAAATATGACAACTTTCAAGGACAGCGGAGAAGAGAGAAGGTGAATGAACTGTTGGTGGGTCTGAAGAAACAGCAGTCTGTGTTTACTCACAGCCGAGACATCAGTGACGCTGCAGTGAAAGCTAGCTACCTCATTGCTAATGAAATCGCAGTGGCTTCAAAACCATTTAGTGAGGTTGAATTTGTAAAAACATGCATGATGAAGGCAGCAGAGATTGTGTGCCCTGAAAAGCACCAGGCTTTTGCAAATATCAGCCTGACAAGAAACACAGTTGCAGACAGGATTTCCGATCTTTCAGTGGATTTGGACAGCCAGTTGAAGCAAAAAGTAAAGTCATTTATTGCGTTTTCGGTTGCAATTGATGAAAGCACGGACATTACAGATGTTGCACAACTAGCCATTTTCATCCGCGGAGTTGATGACACATTGACCGTCACAGAGGAGTTCGTGGAGTTGGTGCCGATGACAGATACAACGACAGCAGCTGATATTTTCACTGCACTCGTCGGCGCGCTGGACAGGGTCGGAGTGGACTGGTCCCGCGCTGTCAGCCTGGCTACAGATGGTGCGCCCTCAATTATCGGGAAAAAAGCAGGCGTTGTGACAAAGTTCAGAGAGAAAGTGCAATCTGCAAATGGAGGACGTGATTTTTGGACATTTCACTATATTTTGCACCAGGAGGCTTTGTGTTGCAAGTCATTAAAGATGGATAACGTCATGAAGGTGGTCATCCAAACTGTTAATTTCATCCGATCCAGAAGCCTGAATCACTGTCAGTTTGACAGCCTTCTCAGAGAGAAAGACCACATCTATGGCCTGCCATACCACACTGAGGTAAGATGGTTAAGCCGAGGTGCTGTGCTGAGGCGTTTCTTTGATTTACGAGAAGAAATTGAACAGTTCATGGAAGAAAAGGGCAAACCAGTGTTAGAATTTAATTCCGCAGAATGGATGCAGGACCTTGCATTTATGGTGGATGTTACAGAGCACCTGAATAACTTGAACAAACAGCTGCAAGGGCGCAAAGTTGCCACGCAGTATTATGACAGCATACGTTCTTTCAAGTTGACGCTGTCATTGTGGGAGACGCAACTCGCCGGTGGTGATGCAGCTCACTTCCCCTGTCTGAAAAATGTGTGCGCGACCCAACATGTGGCAGACATGAAGCGGTTCAAAGATAAAATAACGGGACTGTTAAGGGAGTTTGAGCAACGCTTTCAGATTTTTGGTGAACTGGAGAAAGACTTAAAAGTTTTTTGTTCGCCATTCACCGTGAATCCCTCTCATCTGCCCGTCAGCATCCAACTTGAAATAATAGACTTGCAGTGTGACTCGGATTTGAAGGGCAAATTTGCCGCAGCTGGCTTGGACACATTTTATCAGAATCTCTTGCCAGGTTACCCCAACTTGACAGCCCTCGCTGCAAAACTGTTGTGTATGTTCGGAACCACATATCTTTGTGAGCAAGTTCTCTGTAATGAGCATAAATAAAACAAAGCTGCGCTCAAGGCTCACGCACAAGCACTTGAATCACATCCTGAAGTTGGCTGCCACTCAGGATGTGACGCCTGATATTGATGCGCTGGTGAAAGCTAAAAGATGCCAGGTATCAGGAGTCAAATAAACTATGCAACCCCACTTAAAGTGCTGCATGAGACACCCTGATATAGTTCTGTGATCTGTGATATACTTCTGTGAATCACTGAGGCATTGTGTGTTTGTGTGTTGTTTGTCCTCAGAATTTCAAATAACTTGAGGTGTTTTATGATTAATAGTGATGTTGTGCTTTTGGACACACTGTCCTCAGGCTCCAGCTTTATGTTTATATGTTTTTATGTTGATGTGCTATTGTTTTTAATTGATTTTATTTTATTTGTATATTTAACCTATTCTTGACTCTGTGGTTCTTGCACTTGTTTGGGGAACAGGATTTCATTATTTGTATCTACATTTCTGCCTGAGAAATGACACCCTGATATAGTTCTGTGATCTGTGAAACAGTTATGTGAATCACTGAGGCATTGTGTGTTTGTGTGTTCTTTTTCTTCAGAATTTCCAAATAAACTTCAGGTGCTTTATGATTAATAGTGATGTTGTGCTTGTACTATTTTGGACACACTGTCCTCAGGCTCCAGCTTTATGTTTTATGTTGATAGTATTAAAACAAAGAAAACAATCTGAAGTTTTTGTTTTTAAGTTATTAATACCATGATTTTACCGGTCCGGCCCACTTGGGAATAGATTTTCCTCCATGTGGCCCCTGAGCTAAAATGAGTTTGACACCCCTGCTCTAGAGGGAAGAGGGGTCTTCCTCCCCACGGCTTAAAAGAGATTCAAACAAATATTGAGATGCAGAGCGACATCTCCTGAATATCATGTACTTGTAAATAAACAAAACAGTCATTTACTGCCACACATCAGCTTGGCAGTAAATTGCACCTAAACCCAATTTCTCACACAACATACGCTTCTTACATTTAAGCTCCATTGCCTTATCCACACCCCAACATAGTATTGATACAATCCAGTCTAGACCTTAGATATGACATTGTATATGGATATGACCATAGTTCCATGCTTATTTGCAGATAAATAATTTCCTTATATAACATGTGTACTTACAATAACCCTACTCTTTAAGGACTCTGGACCAATGGCCTACATGACACAGGTGCATTTATATGAATAAACGATAGAAACCAGGCATATCAATGGATATGAGGATAGCAATAAAGAATACCATTTATATTTTCTACAATTGGAAAAGTAGTGGGCAATAGTTACCATCTTTTTTTGCCTCAATCTCCCCAAGTCCTGGAGCATCAGGGGGCACAGATCCTCCTGACATTTGCTGTTGGCTGTTTTAGCTCAGAGTCCTACTCCACCCTTT